TACATATATTTAATATGGACCATACATTATATAGTGGAAAATCCTTCATATATTTATCTGTATAATACTAGATACTTTACTAAACACAGTACAAATTCACTTATTGATTATAACCTTCTGGTAAAAAGAACGATATTGATTATAACGTTCTTTTTACCAATCTATCGCCTAAGTGAGGCCTTCACCAAGCCACTGAAAAATATTATACTTATAATAAGTGCAGCACTTCTTCTGAAAGTATATCGGTTTTCTAAGTAGTTTTCTCAAAAAATGGGATAAACTGAAATAAACGGAGTAAAAGCAGGAAATAATGTACGAAAAAATATTAGTCAAATATTACGATTTTTTTTTCTGTAGGCAACATTTCTTACAATAATTTTGCAATGATAGTGATTTTTCTAAAAGGAAATTTGACTGGAAAGGTACTTTAGGCAGGTAATTTTTTGATTTTTTAAGAATTTTTCTCAACAAATGTGAAAAACCGGGAAAATCTGTACAACATTATGCAAATATTATTAATGAAAATATATAATAATTATTTAATTATTTTACCAAAATATGATGTATTTATTTTGAAAAAGCATCATTATTAACTAAACTCCCGCTCTGCAGAATCGTTTTTTCGTTATCAATGATTTATCTTTGTTTGCAGCAGAGGTGGTCAAACGGTCGATCGCGATCAACCGGTAGATGATTTAAATTTCGAAGTCCATTTTATTAGAATTTATGTTTATGTAATTAGTGGATAAATAACAATTGCTGATCATTTTTATTTGAATATATTATTTTTATTTTGCTGTGAATTTATCAAGTAATACAACTACAACTATATATTTTAGTTTTATTATTTTGTACATGTATGTGTACTATTAATGAGTAAACTAATAATGGAAAAATATATTCCTAGTAGATCTCTACAAAAAAAAGTTTGAGCATCCCTGGCTTACGGGTATACATTAAATTACCCGTAACGGTGGCTCCGCCCGTCTCCATTATCCTAGGACAGCTTTTTTTAATTTTTAATTTCCTTCGGCCCGTCGACGAGATATTCCACTTTAAAGTTTGGGTAGGTGAAGAGTAGTGGAGCATCATATTTCGTGTGGCGACGCGTCGTGATACATAAATCGCCCGCTGTCATTCGATAATGTTCGTATTTTTTTGTTGAAAATGGTGTATTTTTCAATAAACCGTATAAATAGTATTCCGAAGATACTACGTCAAACGTAATATTACTTCACAATCAGTATACGATAATATATATGTATAATAATATACTCTTGCTATTATTTACTATAATTGAGCGGAGTGTTCGGGGTGCTCGGATGGACATAAGAGTAATATAATTAGGCCCACTGCACCTGCAGTATCCACGGGACTCGTAAATTCGTATAAACCTACGTATGGATACTTTGAATTTTAACTTGTCATTGATTTTAATGCATTTTTCTTGTTCGGTTACTGTGTGTTATTAACGAACTCGCTATACCTACAGTATACATATATACCATGGGTGATTATCGGTATCCAAAATCTAATAGCACAGGTAACTTACCTACCTCCCTAATTATACGTTATTTATTTGTATTCGTATATGAGCGCGACCAATTAACAAATTTCAACTAAACCGTTTTACTGCAATACTGGCCGGTGTATAATGTTTTAAACGATAAACAATCGAGACCACCGAGTGAACTGGACGGATGAAAAAAAATAATAATAATAAAAATGAAATGTATTCGTTGTTATGCAATCCGATTTTCCTGTTTAGTCGGTTGCAGCAGTCTATGCGTGCATTAAGAATATAATAGACTAAAATAAACTATTACCATAATAGTCTAAAGATTTTTAAACAGGTTAAGCTGATAAGTGACAAAGCGGAATAGAGAACACGAATTGCGTTATTATAATAAATTATAAAACAAAAATTGTTAGTATAATAATATTATGTAGAATTATGTATAATATAATATTACACGATAATAATCTATTAACATAATTGTTTTATAGGTAAGTACCTACGTAATAATAATTATTACCGACATATTTAGGTAATTATTATAATACCGACTTATTATAAACGTACCATAGACTTATTGATTAGTTATGGGCACAATAGGATATTTACTATCGAATAGGTATTCGATAGTTTCTTGAAAACAAAAACTTTTTATTCGGTCATTGGAAAAAACTATACGAATATTTTTTCGAAATATTCAATAGTTTATATAAACTTTCGAAAATTATCGACATCAATGTAATAAGTTTATTTTATTTAGCAGTATTAATGTTTACAATATTGTTACATAAAATCATATTAGTATTGCACTGTAACGTCTATCAATAAAGATAAAATCCTTGTATTGATAGACGCGAATATCTAAAAAATACTTAAAATTACATTAAATAAAAAACAAATTAATAAAAATATAATAATTTTAATAATACATAATTAAAATCAATGAAGAATATAATTATAGAATTGATAATAATAAATAAAGATGTAGGTACATGATAATAAAATGTATAGTGTTGGTAAAATGATTTTACAACATTATTTCATCTTTCATCAACCATATCTTTATTAACTTTATTAAACTCGTAGTACAAAATGTGTACTATTGAACTCAAATTTGCTATGTCTCGCGTTTATAAAACGAAGACAGTAAATGTCGGTGTGACGTTCTTTTAAATAGTTACCTACACAATAGAATAACCACAACAATGGATAATATGTTAATACTACGTAAAATGTTAGACAGTAAGCAGATAATTAAAATATACTCCATATTCATTAAAATAGTTATCCATTGTTTTAGCCACCTTTGACCTAATTGTACCCATACGTTTTGAAGCTAATTGTAAAATAACTCCATGGCAGTTATCGCACAACGTTACACTGTTTGTAATTTATCTTCTTCTTCTCCTTCGCCTTCATCCTAACTATTTGGAGTCGGCCAATTGCGTAAAACACAATAATATATCGTAATTTAATAATATTATCCTAAAAAAAAGGTGAGTGTCTCGTTATTTTTAATAATGTACATTCATTTCATTAGATGACTTAATTGTTACTCTGGTACTAAAATAATATTTTACTAAACATATCTACGCACGATTAAAAAAAAAAATTATTTTTAAACTACATCTGGTTTTAATGAAGTAGTTTAAATGAAATTATTAGTGCGCATTGTTAAACGCATTATTTTAATGATATTTTGATCGTATGCATCGTATGATAATAACTTACGATAAATGTAATGGCGTATTGGTAAATAAATGTATGGGTATACGTACTAAGGCGTAATTAGGTTGGCTAGTGGCTAAGATCCCCCCCCTCGAATTCTTTTACTTTGATTGCATCTATGTATATGCATCTAAAATGGGTTGATCATACTCAAACTAATTTTCTCACTACATTCGAATTAACATTAATTTGTCATCAAATTGTCAATATTTTTAGTAGAAAACTTAGTTTGATAAAATTAAAAAACAACGAAATTTATAACGTTGTATATAATTATATATATTCCGTTTGATGTGTAATTTTCTTTTAAGTTTTTTCCAATTATTTTGAAAATCCCATTGAACATTTAAGAAATAATCTTTTAAATACACTACCCTAACTAAATATAATTTTCTTTTAGAAAAGGTATATACACTTAATAAAACGGAGGAAGATGTCTGGTAGTAAAGTTGTTTACAGACACAAAAAACAATAATAATACATGTCACATTAAAACCAATAGATCCCTCATTATGTTCCAAATCCCCCCAAAACACCTATATCACCCATTTAATAATAATACTAGGTTCCCATTAGGCAACATAAATACTTCACCGGGCGAAATTTGTATCACTTAATTAATAGGTTAAAATATTCATTTTCTACACAGTATTAATAAGTATGAAAGTGTGAATACAAAATTTTCAACTATAGGATCCGGATCATCCAGATCGGAAGTTGCATTACGTTATTTTTTATCCTTTATTGTAAAAAAAGTTAGTAAGCATATTAACTAATTTTGTACATTTAATAATAATATTATTAATATCAGGTATATATGTATTTTATTTAATTATCTTGGCAATTCGAATGACAAATTTGTTAATTATTAATTAAAAAATTTAATTAAATGGGGTTATAAAACAGTAGTAGTAGTTCGGTACTATAAACATTAAACAAAAAACAAACACAACGGCATCGACATGGATAAACAATACTTGCATTTAATAATAGTATTGTTTATCTATTCCGATGCACAACGTTTATTATTGTGGACTGTGGTAAACTGGTTTGATAATGCTGTAGGAAAATAACACAATGAACAATTATTATATTATTGCCATTATCAGCTATTTAAACGGGTCTGTTTTTGGCTGCACTCGAATTGCATGCAAAAAAAAAAAAAAATATCCGAATTGCATGCCATCTTTTAGAGAGGTCCATCCGAATTGCATGCCACCTCTTACAGAGGTCTGTCCGAATTACGTGTCGTGTATAATTAATAATAATAATAAAAAAAGCGGCATTTTCCTTCCCACTTTTACAGACTTAGGACTGACAGTAGAACTTAATTATTGTTATACTGGTGTGGTTAAAAATATGGTTAATTATTTTGATGTTATTTTACTATTTTAACGTATTTATTTTTCGAACACGTTTAGTGTCATCTGAGGTCCATGTGCTAATATTTCTCTTTCAGTATTTCACTAGGTTTTTCATAAGGATCATCTAAAGATATACGTTTTAAATTATTACATACCCGTTGTCTATTTAATTTTTTTTTGTTATCTTTGTTATGATTATGATCCATATTTCTGAATATAACTTCATGTTCACTGTTTATTTTATGTAAGACTCACACGATCGTTTACTGTAAGTCCACTTTTTAATATCATTACATAACAATTTTTGAAAATAAAATTTAAAATCATCTATTAGAACTAGCTTTTTTGTTTTTTTCACCGAGCATAATATTTTCAACTAGTGGTTCCATGTTAACGTTCTAATGCGTACTAATATTATGCAACTTAGAAAACCCATTTGTTTTAATATCTATTAAAATAATTATATACTATACACTACATACGGCACTCGTGATAATAGCGCAGTTTTTTATTTTCGGCGTTGATATGAAAATTATATACGGCACGCAATTCGAATAGACCTCGATAAGAAATGGCATGCAATTCGGACGAACCCCTTTATAAGATGAACGTTCCAATTAACATTTATTTTTTTGGCATGCAATTCGGATACACCGCTTTTTTTTTTCTTAATTAATACAATATCGCACACCGCTCGCATAACATGATATCGCGCGCGCCGACCGGTATTGAATTCGGTGTGTACACTATATAGCAGTGGCCAGTGACTCAGAATCTTTTTTTTTCGAAAGACCGTAACGCACAATTTGGGAACCGCTGCTATACACTATCTATTAATGTTGAACCACAAGACTTTGATGTTGGAGAGCAATATAGGCTTTGCAAATAGGTTATTTTATGTGTAGTGCCGAGACCATCTACACTTTGTTTTGTTAATATACATTCGGGCATACGACGTATACCCACGTATCTCTCCAATGCACCACTGATGTAACTATGATTTAATAACAATATTGTTGTTATGATATTATTGTATTTTATCAATTAATGTTGTGGGAGAGGGGGCATTTTTTTATGAGTTCCATAAAACGTAAAAAAAAAATACAAACAATAATGTAAAATCTAAAATTACATATTTTTATGTTTCAAATGTGATATTCGAATAAAATAGATATAATATAAATAAAGAGGTTATAATAACTTAAGAGACCGTGTAACTACCAGTAATTGAGGCGCCGATCCAAGGGGGAGGGCTAAGGGGCTTTAGCACATGTTATATATTGTGTAAGTATGTAATAAATACTTAATAGGTATTTCTTTATATCTAGGTATACATTTAAAGTGTAAGTACTTCGAACAATAACGACTGTTCGATATCGTTGCCCGGTATCTAATCTGGAATATTATCGAATTTTTTAGAAACATTATCATCTTTATATGGCTCATAATGAGCCGGTTAATCAATCAGTCCAGCGTCGGCGATATCTGAATTCACGTCTAATCTATTTCTATGACAACACCCATTGACATCGATCAAGTCATAAACAAATTTTTCCGACAAAAGCAAATGAAAATAAAAATTGAAGATTGGTCAAAAGACTAATGAACTTATTCGTTTTTCATATTTTATCATTTTAAAATATATTATAACTAATATAAAAATATATTCACTAAAATTATATAATTTGCCTTTCTAAAAACACAAATTAACCCCCCCCCCCCCATTGCATATTTCTAGATCCACCCCTGCAGTAATTTGACTTTAAAAACTGTTCTGTACAAAAAAAAAATTAATTAATTAAGAAATTAAATTTTCTACATAGAAAAAAGAGAACTAGTACTAAATTAGGTTGGTTTTATTTTTTCAATATTACAAACACAAAAAAATTTACCATTATCTAAAAGTCTGATAATTTTAAGTTATTCAAACTCGAATAACTTTTTTCGTAGCAGTGACATCGATAAACTAAAATCAACGTTTTACAGTGCAAGTTCTCTTTGTTTTAAGGTGAACAATTTGTTTCCTAACTAACCCATAACCCGAATAGTTTGGGTCCATGCGATACTTTCATAATTATTTTACTTAATTTTACGACTAAAAAATAGATAATTACTAGTGGATGTTTTTGAATATTTTTGAGTGGGCCAAATTAAATTGTATCAAAAAATGTTAAGAAATTTGCCTATACGCAATGCCTTAAATACGTGAGGTAGCCTTAAGGAACGAATGCTAGATAATTTAAAAATTTGATTTGTTTATGTTGGAAACTAGGCAAAATGGTTTTCGGCCCTTCCAACCAAAGATATTATAATCTTGGCCATAATATTTTGATTTCAGATGACTATGAAAATAAAAGAATTTTACAATGGTTGTAATATTTTTATAACCGGTGGTTCTGGTTTCATGGGTAAAGTTTTGATTGAAAAACTATTGCGATCGTGTCCGGGTATTAATAAAATTTATATTTTGATGAGAAATCGCAAAGACAAAGATATACAACTTAGAGTCAAAGAGATGTTGGCATTACCGGTTAGTATGTATACCTAACTAGTTGTTTATATTTGTAGGTTGTTTGGTTTTACATTATTTTTTACGATTATAAATTATAATAACCTTTATTTGGTCAAATAATTTGAAACTTGATATTACATGATACACATGTTCGTTGGATTTCGTTGAAATGTTGTTTGATGTCATTATTATTTCCTCGATTGTCCACAAATACGATTGTTTGTATTTTGAATATGTTTATAATATGTGCATATATAGCATACCAAAAACACTTCGTTATTACTCCATGTAAAAAAAAGCTAAGTTAGAAAAAATTAAATTTCGTATTGATTAAATCTTTAAAAGACGTGATATAATATGGAAACTAAGTAAAATGCCATTTTATAATATTACAAATACCTATGACGACAAATAAGATCAATTATAAAGTTAAATACTTAGTCAACATATTATTTATAAATTATTAATTTATTTACGAAATTCACTCATAAGTAACCACTATAGTGGTTACTTATTTGTATTTATTTAAGTATATTTACACGTCCTGCCTAGTATGGTTAAACAATACGTTGATTAAAGTTGGACGAACTTTGTTTGGAATTTATGAGGAAAAACGTATAAATATCTGTAGTCCTTATCAGAATTACTACAATGGGTATATTATCTTCGTGGATTATTCTATACAGTTGATTTTATTTAAGAATAAAAAAAAAAAAATATATTAAAATCACGCCGTTTAATAGTTTTCTGAACTATAATAATAATAGGTAATATAAACAATTTAAATGTCTGTTATAAATTAGAGTTGTTATTTGAAAACCATAAACATTTCTTTTCGCGAATTTATCACCGTAATATAACTAACCAAAATCGTATACAAACACGTCTGATAACAAATATAACCAGATTAATCGCCAACACACGCTTCTATAATATAACTGGCAACGTGCCGGAGATTGTTTTTTGACAACTGGGTCTCCACAGACCAGCGGATTTGAACTTTTAAAGTGGTATAATGACTGATAACAATCGTTTAGTCTCTCGATTCCAAAAAAGTACGGTAAATGTATAGAAAATTTCTGAGTTTAATAAAAAAATATAGGTATATTTTACATACCACTGCCAATAGTCACGTCAAGTTGAATAACGGGCAGATAATTAGACGTTTTTAAAGCAATGGCACTCAATGAACAACTATAATTTATTAGATTTTAAATGTTTTTTTTTTAAATTTATTATTTTGATACACAAAATTTTATATTATAAATAGGTGGTTTGCAAAATTACAATTATAATTGATTCAATGAAAAGTATTATTCATACTTTTTATTCAGGTTAACAGGAAACAAATAAATTACGATATTATTTTTTATTTACATCATATGCATATAGCTCAATAAGCGTAGTAATAAATATTATGGTAATTAATCAGACGGTTCATATATCGAACACCATGTTATTATACAGTCAATATTATGCATTCGAAAAACATATTATCATGTCAACGCTCGACAAAATCTGCCTATTTTAACTTTAGGTAATTAAATATCATAGGAAATTTTTTTTGGTCCTACTCCTGATTGAATACGATTAAATACGCATGTTTCTAACTAAAACAAAAACTATACGTTGTTGTACGTTGATCCGTGGCTAAATCACAATTTTAGATTTTAGTATTTAGACTCGAAGAAATATTTTATCACTTAACTGTGAGAAAATAAACCGGTATACGAATAAATAGAAAAAAAAAAAAGAACGCCCGTGAATTAACATGTATATTATACTGCAGGCATGCACACCAATATACGAGTATTATTTATAATTTATTAATTAAATAATAAAATCAACGAATAATATATTATTATGTTCCCGTAAGGCCGTAAATAAATAATTTATATCTAAAATATTCTACAAGTCTATAATTCTACACATTATCAATTATTTCCGTTTGTATACAAAAGAATTAAATTTATTCGAAATTTAATATTATGCATTTTAGACTCTGAATGGAGCGCAGAATATATTAGTTTTACAATGTTTATTTTTTATTATAATTTTTTTTTCTGTAGACAACTACTTTTCTACTAGTAATTTCGCTCTGATTTACAACGTTGACACTCCTTTCTAAAAGGAAATCTGACTGGGGAGATACTTCAAGAAGGTTATTTTTAGATTTTCCAATAAATAGGAAAACCAGAAAAAACGTAGGAAAAACAGGAAATACGTACAATATTAAACAAATAATATTAAAGAAAATGTTTAATGCATATTTAATTATTATATCCTAATATAACTGTATATTGTTGACAAAGCCACACATCGTTAGCAATGGTTTATCTTTGCCTACAGATATTGAGATATACATTATATCCCCGTATATAACCTACCTTACCAATTTCCCATCTACAACAGTGGCTGCACCCGTCCCCATTATCCTAGGACAGCGTTTTTAAAAGTTAATTTTACCTACTCATATTTAATACGTTAAAATTTTAAATACAAAACTACAGAAGCGTCGAATACAAAGAAAAATGAATGTTTTCGGATTAATTAGAGACGAAGTCCACTAGTTATTTGTAGAACCATTTGAGACTTATAAAACTTTCGGAGTATATAGCTTACATACAATGGTTAAAAACTTCCGTCAGTTTTCGATAAAAACAAAATGTTTAATTCAAATTTGTTTTATTTTAATTTTACACTAGCTATTTGTGAAAATTGACAAAAAAACTGCTGTTGAAAAATTAGTTCCAGTGCTTGGTGACTTGTCCGAGATTAGACTGAAATTGAGTGATGACGACTATAATACGTTAGCTGAAAATGTTTCGATTGTTTTTCACGTAGCCGCGACCATTCGGTTTAACGAACCTATCAAAAATGCGATTCTTCTAAACGTCAGAGGAACTCGGGAAGTCGTACGACTTGCTAAACAGATGGTAAATCTCAAGGTAAATCAAATTAATATCAGATATTATACGTAGGTATACATGGAATAAATACACAGCGATATTGTCATATATGTATAGCACCGGACTGATTTTTGCCAATCGTGTTTAACATCCAACCGGCCGAATTAAATGGATCATTCATAAGGGGTACTTAGCAATATCACACATACGGAATTTTTGTGTCGTTGTAATAGGTTTGGCCACTCAAAAATCTGTCATCTAATTTTCAAGTTTAAACCTCCCTCGAAAATTCAAGCCTAAACTATATAGTAGGCCACTAAGATTAAAAAAAAATCGCTCTCCCCTAAACAGCATGAAAAACGAAAGGAATTTGGAAAATATATAGTTGGAAATGTATGTCGGTTGCTAGGAACGAATAAAATAACATTCCCTACTATTTTCATAACATTGGTTTAATAGGTGGATGGGGTCGGGGGGTATACACATTCATATAATGTTTTTTACATTTTAGCCTTTATGCATTGATATTTATGCTACATTTTTAAGATATTTCCAAAATTCAGTATAACATTTTTTCTTGAAGTGGAGATTAGATTTAGGGCGTTGCCGTAGCGCTCTTTATGTGGTGAGATATTTCAACACGAGTCTTTGAAGTTCTAGTTATGCACTCATGCTCAGTTGTGCATTTAAGGGGGGGGGGAGCGAATGACCCCAGTGGCAACATTTTAACAGATTTAGAAGCGACAGTTTTGTTGTGTGTATTCATTTTTGTTTTTATCATAAAATGTACAACATATAATAGAATTATTGATTGAGTTATCAGTTAGAACGCTGGAACACAAATTAAATTCTTTACTATATGATCTTAATTTTTGTACCTCTACTATAAGCACAGGAAAAGTTGAGTTATCTTCCAAAAAACAGTTAAAAAAAAAACCCCCAAAAATGTCAAATGTTTGTAACAGATTTCTTTAATTGTATTTCATAGATAGATGATTTTATTTTGAATAAACTTTTTTCTACACGCGTTGTCTACACACTGCAACCCAAGTAATAAGTAATATGTGATAACAGATTATGGTATCAAATGATTTTGAGTTGAATGTAATATGAGTGAAAAGACTGTTAACGTATACAATTTACTTCTGTAATGATTTGGTACGATTTTTTATTTGAATATAAAACACTTCGAAATAATTGTAAACTGTTAAACCTTATGATATATACTTTAAAATGTTATTCAAAACAAGCAAGGGATACATTTGTCAGTAATTAAGAATGGGGAGGGAAGATTTGATGTAAAGATTAGTGGGTGAAATATTTTGTAGGGGAAGGGGTGGAAATAAAATATTTTTGCCCCGGGGTGCATATATTCTAAATGGGCCACTGTGATCTTGAGCCATATTTGGTTGATGGGTGCTTCTAAGTTTAATATAGACCAATTTGTACTCCATTATTCAAAACAGTTACCAAGTTCAAAATTAGCGACTAGACTGCGTCGAAGCGATCGGTTTCGTACATATTGTATAACTATATCAACTGATATAACAAGAAAGATTAGTAACGTAATCTATAACGTTGGGAAAATACGATAATCAGCGATCAATTATTTATCATCGGGCGAAATTACGGTACGTTATAGATGAGGATATCCTGAGTGCATCCCGTTTTTAAGCTCGGTGCAATACGATGGAAAAGCGTGTTCCTTAATCCTTATCGGCGATGCCCTTTTAGATGTACGATTGCACGCTCTGCATCATTTTTATTTGCATGCAACTTTGCCAAATAATACATCGATGGTGTTTTGTTAAAAGTGCGTATGCCACTAAAAATACTTTTTCGGTATCCAAAAAATCAGAAAAATTAGGAACATAAACTGGTAAAAGGGCATATTTAATTACAGACAATTAACTTGGTAATGTTGATTAAAAGATTTTTTATTCGCTCTTTTAAAATATAAAATTAAATCAACATTGATTTATTAAAAGGGCGTATACAACATTTAATGTATGTATATTTTGTGTACAAGGTATTATGTGTACGTGTAATTTTATTGATTTCCATGATAAACATCATTAAAGTTTTTGATCATAAACAGTTTTTTTGCTATTTTTTCTGCTCCCTGAAAACAGTGAAATTTAATAAGACGCCCTTTTAACAAAACACGGCGTCCATATACTATACTGTATATCTAAATAATATATGAACGGGAATCTTTTGTTTGGATTCATAAGAATTATTTTGAAGACCATCACCATTTTATTTATTTATTACTTATTATTTTTGATAGCACACTTGTATTGTAAGTTCCCATATTATAAACACGAATAGATTATAATCGCTTATGCTGTATGTATACACCTATACACCTACTGACAGTCGTATCCATGTTTCAGTTGTGTTAAGTTAGTTTTTTTTTTTGTAGTGAAAGATGTTATTCTAAAATGGAAAATGAAATTTTTTTTATAAGTTCCGAGAGACGAAGAGATTTGTTGATATACAATGGGTACAAAATTTCGATATATCAGACAGCGGGCTAAAGGATATTATGTAAAATGGAAGTGCTGTAAAAAACAGTGCATACCTCCACTATTAACAAATAATAGTTGAGTTTTCGACTATACTGGTGAGTGGTGGCCATAACCATCATGTAGATACGGTTCAAAAAATTGATAAGCAAATTTTACGAGAAAATCGATAACGAAAAGCTGATAATTCCATATTTACTCGATTTTGGCAGCGTCGCGCGTCGTTTCCAATATTGCGCGCAATCGTATTGCACCATTTAATTTTTACCTTTTTCATAGCGCGTCTGCGGTCTTATCGACAAATTATTTTGAATTTTCAATCGTGTCGATGCTTCCTTAGGTAGGTATCTATTTTTAATTTATTTATTTGTCTAATTAATAATTTTAATTAATTATATTAATTTATCTTATTAATTTATATTAATAATTAGATAGATTAATTAAGATACTATATTGTCTATTAATATTCGAATATTAGACTAATTTTTGTCATTTGACTAATTCATTTCATAGGATTCATCTTATTGTTTCGTCCAAATAAGATAATTTTTTCCTTCGATTGTATCGTTATATACAAAAACAAAAATAATGGTATTATTATATCTGATTGTTACATTAAGGTTAGGCTAATTAAATCATTAATTCAGATAATTTTCATCCGTTCCCCGCGTCTATGAGACTTATTTTTCAATAATTAAACGTGTATCATATTTTGAACATATTTTATAAATATCTCGTTGTTTTCAATATTCAATAATTGACGCATTGAAATATAATGCGGTCAAACTACAGTTTACTACATAGGTTTGGTTTTCTTTTGGTTACTAATATTTCATTATTTTTACCTTGACGGCTCGTTACACATAGGCGTTAGATGCATCATACGTTACATCTAAACATTTTTTTACACATCAACTGAACGAATTCGGGTTGCTGATGTACATTTTATTTTCCCGAAATTCAACAATATTGCTTTCGCAATAATTAATAATACTCATATGAATTGTACGTAAATATGAAATACACAAAAGGAAGAAAAATCTGACGAATATTAATTTACGAGGGTTGTTCCAAAAGTAATGCACAATTTGCTCTGAATAAATAAGTTTTTATTTTAAACTAAATACAATATTATAGACCTTCGATATAATCTCCCTCCTTGTCTATACACGATTGCCATCGTTTCGGGAGCGCTTGAATGCCGCATAGGACGCCATCTTTGTTGAGTTCACGGATCCTTCGGCTCACTTCTTCATTTAGTATATCTAAGTTGGGAAAACGGATCCCTCTAAGTGGTTCCTTCAGTTTTGGAAATAAATCAAAGTCCGGGGGACTTAAATCCGGCGAATACGGTGGGTGTTCGAGGCGTTCCCATCCATATTTCTCCAAAAGAGCGACGACTGGTGCTCCGATACGCGGCCGCGCATTATCGTGCAATATGGACACGCCATTTTGTAACATTCCTGGTCGCTTTTTACGGATTTCTGGTCGCAATTTTTTGGCAAGGAATGTTTTGTAGTAATCCCCGGTTACACTACTGCCAATTGGATCTCGATCAGTGACAATTATCCCAAGTTTATCGTAAGCAAAAATCATCATTTGTTTCACCTTTGTTTGCTGGGTTGTTATCAATACTTATACGACCATCACGGAATCGCTGATGCCATCTTTGCACCGTACTACGATCCACAGTATCCGTTCCACACACTTCATTTAACGCGGCATGAATTTCAGGCACTGTTTTACCACGAATCGTTTCGATTTTAATGTATGCGCGTTGCTCAAAAACAGCAATGTGAGCCGACGAATTGTTCTCACTTTCGTTATCGCTCTCAAACATCACCATACTTTACTAAAACAACTAAAACTGAAAACGCACGTGTTCGTTAGACTTCAAGCTACAAACTGATACTAAAATCAGCTGATAATATCACATTGCAAGCCAGCTAGAGCGCACTGTGCATTAATTTTGGGACAACCCTCGTATGAACCTAATTTAATCTAATGTAAACCACCTAAAGTCCCCTATAAACTGTCAGCCTTGGCTGTCAAGTACGTTGATTGTCATTCAAGACTGACCATATATGTGTATGACTGATAATGACTAACTGACAAACAAATTGTGTAACTGATGCAATTCAAACCAGTGGCTCAACTTGTGGATAAGTTGGCAAAGTAGAAATTTTGTGACCCCGATAAATCAATAAAAAAAAAAAAAAAAACAGGCGTACATCACCAACTTTTTTGAAAGAACCTATAAAACCTATGTATGTGTATATGTAAAATCCTTAATGTTTCCGATATTTTTTACCTGTTTTTCGAGTCGCTGCTTATTGTGATTTCTGATTATAGTGATCAAAATACTTTCAAACTAATGTGATCACTATAAGCGGCGGCCACTGTATGTATATATTAAAAATCTAGGCTCACTCATAACAGTATTTCTATTGTATCAAAATTAGAATATGACCGGAGTGAGTCCGTGCGCCAAAACTATATTTCAGTACTGTATATTTTTATAGGCCTATTACGTCGGGTAGGTATTTGGATTTGCGTGTTTCGTCTACTACCTTATGCGGCTTGCACTTGTCCCTAGCAGTTGACTCGTGTAGGCACTTAACACGGGGCTGAATAAGCTCTATCACAAGTTCTCGTGGACACTATATCCATCCAACCCTATCGTGGTCTTCCTTTCGGTCTCTTTTCCTCCAACTCTTGGCCCACGACTCCATTACTGAATTCATTATTCAATTGTCAAATCGCCACCATATAAATGCTCTAGACTATTCTAGAATTCAGTCTATAGCCATAATGATTTAGACCAAGTTTTCGTTTTTGTATGCGTCACAACATATTTCATTAAAATATAATATAATATATATATGAATATGAAATATTTAATGTCATAGTCACTATTGCACGTATCGACAACCTTCAGTAATTGTAACCGAGTATATGTAGAGGAGAAAATTTACGAATCACCAATCAGTTGGCAAGATGCAATTTCAATCGCGGAGCATTTAGATATGAGCTTACTGGAAATATGCACGTCAAAGTAGGTGTACACATTTTAGAAAAAGAGCTGTTATTGCTAAACTAACTAAACAGAATTTTCTCTAAAAAAATAGTTTTCATGAAATTTAAATCAAAATTTATGGTAAAAAACAAGAACCAAAAACATTTAAAATAATAAAATCGTAAACAATTATCCGTTTTTCGTATACGTTATTTTCTAATAATTATTAAAAATACGACTGTTTCAATGCACTAGTTAGATCTAAAGTGTAATAAAAAAGGTGTCTTTTCATTATTTGATTGGAACATGTTTTATGGCAGAAAAATTATAATGGACAGAAAAAAAAGTGCATATAGTAAATTCAATACATTCTTTATAAGATTTATTCAAAATCTAAAGCATAAATAAAATAATTAATTTTCTATATTGTACTCTTTTGTAAGTATTAAATACAACTTATCTATCTGCGGTATCACCAACACATAAACAATAGAATTTCGAAAATTCTTATATAAACAAGATTATGAAATTTAAGATTTGTTCATGAATTCTGTGTATTACAGTCATTGCCTTGTAATTTTGAATACGTGTACGTCACGAGTTGTATACATTCCATTTTGCATCTATTTTGTAATTTATAATCTCAAAAACTTTTCTAAAAATTTGTATGAAATTCCTAACACGGATTTTGATAGGCACGGCACTATTAATGCCTACTAAAAATGTGTATTTATAAGTAATAATGCTCTTGTATGTTTATTAGACTATTAGGATCGTTTCCGAATACGTATACATTTACGAAATTATTGGCTGAGCAAGTAATTAACCAAGAAGCAATTAATAACAGTATGCCGATGGTTATATTAAGACCGTCAGTAGGTAAATATACCAAAATACTTATTATACTCGTATGCTGTTTTATACAATGAAAACGGTTTTTTTTTTTCACTCTTTCACTCTGTACAATCATACAAAAATATACAAATTACTGAAATTAATAAACTAATATTTTTAATTTTCTCTGTTAACATGGTTCAATAATTATAAAATGTTTTTTTCATAAAATTATGAGGACCAAGTATATATAAAAATAAAAGATTCTACCGTATCTAAAGTAAAACAATTGTGTTGTAAAATACAGAAATATGTTATCTACGAAATATGTCCTATATGTTTTATACTATATAGGTATTTTGCGATTGCATATTTCTGTGTTTAATATTTAATGCATTTCAATATTCATTTTATAATTAACATTGTTCTGAGCACTTTTTTTTGTTTTGTTTGTTTAGTACTATCGACGTTCAAGGAACCAGTATCCGGATGGGTAGACAGTCTTGCCGGGCCGACGGGTCTAGCTGTGGTGTTCGGCAAAGGCGTAGTGAACGTAACGTTAGGTAGTGTCAATGAGGGTGTAGATTTTATGCCTGCCGATTTTTCAATTAAAGCGATGATCGTAGCCGCTTATCACCGTGGAATACATAAGCAAGTATAATTTTATTATTATGATTATGCTAATATCAACATGAAGAATGCTGTACAAATCGAAATTAAATGGTTTTATTAAAATTATTTGAAACGCTTTAAGTATAGGTACAAATATAAATATCGCAATGGAATGGTGTTTAGCTAAATACTCCCAAGTTATCATTTTACTATAATACGCCTGTAACTCGTAAATTAAAAAGAAGAGATATGTGTTTGTACCTAGTAAAATAGGTAATATTATACTAATAGGTATAATGTAAATCGGTTGATTTCAACTATCCACTTTTAAGCATCATGATTCCAACTATACAGTCTTACGCGATAATGCTGAGAAACGCCGATACGAAGATGCGGTGATGAGAGAGAGACGTGGAATCTGAGAAGGACGAGTGAGCCAAACTGGAAATTAAGAGGCAGCTAATAGGAATAATTAGAGTATTTGGGTGTGTGTGACAGTATGTTCGTATAGTGGCCGATAACCCCAAGCAAAAGACGAATTTCAATTAATTCGTTTTTGTTTATTTATTGACTATTTAAAGTTTATTTTGAGAAAGGAAACTGCTTATGCTTTATAAAAATAATTTCATATAGATACCTATGCAATTTTTATATTTTTTATCATGCACTTTTGTATAGTTCACCATTGGACAATAAACTGACAGTATACAACTGTTCATCTGTAAATAAATCGGTTACCAACAAACAAATACTGCAGATGTCTTTGAAATATATTAAAAAACATCCTTTCGATGAGATTTTATGGCGACCGAACATTTTCATTACGCCTTGTTATTTTATATTTTACATCGTAACAATTACACATCAAGTTTTACCGTGTATTTTTATCGATTTTATACTAAGAGCTTTAAACTATCCACAAACCATGTAAGTATATTATAAATTAATAAAAATATCGAGTTGAATTAACTATGTGTATTTAATAAGACTTGTTAACATTTTAATTTTAATTATTCGTTTGATAAGTTATAGATTATATGCATAGGCACAACTAGGGAGGTGCTAGGAGGTACTCAGCACACTCAAGTTTAAAATTAGTACCCTCTGTTCAAAAAATATTGATGTTACTAAATAACAATAGATAATATTTCAAGTGAACAATATTATTTCATTACAATTTTTTAAGATAACTGATATTAGTGTTTCAAAAAAAAAAAAAAAACTTTCGTTCTTGTTAAACCTTAAATCTAAACATACTATACATAAGTAATTAAATAAAATGATTTGTTCTGGTAAAGTAAATTTTCCATTAAAGCTTCCACATTAGCTGAAGTGTGAAAAAAAAAAAATGAATTTTAATAACATAAATGTGGAATGGAGAAGTTTGTGCTCTTCTTTTATAAACATGTCGTGGCAGGAATGAAGGGTTTCAGGGAGAGACCCTTACTTTATTATACACTTTATATTATTACTCTATCCGTATAAAAAATAGTTCATGGGCCTCTGCAGGTTTGTATGATGGGTAAAATATGTACATAATATAAACATGTGCGTTAAATGTTGAACGTTGTTAATACACGCAATACAGTGTAATAATATTATAGCTAATGCTTAGGTATAATAACAATATAGACTAATGTTCGTATCGTGTCATTTCAGTTATTTGAATATTCATATTATTTTATTTGACATTACGAATTAAAAATTGAAACACAATATAATTACCATAAATCTACATTTTAATGTTCAATAATACAAATACGAATACTTATATTGCACATTAACCCACTAACGTCCGATAGGAAAATGGAAAAGTAATTATAAAACGATTATTGTCGTTTTAATCATTTAAATCGGCGTGTTTCAGCATAATTTTATTAAGCACCTAAATTTATCGTAAAATAAAATGTGTACCTATTATATAGGTGTCTAACTATAATTTTTTGTATTTTTATCCCGGAAAAATAAGTACGAACACGTGTTAATTACCGTTGTTTTAAAACTATGTTTATATTTCTGAGCAGAATATTAATATTTGTAACAATAAAAGGGGGGTGAACTGCTTTTTCAATAAATGTTTCAAATAAAATATCACTGGGCATACAATTTTAAATGATAGGTATGACACGGAAAGATCTAACCATTTTTGAAAACTAAAGTAGTGTTTTTCGAAAGAAAAAGAACACAAACACACACACACACACACGCACAATAAATACTTAATATTTAACTAATAACTAATATTTTCACCGCTACACTCAGAATTAAAAATCTAATCTAGCCAGTCGTATTAGTACAATTGTTTTAATTATTTCAGCAACTTGGTAAAATTGCAACAAAAAATATACTTAATAACAATAGCATTATCATATTTTACTCTACAAACATGGACGTTCGTAAATACAAATTTGTTGGATTTAATTAAACATATCCCGGCTTCAGAACTAGAGGATTTTAGTTTTGAATTTGAACATGTCGACACAGAGTTAGTGTATCTATCTCACCTTATTGGAATACAAAAATATTTATTCCATTCAGATACCAATAACAAAACTAAAACAATTCAAAAATTGAATAGGTAAAGGAACACGATTATAAATTAACTATTTTATTTGTACTTATATCATAAATTATTGTATTTTTCAGAATAATTTGGACGGATCGAATTATAAAATCATTGCTTTTAGTTTTCATAATATGGTGCATATCAAAATTAATTATTAAATAGTATATTTTATTTTGTTTAGTGTTAAAAGTCTCATGTAGGTCAACTAAAATGTATATTACACTTTATGTATACAGAATAAGTTGTATACTTTTTTAAATTTTATTCATCGAAAATTTGAATAATAACTTTAAAAAAAACCTGTTGTAAACATTATCCGGTGTATTGTTTTCATTTTTAAAATTCTATTCCCGCTTTTTATAAAAATAATACATTATTACTTATACAAAACTAAAATAAAAAAAACATCGCTGTTTCGTATTTCTTGAGTCTCATCAACCATTATCCATTTGAAAATTGCGTTTTTTTCTTTCTAATATTGTAGTATGCAATGAGTATAGTATTTTTTGTATTGCAGGATATCGATTTTGAAACAAATGGGGCTGGGGAGACTTGGAAATATACGTAAAATTAAATATTTAACGATGAAAATATTAGGGCTTAAATTTGTAAAAAAAATTATCATTTTTACGTTTTCGGGTATTTAAGCGTTTTACAATTTTAATGTTTTACGTTAGTGTATGTTCAAACATTATTTTATTTTTTCCTTTATTTTAATTTTTCGTTTATTTTTATTAAACGTTATAAATAATTTTGAAATTGGGCATTTTTTTTTTTAATAAATTCTATTGTCATTTTCACATAACTTGCACCGATGTAAAAAAAAAAAAACAACATAATTTTCTTTAAAACACCGAAAAATAATAAATTAATAAATTACTAAATAGTAATTAGAATTGTAATTTGTCTATTTAGATTGAAAATATAGGCAATAAGTAATAACTTATACAATTATAAAAATTATAAGACATTTGATAAGACATCATAATTGTAATCATAATTAATATTTTATAGATTTTTTTACTTTAAATTGAAACACTTTACTTGAAATTATTTTTAAAAAAGTCGGTAACCTATGGTCATTTTATTGTAAAAATAACGAAAATTAAAATTAAATAATTATAGTGAATAAATACTTCCTTTAGTATTATGGAATAAAGATAAACTACTGGTTAGTACCTAGATGAAATATTGTTAAAACAAAAGATTGGATGGGTATGGAAATGACGAAATATTCAACTATTTATATTTGTCACCTAGGTATAATACAATTTGAATTCGCATATTTATTATTTACACCAGACCGCATCAATTAAATTGAACAAAAGCAGCCACTGTTATAGGTAATTTAATGTATACCTGTAAGCAACTATAAACCATTTCTAACGGAGAAATGATTTTGAGCCGAGTTCAGTTGATAGTGATGCTTTGCCAACAATATATATGTCATATTATAGTAAAATAATTAAACAGGCTTTATATATTTTCTTTAATAATATTTGTTTAATATTGTACCGATTTTTCCGTTTTCCCTTTGTTTTTTCCGGTTTCTCACATTTGCTGGAAAACTCTTGGGAAAATCAAAAAATGGCCTCCCTAAAGTACCTTCTCAATCAGATTTCCTTGATTCAAAACAAGTGCTATTATTGTAAATTGGAGCAAAATTATTGGTAGAAAAATTGCTCACTGATATAAAAAAAAAATAAACATCTTTGTAAAACTATTGTTCGTTCCACACAGAATCTAAAAACAAGATAAATTAGTCAGTAATTATTACAGAAATAAATTAATACACGAGTATACGAGATACGAGATACTCGTACTCCAAAATGCCAGATTAATCTCATCCAGTTCAAGACACTGTGTGTATTCAATAATAATAATAATAATAATAATAAAATGTTTCGGAAAATAAAATTTGTTATTAAAACAGGTTAGCCAACATTGAATTGTTAATACCTATTAAACTATATGGTTTTACGTAAAAATAAAAAAGCACTCACATGATTTCGAATAATGCAATTTGCGTTTATTTTTTCACATTACTGCTATGTTTATTGTATATTATTAATTATTAACTATGATTAATGATATTATATTAGTTTTAATGGTATTCGATTTTTTTTTTCCATTTTTCATTTATTTTCCGTTCATTGATTTTGTCGATTTTTTTCCGTAATAACTTTTTGAATCCCCTAGAATATATTTTGTATGATATTTGTGTGTAATTGTGTGATAAGTCCCGGAATCCATACCTAATACCCATCTCTTGTCGAAAATCGGTTAAAAGTTATTTAGCGTTTAGCCAGATTCTCCCCAAAATGAGAATAATACAAAAAAATGTTTAATTTAACGATGCCACTAATTAGTGGGCATACCGCATGCGGTACGGTCCTCGTTTATAATACATAAAACATGCAATTTTCTCTATCGATATTTTTTATCATAATTAAGCAACAAACAATGACATTTTTATTCGGTTGGTACTCTGTGGATAAAATCGTTAGACTAAACAGAAATGTTTGAAAATTTAACAGGAGGTTCATTAAAAGTCGTACTTAGTGGAAAAAAAAAATGAGTTTAATGTAGTATTTTTTTTTTATAAAAGAGTTTTAATATTAAATTTTCACGAAAATCATTTGAGTAAAATATTACGTGGAACAAATCTAGCTACTGTTCCATGAGAATTTATTTTTTTTTCGTATTTTTTTGTTTTGAACATAATATTATGTATATTGCCGATTTAATAACGATGGTGAAGTCAAAATTGAGCGAACTGATTTAGTTTCGAATTATAGCTTTTGAAGTTCTGATATTATGCAGATATTATATGTGTTATGTTAAATAACTCAATATATCTGATAGAAAAGTTGTTCACGGATAACGAAAAATAAACATTGTAAGACCAATAAATTCGTCGCTTCGTTTAGAACCTAAAAGAGCTAATATTTCTGATGGATGCGCCACTGTTGTAGGTAGGAAATCAGGAAGGTAAGATACATAAAATTATATAATTTAAATCTGTACGCAACAATAAACTATTGCTAACTAATTGCTAACGAAAAACGATTTTGAGCGGAGTTCGTTTATACATGTAATATTAACGATTTTCATCAAATTTTAATCGATTTTAAAAAAAATTTTAACCGCTAATTACAACTAATAATGAACCTCGTGTTAAATTTTCAAGCGTTTTAAACAATTATATCTACATAGTACCTACAAAATAAAAATTACGTAAACAACTAGCAAAAATATAATACTTATAAATAACTCAATAACCATCTAAATGTTTTAAAAATTGTACGACATCTTGAAAAGGCAAATATGAGCACTTGTTCAAATTTAAAGTCCCTACGAATTTTTTTACACTGAATCATAACGAAATTAAAAATTGTGAGACAATTATTTACGTAAACTTTGCCGTTCTTTCTATACGTTTTCTTTCTGATTAGCTCAATTAACTAAATTGAAAATAAAAATCCACTTTCATATTCGCCAACTAAATCCAAAATGAAACAAAATAAGGTCTTTTGTTGTTTTTTGATTTGATACAGCAAGATTTTCTGGTAAAAAACATAAACTGTCAAAATATAGGTGAGTAATGGACTACAATAAGTCGTATATTATTACATTTATTATATCCGAGATATTCTAGTTTACGGATTTTGATGTTTCCTCTTTGCTTCCTCTTTATTTATCTTTCAGACTTTTAGAGTATTCCTTGGTTAGTTATGTGTTGCATCCATGATAATTTGCTGAGTTTTCTACGATATATTCTCATATTGAAAACATCTATTCTCTGACAGATTGCTTTATTTAACGTCCAGGATTTGGCCTAATACAACAGGATAAAGATAATTTAACCTTTTTTGGAATCTTACTTTTGCTATAATGGTGATGTCGCAGCTTCTGAAAAGTTTATTGATTTTGTTGAAAGCTGCTGTAGCTTTTGCTATTTGAGTTTTGATTTCTTGGATATATTCCGGCTCTCGTTAATTATTGTTCCTAAATAAATGTTGTGTTTCACTCATTCTATGGTTTGGTTCTTGATCTTTAGATCAATATTTTCTATATTTTTTTTACTAATTATTATAAACTTTGGCGATATTAATATCGAATCCATATCAGTTACTTATTCTTGTTAGGTTGTCTACTAAGATCTAAAGTCCTCTTATACTATTCGCTAAAACAATCGTGTCGTCAGCGTACCTATAATGTTGTCCAGCTGTCTTTCACCTATGTCTTCCACCGGGATTCCTGCTTTTATATCCTCTAACGCAGCGGTTTCCAACCTTTTTTATTCTACGCCCCATTTGTAGATTTTCAAAACTCTCGCCCCCCCTTCTATAACATGAAAAATATATCCCCTTTTCGTGTACTTTACAAAGAAATTATAAAATATCCGAGATGAATACATTCTTATTTTCAAGGGAGCCATTATCTACAGTTCTCCACAATATCTGTATATCTGTACTAGTATAATATTTTGACGAACATACACTCGCGATGACTACGTATTACGACGACACTACGTGCACTTTGCAACAGCAAAATAAAACTAAAGCTTAATATAATAACCTTTTCACCAGGCGTTCTTATCGTACCAATTTATTTACGGAGAGCGTGGCGGCGTGGCGACATAAAACGATTAAGTTTTGTGAGTTTTCAGTCAATTAGTGGCCAACACTAAATAATTGTAATCTTTATCAATACTCAATAACCAGCCGTTATTAATTTTTCTCTAAATTTTAAAATAAAAATAATTTAATAAATAAAAACGTTATTAATATTTTCCCTACATTTTAAAATAAAAATAATTTAATAAATAAAAACTGTATTTTGTAAGGACTGCTTACGCCTCCCCAGAAATGTTGACACGCCCCCCCAGGGGGCCGGGCCCCCGGGTTGGGAAACGCTACTCTAACGTCTCTTTGAATATTTGTTCCGCTTAGATGTTGAATAAAAGAGGTGACAGAATGCGAATCTGCTTTTTTCTGTTTGATTCCAGTAGAGGTTTTATATGATAGCTACGAGTCACGTTCCTTTCGTTTATTTCACATATCTTAAGAATTTCCATAAGTTTCACTAGAAAGTGATGAACTCTATCAAAAACTTTTTGATAATATATAAACAGCCGTAGACATCACAATTAACATCCTTGCATCTTTGCGCTAGTATCTACACAGCAACGATTTTCAATCTAATTCCAACAGTATTAACGAAACCAAATTTATTTTGTTAAATTCGAGATTCATAATTTGTATGTATTCTTCTATCTAGTATTTTCAGAAAGAGTTTCAATAGATAACTCATGAGACTGATTGATGATTGTACAGTATTCACTATGATAAATGCATCACTTCATAGAAGAATATAAATTAAGTAACGAATAGATATTATATTTAAATAATGGTACAAAATTGTTACCTAATTTTGGGTTATTCGAATTTTGATGAAGCACTAATAAATAATTTTTAAAATTACATTAATATAACCTAATTTTACGACTGCGTAATTATTCTTTTTATTTTATTTCTATTTATCTTTATATTTTTGGAATATTTGTTATAAGTACTCGTATAGATCCTATAATTTGTGTAAATATTATAATATTATATTGTACAAATAGCACAATGAAATAATAATTTAACAATCAAAAGTATAAATCTAACTAAATTGTATTTTAACGTACTTTAGAGAGGTAATATTTTGAGTTTTTTCCAGGAGTTTTCTCAATAAATGGGAAAAACCAGAAAAACTAGAGGAAAACGAGAAAATGTACGAAATGTAGGTTAAAAAATATTATGGCGTTTATTAATCCCGTGAACAACGTTTCTACCAGCTATTTTGGTCTGATTTACAATGATAGCACTTTTTATTAAAGAAAATCTTACCGGGGAGGTATTTTAAGGAGGTTATTTTTTATTTTTCTATGAGTTTTTCCGATAAATCGGAAAAACCGGAAAACAATGGGAAGATAAATACAATATTAAACAAATATTATTAAAGAAAATATATAAATGCCTATGTAATTATTTTACCATTATCTCATATATATTGTTGACAAAGCAACACTATCAATTGAACTCCGCTCAGAATATATTTTCGTTAACAATAGTTTATCGTGGCTTACAGATATACATACAATTTCTCCTCTACTACCTTCCCAACTTTTCACCTACAACAGTGAGTGAGCCACCCATTTGCAAAGTATGTCCGTCTTTTTCTATTATCCTTCTTTGATGGTTTTTATTAATTACCCAATAATAATAATAATAATATTTATTAGACAATATCAATTGCATGAAATAATATGTACCATCGTACAGAACATATAATGTATGGTACAATCATATATTTATAATTATTATTTATTATGTTATTAAATACTGTACCTGTTGTATAGTAAATAGGTATTAAATAGGTTTATTGTTATTTATTTATTTTTTTTTTTTTTGTTTGTTTGTAAGTAACACTGTGAATAATAAATTATGAGAAGTAAATATTTTTTATGTGGCAGTTCGTTGCGAAGACATGGTTCACATTAGAGAAAACATTCGTCGCCCTGCATTTTAATTAAGGAAACCTAATGTCTGAAACACAATAGATTATTGTATTTGACTATGTCTACAACACCGTGAGACAAGTTGCGTTTAGTTTCACTACCACTACCATAGCCGCAAAACCGTCATCACAAACATCAGAAACAATATTTCGAACAAAAACCACTTCGTTTGCGGCTCGAGTTCGAAATATTAACTTATTGAATATACCAATATACGTACCAGGACATTAAAGGTATAGATTTTGTTATATCTACTTTTATTACTATTATATACTTACAATACATATAATATGACGTCATTTATTTAGTACCTACTTGTTTTTAGGTATCTAAATAGGTATCTACTATTTTTACAACTATAATAAATGAATGACGTTATGCAAAAGTAACCATCCCACAAAATATGTTCGATATTTGTACATATATGTGTATTACTTACTAATATATTGCATATTATATTATTACGTATACTATTTAAATTTTTTTTTTCACAATATTTGTTCAATTTTCAAATGGTATTTTTGTTTTTTTTTTTTTTTTGCCTAATAGGCCTTTAAGACCTTTTACACGTTTCTTCTGAGTTTTTTATCTACCACGATGCTTTGCTATTTCTATCGCTATCTCGTCGTTCATTGCTTTTGTATCCTTGACTATTTTATCCGCTTTTTATTTAGGTTAAGGTACTTTCCAATGGTTATAGGCTTTTGCAGTATTGTTTTACTAAGTCCGTATTTTTTCTTCTTTTACACTTCATGCATTTTCTTACTCTATGTATTTACTACAAAATTTTCTTTAAAAAAAAAAAAATGTTTGCAACTTCTCTGCTTGGGCGATGAACCAGGTTTCATGTGCATACATGATATTTTTATTCATAGTTTTTGATAGCATTTTGGAACTCACCATTTTATCATCGTAAAGTACGCACGGTTCGTTTATTTGTATCTCGTTATACTTAGTACTTGATATTCTTATCGTTGATATTAACTCCCAAATATTTTAAATTGTCTACTTGCTTAAAATAATATGTTCCAACTTTAAGATATGATTTGTTTACGACACCTCTAGACATAACAAGATATTTATTTAGTTTTGCCTTCTTGTATGACTAATTTGTTTACTATAAATGATTATAATTAATGTAGTACAAGTACTTACTATTTTATTATATTATGTTATTTACATTAGACGAGCACGAATATTTTTTCATTCAGTTCCATTATGTGATTTGTTTATTTGTTTTTGTGTCTCTAGTTACTTTTTCTGGTACAAGGTTAAAAATATGTGAGATAGAGCATCTCCTTGTTTTAACTCGGACTTCACCTCAAACTGATCGGATAGCTCTCCTTAGTAGCGGACTTGTAATAAGAATTTGAGTTATAAATCTCAATTGTTTTAACTAGCTTTTCGGGAAATCCAAAGTTTGGATAGTCAACAGTATTAACAGTTTCATTAGTTGAGATTTTGTTTTTTGTTGTCATTTAGTTAAAAATAATCACAGAGGGCTGAACATTTCACAGAATACTTAAATTAGCCTTTTCTTCTAAACGTAATCAATTTTAAAATGTTTTAGTTGTGGAGATATTTCTAGATATTTGAAATTGTTGAGGTTTTTTTATCTTAGATTCCTAGCATAACGAGGGAGCTATTAGACTTACTAAAATATTTTGAAAATTCTATGGGGGGATCTATACCCCATATCCCTTCCCATGAGAACACTTATGGTGACCGCACACGTCATATCAGCTCTATTTATTTATTTATTTTTTTGTGCACAACTTTTCTACCAGAAATTTTCCTGGCACTGAAAAGGCCATGTTTTGATTTTTTTAGCAATTTAAAAATAGTTGGGAAAAATAAAAAGATATAGACATATTTCGCACAATGAATGGGCCACTATTGTACATGAAAAGTTGGGAAGGTAAAGGATATAGAGGGGAATTTAATTTATAACTGAGCGCAACGGTTAATCATTGCTAACGAAAAATGATTTTGAGCGGAATTCGGTTATATATGTTTTAAAATGCCTTAATATTTACGATTTGAAAATAACAAACATTTTGTAACTTTTCTACGTTTTTTCCCGATTTTCTCTTTGTTTTTCCCATTTATTATGAAAATAGCTGAAAAAATCAAAGAATGACTTCCTTAAATTACCAGCGCAGTTAGGTTTTCTTTCTGAAAAAATGTTATACTTCAAAATCAGATCGAAATTGCTGGTAAAAAAAATTTCCACGGGAAAAACAATAAATACCTATCTAAAAAAAAAATATAAAAATTATAAACATTGTAAAATTAATGTATTTCTCGCTCTGCTCAGAATTTAATAATATAATAAAAAACATGTTGAAAAACGGATACATATTTACATCGGCGCCGTTAATGTGTCGTTATTTTAATTTTTCTAATTTTTGTTTTCAAGAAATCTTGATCTGAATAATTTCAAGTCTAATATCTTTTCTAAAGCAAAGTGTTATCTATATTTGGCGTAGAGAAATATCACATTTTGATTTTTCTTGTCGTTTATGCCACGAAATAGTAAATTGTTATAATTTATTTCCATTTTAAATCTCTAAAACTCACAGGCAGTTTACCCTAGCAAGTACATAGATCAAAAATGAACTAAGAGACTTGATATCAATCCCCTCCTACAACAATAGCTTACCCATGATCAGTATCTTGTACGAGAAGCATATTGAGCGCCAATGTACAAAATACCCACTGCGGGTTTATTTTTTTCTTAATATTTAATTAAATATCAAACCATATATACATAATATATTAAACATATATACTGTACATTGGTATCTAGTACATTAAATACATTTAAACACCATGCAACTATTTATGTGTTAAAATGGTACTTATTTTAAATTCTGAGTGGAGCGAAGAAGCTTGTGGTTTTATAAAAATGTTTAATTATTATTTTTTTTTTTCTGTGGACAGTATTTTCTACCAATAATTTGTTTCTAATTTATAATGATTAATGTTAGCAATGTTTCTAAAAGGAAATTTGACTAGGGAGGTCAAGAACTTTCCCAGCAAATGTGAAAAACCAGGGAAAAAAGGGAAATCGAGAAAAACGTAGAAAAAATGGGAAAATCGATACAATAAACAAATACTATTAAAGATAATATATATTAATTTCTATTTAATTATTTCACCATAATATGACATATTAATGTATATCTGTAAGTAACGATAAACCATTGCTAACGAAAAACAAATTCTGAGCGGAGTTCAATTGATAGTGTTGCTTTGTCAACAATACAATATATGATATATTTCATATTATGTTAAAATGATTACAAGAATGCGTATTTCCATGACAACAATGATTGTTTAAAAAAGATTAAATAATATAATAAAATCTTAATAACAAAAAATAAATAAAAACGGTTGCCAATGACAACCTTATTTTTAATCTTTTAATCTTATTTACCGAGGTTTTCCTCGTCATCTCGAATATTAATGAGAATTTCAAAAAATGACCTTTCTAAAGCGCCACCCAAAGAACATTTCTTTTCAGAAAAGGTGCTATAATTGATAATCGGAGTATGGTATGCTTCTGGTTGAAAAATTGTTCAAATAAAAAAAAAAATTAACATCATTGTAAAACCAATACATTCCTTGCTCCACTCTGAATCTAAAACATATTATTTTTGTTTACTATTATACATATACCTATGGTTTAGTCTATAATTACAAAACCAAAAAAAAAAATATTTGTTTGAACTTTAACTCTTATAAGTTACTTATAGAACTCTTGAACAAAATTTATGAAACTTAACATAAATTATGTTTTTATACTATTGAATAAATTACAGGAATAACCCGATCAAAACTTAATAACAAATTACCCATCTATATAATAAGGACTTATATACATTTAAGTAATTAATTTTTTTTTTTTAATAATAAGTAATTATTTAATTTTGTAGAATATGAGTATACAAGAATTCTTTCGAGGGCGTAATGTCTTCATTACAGGCGCGACCGGATTCATGGGCAAAGTATTAGTCGAAAAATTGGCTCGATCATGTCCGGGTATTGGGAAAATTTGCATATTGGTGAGACACAAAAAAGGAAAAGACCTGAACCATAGAATCAAGGAAATCTTGGACGTTCCAGTATGCAATCATTTATTATTCAGTTTACAATACTATCTAACTATGTATTATTTGTGTGCATACATATTTTGTTCATTATAATTTATTATTTATATTGTATCAAAAAATCAACGACATATTATTCGTATAATCATATAATAACATAGTATTACATAATATGATGCATACGAAGGTTATTATAGTATTTTATTTTATATAAAGAAACTTCTAAGTGACTGCGATAGTGCGGTAGTATTCAATGGTGAACACTGTTAATATTATTATGTTTTGTGCTTTAACCCGAGCGTTTGGAGAAGAAGAAACAAGTTTTTCGACATATTATTATATGTAATTCATAAAAATGGTGAAATTCGAATTATTTTCTTCTTTATTGTGGAGCGATAATTAAACTGCTATTCTCCATATAAATTATAAACCGCAGTGAATTGCAAACCATGTAATAACCAGTATTTTACCAAGTAAACTTAGTGAAGATTTCAATAGGTAATTATATAATGTGATTATTTTAAACATGCAATGTTCGAAATCGACTGTTTTTATACAAAACGGGGGTAATAGTTTAAATGCCTACTCGTATGTTTGTCGACGTAATCATATTCGGACTTTTAAAATAATCCATTGTTCACAATATTTAGCTTGTGTATTGATTTTATCACTATTTCTTTGTTATTCTTGTTTATTCAATTTTTTGTTTGTTTATACACAGTGCTTAATAACGTACCTACGGATAGCTATCACAATTATAATATACAAATATTTTCCGCCCATTTTTTTATTTTATAGATCATTAATTTAATTTCAAAGTTATCTTGGATGCCGTTATATTACTGCAACGATATTCTAGTTCTTCTTCTCGTCTTTAATCAATCACCCGATTGGTTTGCTGTAGATCACTGTGCCGATTTTGACGCTTTTCGTTAAACTATCATGACGCAATGAATGCCCTATCATTTTGTCCCTTCTATTTTTAATAATATGTTTCGTTTTTCTTTCATTTTGTTCAGTACTTCTCGGTTTGTGACTTTTTTTCGATTTTTCAATAGTTAAGTCGTTGAGTGGTGCAATTAAATCTATGATTATCAATTGTTACAATATACAAATAACCTATTGCAAGAACATAAATAAGCACGATTTTAAGTACCTATAAATTATGTAACTGTTATTTATGCTACACATACAATATAATCGTGTGAAAAGTGTAAACATTCGTGTGAAAGTTGCCCATAAATCAGTTGCACTATTTTATACCTTTACTCTCATATACAAAATCATTGTCTCATAAAAAGTAAATTGTAGTTGTATATGATAGGTGTATAGGAAATAATATGGGTAGGCACATAGTCTAGGGACTGGAAACTCACCCGATATTGCGCAACTCGGCAAAATCGTTTTATTATTGTTGTTGGTATATTGTTACCTATACGACGCGACGTTGAAAGAAATAATTTATTCATAGCATTTGAAAAACGAAATTTAACATATTTCACCATAATACGAGTATTTATCCAAGAATTTCGCAATATAATTTTATCGTTAAATAAATATTGTGATATGACGCGTAATGTGATTAAATTCAGTTTCACCATTGAAAAAAACTATTAATACAACAATAAAACTTGGTATATATTTTACAACAATACGATAAAAAAGCATGAGTACTATACTACGATGTTTGCATGGGCACCTGAAGAGGGGTAAGGCGGGGTATCTGCCTTCTCTGGACTTCAAAATTTAAAATATAATTTTATTGTAAGTACTTTTTGGTGTTTGGTTTTATTATGCACCTCCCTCATAAATTTCCCGTGGACGTCCATGAGAGTTTGACGGGAGTAAATATCCCCATTGCTTTCTTCTCCAAGATCTACCACGGATTTGCTTACATAGGTATTGTTTTTAATCTTTCGTTAGATTAAGAATTTATTCAACGAAAATAAAAAATATAATATAATATCGACGTTTTATTTTAATAATTGTATATGATGGTATCTAAACATATTTAATATTCACCAGCTTGTATATTATTGATTTTAAAATATTTTCCGTGTACAGCTTTTCGATACAATCAAAGAACAAAAGCCGGGTTTGATGGAGGAAAAATTATTGCCACTAAAAGGCGACATGACCGAATTACGACTCGGCTTGTCAGATGAAGATTATGATTTTTTGGTGAAAAACGTTTCGGTAATATTTCACGTGGCCGCCAGTGTCCGATTCGACGAGTCGATAAAAGACGCGACTATTATGAATGTTAGAGGAACACGTGAAGTCGTTCAATTGGCAAAACAAGTAGACAATTTAGCAGTAAGTCGACTTTGCATTTTACTTGTATTATGCACTTTATTATTATGGTGTTTAATATAAACGTTTCAAGTCAAATACTTTTACATCTGTTATCATATGTCTAGATACGACAAACAACAGCATCATATATGACATCGAATTTAATAATAGAAAATTTATAAACCGATTTCAAAAAGAAAAAAAAAAGATTAAAATAAAGAAAATATAATAAACTTAAAACATCAAATGTTCTAAAATAGTTGAAGACAAAGTTTAAAATCCGTTGACTAGGGCGCCTTTGAATGTAATTTGTTAAACATTACTACGTTTCAATGTTTAATATTATTAATTTGGCGCCGACTTCCACAGATTTTATAGAATCTTAAAATCTATTATTATGTTCAACTTCTTAGAACTTTTTATGCATTAAGCCGATTGTGTTATTTTATTTGAATTATTTTTGTTTTTGAAATAGCTTTTTTTAAAACAAAATTATTAATTTTAATCTTTTTAGTTTTTAGTGATTTCGTTACATTATTATTATTAAAACGTAATTTCATATGAATTACTCCTTTTAGGCAAACAACAATACACGTTGACATCTATATTATCTATTTTTAATCGCATATTCGAAGTAAATGTTAATCATATTTTAATCAAATTTCATAAGACCGCCCGTGAATTATATTCTTTCAACAGAAGAATATCGTCCAAATTGATTCATAATATGTATCCGAATTATGAGATATGTACATAACACGCGTGAAGTTTTTATATTAAAAAAAAATATATATATATATATACATAACATATTCATATATACATACCTACATTTTATAATATTACGCGTTAAGCGACATTGTTTATTATATTGTTATTATTATAATGTAGATGATAGTATCTGATGATGATAATGAATAAATGAAAAGGAAATAATTTGTTCGCTAAAAATTAATATTAAATGTTCACGTAAAATGTTGTAGGTGCTGTTACACGTATCGACTGCGTATTGTAATTGTATAAGAGAAAACGTCAAAGAAAAAATTTACGAGGCTCCAATTGGATGGCGAGAGATGATTACAATAGCAGAAAATTTAGATCCGGCTGAAAGCAGTATTTTAACGAAAAAGTAAGAGGTTTAAAAATATTTACACGTATTCATGAATACTATTACAATATGAAACAAAATAACACAATATTATCACACTTGATTATTATTATCTAATAAATAAAAAAAAAAAACTATAGGGTTACCTGCCTATACCTACTTATATTTATTTTCAAAATTCAATAAAAATGATGATTTACCTTTCGTATAGATAAACGAATCGCCCAACTTGATATTATTATAATTGCGTAAAGAAAATTAAACTGACAATTTTGTTAATCGCGTGAATCAATACATTACACGTTTCTTAACTTTTTACAAAAATGCATGAGAAAAAGTAAAAAATATGTATATACTTATATTTATTATAATGTTTAAAGTAAAACGATTGTTATTTTTGTGTGATAAAAATATTCGCTATTACCTATACTTAAAATCATAGATATTCAGAAGAAAAATTGGTAGACATTTTCATTTTAAGCTCACGATTAACGTCTAAGCACTTTAAATTATTATTTGTTTACGTTAATCGATAAACACTTAACAATATAATATTTTATCACTCATTTAAGTTATGTATGCAAATTAACGGTTGGCTTTATGATAATGAGTAATAATTTAAAACTAAAAAAAAAAAACCTTTTATAAATAAAAAAACTAAAAGAAAAATAGGGTATCTAATAGTTTATAAAATACAAACTTCGTATAATGTTCTATTTATTCTAAGGGTGGGCCGATATCACTTTTTACCGATACTCGATATTCCGGTATGTGTTACAAATATATTTTTTAGTGCATTTTTTCATATTCCATAGACATTATATAGACGTTTTTCTCTGAAAATATCGGTTTTGAAAAAAAATATAATAATAGTTCCCATATCGACGAAACCAATTCGAGTATATTGGTTTATGTACCGGCCAACCTATAGTTTATTTTGAATACACCCAATTTTACGCAATACAATATAAATAATGGAGTATTTTATAAACCCAATAACAATAATAATAATTGCAATGTCGATATAATGATGTACTGATTGCGTTGTTTATTTGAATGTATATAGATTATTAGGAACGTTTCCGAACACGTACACGCTAACGAAATTGCTCGCTGAACAAATAATTAATGACGAGCGGAATAACTTACCATTGGTTTTATTCAGACCGTCAATCGGTGAGTTGAATAATTGAATTCATTTAAATAATTTTAGACATCTGAATGTAATTATATATTAAAAATGGTGCACAATCCAAGTAAATCGTGCGAAATGCTTTCATACAATACTCGCTTTATTCCATGTCCAGAGACGTCCCTGGATAGTATCCAAATCGCTCCATCTTTTCGGTGAAATATTTGTGCCTAATAACTGTTGGCGGTCGAAACTTACCTATCTTGATCACATATACAAAGGTATAAGCCCTACACAGTCGTCGCTTCCGAATGCTCAAAAAATTGGTTTTAATCAACGAACAAACAAAATTAAATATACACGTGTGGGTTCCAACTCTGGGGTAATGATGAAAAATCAATCGCAAATAAAAGTCAACATTACCGAAATATCAGCCTCTGTAAAATTACTACGTCCACACATACCCGAAAATTGGAACAATACATGAAGAATCAGTAACCTTTTATAAAAACAATTCAACAACAGACTCCAACCTGACCTCTCTACAATTTTATTCCGATGAACCCCCGAGACGGCTAATACGGAAACGATGGTGCCGTGATTCATTAAACGATGGTAGATGAGCTCTATAAAAAAAAAGTCGAATAAAAGGATGTTGCCACTGCCCGCGACAGGGTGACTTCTTTTGATACACAGTATCATCACATATATTCTTACTGTTCTCTATAGCATGAGCGTGCTTACGTGAGGCGATCATGTATCCAACCCTGTAGGGAATAAATTTTGCATCTATCATGAAAACAAATTAATATATTATATGTATTAGCTACGTCCTATATAGTGTATACGAGTGTACCTTCATTAAAATAAATATGAAAACAAATTTGAAACATCAACAAATAACTGGGTACAGTATACAACGCTTTGATACAATTACGACTTCGGATCGATAATGAATGAATTATTTTGCATAATATGCAAATAAATACATTAAAACTAAATCGATAGTGTATTTTTGAAATAAAATATTATATATTCATGCTATCCCGTATGCAACACGAATACCTATTAGTATAATAATAATAATAATAATACTTTTTTATCCTTTTTTATACTACTTGATTATCCTTAATCCTTATTTCGAACTTCAACATTATTCTAGAATACAGATTCAAAAATTACATATTATTGATCAAAACATATAACAGGTATTATATAGTATTAATGAACTAAAATATCAATAATGAAGATAGTAACGTGTGGAGATTCTTCACTGAAGAATAAATCGGTCATAATGGGTGAACTTAACTACAGCACTTTATTCAAATTGAAATAAAAATTAGTGTAGGATAATATAAACTGTACGTTGATTACCTACTAAAAATAATTGCCATTTTTAGATAATTCTAATATATGATAGGTAATTTAAAATGACTCGGTGTCTATAAACAATGTTTTTAGAAAAGCTAAATTTATTTAATATTATTGGTTTCTTTTTTTTAAGTAGACCATTTTTAAAACGTAACATTGAAAGAACAATTTTTTTAGTGCTAGGTAAAAACCAATATTAATTGTGTGTTGACATATAATTAATAAAACACGTACGTTCGGTTTTATACTAATCAATAGTGTTTGTTTTGTTAGACGACGACCTTAAAAATAGTTTATACTAAATTTCATATACGTAAAAAAAAAAGCATATGCGGCAAAATAAATTTAAAAAATCAAAACAATTTAGTATTCGATTCTACTATAAACAATAGCATGTAGGTATACAAAATATATAATGATTCAATTTTTGTTCGCGTTTTTAATATGTTGTACAAAATAATATTGAATAGACAATATTATAAAATATTAAGCTAAAATCATTTTTTATATTCTGTTGGGCAATATGTGTGTGTTCTTTATTTATACTTACTTAATAAAAAATAAAACTAATTGAGAAACATACGATTTATAATATCTAAATTTTGAATAATATTTAACCGGGCCTCCCTGTATACTCTCTTAATTAAACATAATAATATGTATAAAATTTTACCGGCAGTAAAAGTTATTACCTAATAACTTCAAACATATTATATTTGTTTAACGTCTTGTAAAAATAAATTCGTTTATTTAGTAACACAAAGCCTGATACAACTAAGGTACCTATAATAGGTATACTATACCTACTATAAATATACTCTACTACTAATATACTATAATATACTTATAATATATTAGTATAATATTAAATATAAACTAAGGTATAATATCTAGTTTATTATTTGTCGATTTTTTAAGGGAGAAGGATGTTTTTTTTAAATTTGTGCACCTCTATAAGCCCCTCAAACGAATTCCGAGGATACACTTTTATTTATATCTATATGCATAGTGTGAATCTCGTGGATGTGCCTATTGGGAGTTTCAACTTTCAGCGCCACCCTCATTATCTGTTTGTATGTAACTTTCGAAAACTACTTTACGTATTTGATAAAATTATTTTTGTTCGATTCTTTATCATTACCAAAAAGTTATAAGATATATAATTTATATACCTGAAAGAGATGAAAGGTAATAGATCATGAAATAAGGCGGGGGGGGGGAGAATAAACTTAGATAATGGGTGTCTAGCGTACAAAAATCGTATAAAATACAAATTTAATTTAGTTAATTACTTACCTATGTATCATAATTAATATAAAACTATTAATATAAGTAAGCAACTCTAGCCACCATAATTATTTTAGTCATAAAAAACAATCATAAAAAAAAAAAAAAAAAAAAAAGGTGTCCAAGGAAAATTGGGCTGGACATTTTTATAAGTAATTTAATGTATATCTGTATCAATATATCAATGATTAACCATTGCTAACAATTCTTCTTCAATAATATTTGTTTATTATTGTACCTATTTTCTCGGTTTTTCCCATGTATTGGGAAAACTGAGAAAATCAAAAAATGACCTAGTATCACCCCAGTCAGATTTCCTTTCAGGAAAATCAATTTGCTACACTTGTAAATTGGAGCAAGATTTCTGGTAGAAAAGTTGTTCGCGGATAAAGAAAGACATCAATATAAAACCAATAAATTCCCCGCCCCGCTCAGAATCTTAAATGAAATAATATTGTAACGGCAACAAGTCGTCTGAGAAAAAATTTAACTCTGGTTGCGGAGCTCTTTTGCAAATGGGTATTTTTTTTATAAGGTCATAAATTATGATAAATTGTTATTCTTTGACATTGTTCTGATACTTATCACTTATGTAAATATACTTATTACCTTTTATATACAATTGGTACCTATTGTATATTTAAATTATAAATGTACAAAATAACACAAGTTGAGTTGTTCGTTTATCCGTTGAATAAAATAACATTAAACAGTTGTATACAAGTATCCGGTAGACAGACAGTCTAAACATAACTAAATGTATCATAATTGTAACTGATATATAATAATAATAATAAAAATTGCTGCACAAAACTATATAAACTACCGAAATAGGCTACAGAAATCACAATTAAATAGAAACTTATAGATACCTACCTATTTGTTTGTTCGGCTACGATCTTCAAGACCAACTATGCATACGTATCCACCTCCAAATATCACGATCCTTCGCAAATTCATATCTGGTTGTACTTCTGTCACGCCATTCATACGCGGTCTTTCCACGGGTCTTTTACCGTTCAGAATTTCCCATAAAGTTATCACCACTAAATCGTCCTATTTTCTCCATACATGACGTGAAATGTTCACTTTTTGATAATTTTTACTAATATGTCTGGGATGCTAAATAACCTAGGTCTCTTTTAGCGCTGCGGTACATCTTTTCCACTATTCGCCCCTGTTTATGGATTAAGGCATATAACCCAAATACATTATGACGTATCAACACAAAATTTGTTATTATGGTAACTATTCAAATACTATTATACTCGTAGTATTAATGTGCATAAATTTAAAAATAAGTTAATCGCGTTTATCTGTAAACAAAATAATATATCAGCGTATAATCGAAACGGAATGTAACGCTATACATAATGATAAAAAAATATAGGACACGACATAAAATTTAAAATAATTTTATGTATAGGTATAGACTATAATAATTATCGATATATTGTTTTAAGAATACATTAATAGTTATATCAAATATAAAGAATAAATAAGACTGTAGATAGGTGTCATTGGAAAATCAAATGAAATGTTGAGGTTTCGAGGGACTGAATTGGCTTATTTATATTATAGGTTACCTATAACATTACTTACCTACCTATTTGTTATTCATATTTGATGCAGGTACCTACTAACTTAATATCTAACATGATATTCGTAATTTCCTCTCCCCCTTGTATTTTGGATTATACAATATTCAGTCATTATACTATTTATAACTCGACTCTTAAGTATACCGTGAATAAATATAATATATTTATTTTTGCATATACAATTTTGTATTAGTGTAGCCACAATACAGGATAAAATGCTATTATATTATTTCTGAGTTTGTGTAATATGCGAACAATAATGTATACATATATTGACAATACTATAATAAATAATGCTATTTTTTTTTCGGTATTTACAGTTATATCGTCGGCCAGCGATCCTATTAAAGGATGGATAGATAACTTTAATGGACCAATTGGCCTTATGGTGGCTTCTGGCAAAGGAGTGGTGCGAGTAACCTACGGTAAAAAATCGATTATTCCGGATTATATGGCAGTCGACATATCGATAAAATCAATGATTACAGCAGCTTGGTATCGAACAGTATCGAAGTAATTATTATTATTTTTTTTTTCAATTAGTTTAAATGTTTAAAATACAAATTTTGTAAAAAAGTATTTTTAATATTGATAATGTACGGTATTTATAAAAAATATAATTATATTATTTTATTATATCGTATTAGGTACTATACTTACATCGAACCATTTTACGTTTTACAGCTTACCGGGAGATAATTCGATTGCAGTCTACAACAGCGCGTCCGTTTCGAAATCAATATCGAATGAGGAATTAATAACACTCGGTATGAAATGTTTAAAAGAATACCCGTTCGAGGAAATATTATGGTATCCATCTATTATTTTTACGAACTGCTTTTACTACTTTTATATCATTTCTATGTTGACTCAAGTTCTTCCAGCGATTTGTCTTGATAAAATAATGGATTGGCTCGGAAAACCACACAGGTATAAGCTAATTGATAACCTACTTAATTATAATTAATAATAGAACAGAATCTACTAAGAATACAAAGTATTTACTAATAATGAATATGCCACTGTTTTAGGAAGAAAGTAGGATTTATAGAGCATTTAGTTTATATCTGTTATACGCAACGATAAATCATTACTAACGAAAAACGATTCTAAACGGCGTTCGGTTAAACATGTATTGAAACGCCGCAATTTCAGTTTATTTCCATTTATTAAGAAAACTAAATGGAAAATTAAAAATTGGCATTCTTAATTATGCACCGACTAGATAAAAAATTGTACAAGAAAAATCCTAAAATGTTTTTGATCGACGGAAGATTTCTAGTATAAGAGTTGTTTACGGACACAAAAACAAAAATACAGAATAACATCATATAGTAAACAAATACGCTTCACTCAAAATCTAAAATGATATTTTGATTAATTTTAAAATTAACTTATACAATAGATAACTCGTTAATCTTCAAGATTAGTAACAATTTTTTTTCTTTTGTAAATGTACACCCACCAACGCAATGTCATGACCTAGCAAATTATGGCGCACGATAGTGGGTTGATAGATTTTTAGCGATCCAACACCCCAAAAGAAAAGTAAAGTGAAGAATTTTAATTTTACTTTTGGTGTATACTGTTGTATACTGGCCTGTTAATTAGTTTTCGACTAGTTTAAGTATATCTTACGCTAATCATCAACATCATGGATGATTTCTAGTAGCAAAATTTTTTGGTCAGGGCATTAAGACGGTCAATTTTTATTTTTCTTTGAAGTTTCCATAGTAAAAGAAGGAAAACATGAAAATTTAAGCAATATTATATGCGTTTTATGTGGATAAAATTTTTTTCGCCCAGTAAAAATGAACAAAAATTTAACACAAGATTTAACATATACGTAGTACTGTAAATATTTTGAGCATGATGTCGTATTAGATTCTGCAAAGTAGAGCGAAGATGCTTATAGTTTTACAAAGATGTTTATTTTTCTGTGTACAACTTTTCTACCAGAGGAATTGCTTCAATTTTTACGTGTAGAACCTTTTCTCAAAGAAAATCTGTGTGGGGAAGTCTTTTTTCGATTTTCTCATGAGTTTACCTAGCAAATGTAAAAAACCAAGAAAAAACACGGAAAACCGGCAAAAAAAACGTAAGAAAAACGGGAATATCGGTACATCAAACAAATATTATTAATGATAATATGTATTGCCTCTTTAATTGTTTTACCATAACATACCAGACATACATTGTTGACAAAAAAATCATTATGAACTGAATTCCGCTCAGAATCTTATTTTCGTTAGCAATGATTAATTGTTGCTAACAGATAATTTAATACATTAAATTACTTATAACAGTGGCTACACCTGTCTCCATTATCCTAGAACGACTTTTTTTTTTTGTTGACATTGATCCATGTATTAAGAAATAGATACATATTTATGATAACGGAATGCGTAATGATAATTTTAATAAAAAATAAAATACGAGCTGTTTTTTGAGTTATTGTGGGTAGCTGCTGGACATTTATTTTTTTTTTTTTATAAGCGTTTAAGTTTAAATTAAACCTTATTTACTTATTTAATTTAAAATGTAAATAATTGTAATTACTAATTAATTTTGTAGTTACAAATTAATAAAAGGTTCAATTTTAATGTATCAAAAAATATTAATCGAACTTTGAACAGAATTGTTTTACGTTTGCAATGATCTATTGTTGCATACAGTAAATAATATTCAAATTGATTACCATGTGTATCTGATTACATTTCCTACTTCCCACCTACAACAGTGGGCTACCCATATGCAATATCCTGTTTGAGTATCTCAGAGACAATACACCCACATATTGAAAAAAATATATGTATAACCGTATTATTTTATTGTACAGGCCTGTATTTTCAGAGGTTAATTTTGAACTTTTTTATGTTTCTATATAATTATGGTATTCACCATTCAGTACATAGGTACACACACCTTCCATTACCCCCATTAATACAAAAAAGACGTCCAGTGAAACTCGACCGAAAAGCTAAGCTGACTGGATATATTTTCAAAATAAACTGCAACTGGTATTTTTAAACATTATTCTGCAAGGTATTGGTTAGGTGCTTTTCAAAAATAGAATTAGGTTAGACGTTCATTAGTTATAAGGTGTACAAAATAATACAACAGAGCACAATTTACTTAAAATGATATACAAAATTATCGAAATAGTAGCATTAATTATTTTACGCCTGTGAACCTACTTATCAAATCATAATTAATTATGCAATCTCTACATATAGATATATAAAATATTAATAACATTCGTTACTTTGTTGTGTTATAGACGTCTATTACCTATACAACAAAAAATCTATGTGATTACGATGGCGTTGTCGTACTTTACTACACAATCGTGGAAATTCGAAAATAAAAATTTTTTAAATCTAATCGACAAAATATCGGAAGCGGATCGCAAAGAATTCAATTACAACTTCGAAAATATTGAAGCTATGGTATTTTTAAAAAACGCAGCGGTCGGCGCACAAAAATATTTGTTCAATATCGACCACTCGAGATTACCAATTGCAAAACGAAAAATGAAACGGTAAACATTCCTTTAGTATTAGAAAATTATTACCTACCAAACAATTAATAATAATATATGCGTATTATGTACTAAAATCAGGACCGATATAAGGCGCAGGCTTAGGCTCATCACGGCGGCATCGCCGTCATTTTTACGGGGCTGCGTTTTTTAATTCAATGAATTGTAGTCTAAACTAATGTCAAATTTGAGTTTTTTAGTTCAGTAAACACGCTAAAAGAATTAACAAATCAGGTAACAGAATTATTTCCGAACATTTAGGTATCACAATTAATAATATAACAAAGAAAAAAGCATTACCAAATTAAAATAATATTTAACAAATCTCTGAATAATGCTTATAAGGGGTTAAAGCAAGAATAATACATATTTAAATACTATTATTGTAGTTTGTTAATTTTTTTTTTGGAAAACATTTTCGGTTAGTAAAAATGTTCCGATTTGATCGTGTTATACATTAATAGATTTTTTACATACTTTCAAAATTACAAGTAAACTTTTTTCAAAAGAATTACTTTTTATGTATTGTTTTAAAACACTTATTCGGTGTGTAAAATTCTCCAGTTTTTTATGCTTTAAAAGATGCAAAATTTCCACCCGATGGTATTTTACTTGATCGGTTTTTCTAGATTTCAAAACGTTTTATTTAAATAACTTTTAAAACCTGACTGTAAATGACGATACATACGTTTTACCGGCTTACCGAACTCTGTTTAGAATCGAGTTTTAGTTACTATGATTTTTCGTTGCTTTCAGTATACAAACTAAATTACGGTATATCCCATATTTTCCAAATTTACGGCCAATAACAGTACTTTACTCATGGTGCGAAATGTATATTCCGGCTATTTAAACATGTACGTTCACTATTTAATTTGAACATTCAGATATGTGTATCAATGCACGTTATAAAACATTGTAAAATATAATTAAATGGCTATTGTGTTAACAATAATAATTGACAGAAATACCTTATTGTATCAATTTGAAATTTCTACGATTATTTATCGTAGAAAAACAAGAATGGCATATATTAGCTGAATGTAATTTTAGATCAAGCCTCTGTCGATATAGGTATGTATATTACCAATTATAAGTCCAATTACCTATTTTATTCGAACGAGGACGAGGGAACTTTTAAATGTTAAAACAATTCAAAAGTTTCGATGGCTTTTTTTTTTGCTCTTTAATAATTATTCCCCTCCCACCGGAAATTCTATCGGTTTATATTATAATATAGAACCGATAAAATGATCTTGCCCACGCGTACAAATTACTAACGTCGGTCCTGAATCGTAATATTGTCGATTCATTAGCACCATAATATTATTATATGGTTAAATAAATTACATTTCTAATTTTCAGATACATGTGGATTAACCGGATTGTAAAAACGATGGGTTTAATAGTACTAGTACTAGTTTTAATACGATTTAACATCATACCGAGCGCATTGCTCCGTAGTATATGTTGTTTCAAATCAATTATTACTTAAATAATTCATAATATTATTTATACGTTGGGAAATATGATATGTTTTATATTATTTGTAGTTTTTTTTTTTTAAAAATACACGTCTAAAACTCTTTAATCTGATTATTGTTTTTTTTTTCAATTTAAAATACATATTTTTTTTTTATGTATTTATTCAATATGATATAATTACATAATTATATAAGCTGAGATCGAATCAAATGGAAGTTTAGGACAACAAATGTCGGCCACAGATAATCGGGACTAAGGCAAAGGAGAAGAAAAATCCATGAACAGATAGGCGACTAGGGATTGGGCAAAACTTAAATTAATATTAAGAATATTTGTGTTTGGTATACAAAAAAAAAAAAATAAATAAATAATTTAAGTATGTATAAAATTTAACTTTTTGCTCTCAGGTTCAAACAAAACACATTCCCCATTCCCTTTACATAGGGGCGTCAGTGGCACCGAAGCAATTTAAAAATACTCGTGTAAACAAGTCCGATTATTATATTATACCTGTAACATATTATAATAGATACATTAATTATATTATATAATTCACAGTACTATTTTGTATAGTTATATTTTCTACAAATATTACACACACTATGTATATTTCTCACCACTGGAACCATCCATCCATCCACCACCAAAAAAATTTGACCAGGCGATTGCCCGCCCTGTACACCGATTCCGGTATCATTGAGTGGCATAGCCAGGAATTAGTCATTGGATGAGAGTGGTTTAAACAAATATAATGTCTTTAGAAAACTCATTAAGAACTTCGTCTGTCGATAAGTACCTATAATATTATTTCACAGTGTATAACATTTAGTTCAAAAGTATAGGGGGTAGGTTGAACCATTAAAACCAAAAAGGATTTAGTGGTGAGCCAGGATGAATAATATTGTTATTATGAGCTTGCACATATATAACGAGGAAACATGTTTGGCGGTTTACTTATATTATAATATTTACTAAATATTTAGACAAATGCGTTTATTTGATATTGCAACACTGATTGAGTTAATATTTTACCAGCTGTAATGCCCCGTATCGTCATCGAACCCGTCTACGTACATGCATATCTAATTTTGCATAATACATAATAAATGATATCGGTATATATTATTTGGAATATGACTATAGTATAATAATGTGTAGAACATAATACCTGATTTGTTCGGTTTGTGTGACTTTTCTTTGATTTCAAACGGAAAAATATAACATTACACTATATATGTTTTCCCGAAACTTATGGAGTTTGCACAGCTCATGCGCAGAATTTAATTTTGATGTTATTGTGTTAAGCATTGTTGTTCGTGCATCAAAGTGAGGGTTCTTTACACGATAGCTATACACGCACTCAGCCAAATGTCATCGATCTCCAAATTATTATTATCGATGGGAAATGGCAAAATAACATGAATATTTGTAAAGGGCAAAGGTTCCATAATACCCAGGTGGATGAATCTACCTCGATCTATACGACAATATAATATAGTGATAAAAAAAAAAAAATAAGACGTCCTAGGATTATAGGGTTGGGTGAAGCTACTGTTATGGGTAATTTAATGTACATCTTTAAGCAACAATAAACCATTGCTAACGAAATAACAATTCTGAGCGCAGTTCAGTTGATAGCAATGCTTTGTCAACAATACATATGTCATATTATAGTAAAATAATTAAACAGGTATTGTATATTTTCTTCAATATTATTTGTTTGATATTGTACCGATTTTCTCGTTTTTCCTGGATTTCCCTGGTTTTTCACATTTGTTGGGAAAACTCTTGAGAAAATCAAAAAATAACCTTTTTAAAGTACCTCACCAGTCAGATTTTCTTTTAGAAAAAATGCTATCGTTGTAGCATTTAATTGTTCCAGGAAAAGAATTCTGAAAAAACCTAATGATTTCCAAAATAATGAGGGTACCTACTTAAATGGATCACCTGCAGGTATAATATCCGTAAAAGATACGAACAAATTACGTGTAAAAGTGGCGTAATAATACAAAGAAGGGCGGGTTGCTACTTGAAAAGTTGCAAATTAATAAGTGTTTATACAATGTAAAGAATAAGAGTAAAATTTAAAAATTCTGTAAATTATTCTGTTATTATTATCTAAAATGTAGTGATAGAAGATTATTATTTTTGTAATATTCTTTATCAACACGAGCTCAATAACATAGATAATTAACACAGATAACATAGAACTATAGAGCAGCTCGTTTCTCAAACTTTCTAGAAAACAAATTTCGGAACAAAATAATACTTTTCGAGATAATGAGTTTACTTACTTAAATGAATCGCCTGGTATGAACATATTTGATAGAAACGTATAATATTACTACGAGTTTTTATTTAAACCTACGTGCCATAAACTTAAAATATGTGCATGATGATATCATAATCCATCGACTCTTTAAGAGCTATTTATTTCATTAAGTACCTCTTATCCATTCACCAGTTAGATACCTAAGTAATCTGTTAAGTATAGGTGGTACGGTTTAGACACAGATGGAGTTAGGCACGATGATGGCATGACCGACGTCTCGAATAGTTTTGTTTGCATTTTTAGCATCCATCCGCCCCATCATAAACCAAAAACTATTGTAAAATATCCTCAAACCTCGACCAAAAAATAATGAATTGTATCCCGATCATACCCGTAAAAATATTCCACGATTCATCCAATTTTATAAGACACAAACACAAAATAAACACCAACAATTACACAGATATTTAACGGTTGTTAGTTAGGAAAAATATACGATTAATATTTTACGTTGAATACTCGTGAAATAGTTTCCCTTTGTATGTGTTGTGCATACTACGTTTATGTATAGATAATTGTTTATTGGGCTATAGTATTTTAGATTCTGAGTGTAGCGATGAATGTATTGGTTTTACTAAGATGTTTATTTTTTTTTTATACCAAGTACAAAAATTCGACCAGAAATCTTGCTCAGATATTTACGCGCGGAAATATTTCTAAAAGGGAATGTTGTTCAGATGGTGCTTTTGAGGGGTCATTTTTTGATTTTCCATGCGGTTTTCATAATATCTGAGAAAAACCAGGATAAACATTTATTATTTTTCAATTTTGTTATTTGTTGTAATTCAGTTAAAAATATTCATAGAAACTTGAAATTTGGATAGAAAACTTACATTTGTATTTTTAGATTTTGTAAAATTTTTAAAAATTCAAGTCATTTTTGAGGTATCTATAGATATTTTATTTTGAGAGTTTTGTACATAATATTTATTCTGTAGGTACTCTGTGGTAAAATTGTTAGACTTAACAGAAATGCTTGAAAATTTAACAGTAGGTTCATTAAGAGTCTTATTTTGTAGGCAAAACGAGTTCTTGAAAAATAGGAAAAATCGTGAAAAATAAAGAATAACTTGAAAATGTATAAAATACATTATTAAAATATTACGATTTTTTTTTTCTGAAGACAACTTTTCTACCAGCAATTTTACTCCGAACAAGCAGCTCTATAATTTTACATTTATGTTATTTTTTTTCAATTTTATTTTTGGTGGTAAAATCACTACCTATTTTTGATTTTCAAATGGCAACCTATATTAAAATATAGTAAATAAAAAAAATGTATGTATAGAAATGAAAAATAAATAAATTAATAAATGCGTCGCCTGGTGATGAGTGTATTATACGACCGGTTTCGAATTAAAAATTCATCATCAGATATATCACAGTCAAATTATAAAGCGCGACTGAATATAAAAAATTAAATAAAGGAATACATAGCAAAAACAAATTACACTAATTGTTCGTTTTACATAGAAATAATTTATTTTAATAGCAGAGATTGTTTATATGGGTTACATTTAGATATAGATATGTTAAGAAATATAAATTATTTGGTTATTATTTATTATCTAAAACGTTTTGATTCAAGATTATTATTTTTTGTAATATTCTTTATTAGCACGAGCTCAATATTATCTAATATAGTCCATAGAATTAATTTTAATTTAAATAATATTAAAAAATTCTTAAACTTATTAAAAAATAAATAAATCACAGCTCACCAAATAATGTTTGTTAACTATTGTATTATGAAATATTAAAATAGTTAATTTAACGAATTCGCTAAAATTCTGAACAATAATACAAATAATGTAAAAATCGCTTTTATGACTAATAACAATTTAATCAAACATTTTTTTTTTTTTGAAAATGCTGTTATATAAAAACCTAAATGTAACTTGTATACATTTTATAAAGGTAAGACAAATAGAAATTTTGAAATAAGGTACAAAGAACACATTTCTGAAATAAAATTTAAAAAAACTGCCCCTAATTCAAATTTTGCTAAACATGTTTTTGAAAATAACCATAATGTAAGCTTTGATATTAGAGATATTAAATACTCAAAATAATATTTACATTAATTCAGTTTTAAAATAATTACATATTATATACAATGAAATAAAGAAAAATAATTTCAATAATATTTTAAATGTATAAACCGATTTTAAAAATTATATCTTATGTCAATACATTTTTAATAATGGCCAAATTATTTATATTTCTTAACATATCTTTGTCTAATTGTAACCCATTTTAAATAATCTCTGCTGTTAAAATAAATTATTTCTATGTAAAACGAGCAATTTTTGTAATTTTTTTTTGCTATGTGTTCCTTCATTTAATTTTTTATATTCTGTCGCGCTTTACATTTTGACTGTTATATATCTGATACACATATATATACATTTTTTTATTTACTATATTTTAATATAGGTTGCCATTTGAAAATCAAAAATAGGTAGTGATTTTACCACCAAAAATAAAATTGAAAAAAAATAACATAAATGTAAAATTATAGAGCTTGTTTTTAAATGTTCCAGAAAAGGAATTCCGAAAAAACCTAATGATTTCCGAAATAATGAGTGCACCTACTTAAATGGATCACCTGCAGGTATAATATCCGTAAAAGATACGAACAAATTACGTGTAAAACTGGCGTAATAATACAAAGAAGGGCGGGTTTCTACTTGAAAAGTTGCAAATTAATAAGTGTTTATATAATGTAAAGAATAAGAGTAAAATTTAAACAATTCTGTTTGCAGGTATGTTTGTAGGTTTGTTCACGTAAAATAAACGAATATTCTAAATATTAATACAGCCGTAGGTAGCTAACATATGGTTGTACAATATGGTGGTTATGTTGGCATTTTTTACGTTAGAATTACGTTAAGTTAAAAATCAAAGGTGATAAAGGTTTATTCAGGGTTATCGAAATCGAATATAACATTTCCGAATATTATTAACGTCATACAATTTAAAAATCGCGTAACATAAAACTCTTCGAATAGGTATTCGATATCATACTACGTAATTAAATTTGTTTTAATCATTTAAGACGTATTAGGTATAGGTGGGTATATATAGGTGCCTGTACATAACGCTATACATATTTCGAGCCGATCAAATTTATACAAATAATGCCCAACAATAATATAAAAATAATACGTTGATCGATAAAAAATTCGCTACCTACCGATTTTATACTTTCCGACAACGCCGCAGCCGGGGAAGAGGGCACTGGGTGTCAGGCGCGTTCCCTTCCAGAAAATGTTTTTATATTGATTATTCGGGTTACCGAGTACTTCACACCCCCTCCCGTATTTTGTTTGCTTTGGTTATCGCGATACTGCGTTCCGGTTTTGCGATTTTCACTTCGCTATTTTATTTGTAGTCAGTACGGCTGCATCCGAGTTCCGTCCCAATAACTTTTTTTTATACCAATTCCGTCACGGGTGACAAAAAAGGTGCATACCGATTCCGTTCTAATAAAAAAAAAAAAAAAAAGTTAACTAAAATATTACTATATCAGTACAATAAGAAATTATAATTTATATATAAGTTTTTCTTATCAATGTTAATATACATAAATGTTAAATACAAAATATCCAAATAATATTTAAGTATTCAATTATAGTGGTATACACTGTCATAATTAAAAATTTGTTATTAAATGTATACGGTGTATTATCTTTATTTCTAAATAATGTAAAATCGTTATTGTAGTCGTTTTAAATTTTAAACTATTTTAAATTTAGCGTGTATAAAATGCACAAAGAAACGAAACTCGTGCAACTAAATAAATTACAAGGGACGGAACTAATATAACCAAACAAATAATACGGGACGGAATTAGTGTATCCTTAAATTAAAATTTTACATTTGGAACGTAACTCGGATGTAACCTCAGTAAACGTACTATATGTAGTCACGCTATAATATAAAGGACATAACCTTTTTCCGTTAAAAATGAAAATGGTACCTACGATTCCCGATTCCGCCAGAATCTATTTTGTAAAGAGACGTTACGGTCAAATATTTTTTGTGAACCATACATATACTTAAAGTAATACCTTATGACAATAATACCTTGTCAATTATTCGTTACAGACAATACGTGAATAATAAAACAATCAAATTGAAAGGTTCCACGCAAAAATTCGACAACTCCATTTTTTACGAAAATGAGATAATGATGGTTTCTGATAAGGTAAAAAACGACGCGTAGTTCTGTGCAAGAACGAGAAAATTCTGACCAGCTGTTTCAGAAATATAACGTATTTGGAGTTGTCTTGTTTCAAAAATACTGGGCAAGAAACCAGACAACTTCATAAATTTAATACATTTTTTTCGTTTCATGAACAATTTGAAAAAGTGGAGTTGTCGATTTTTTTCGCGAAACCCTTCAATTAGTTTTTTAAAAATAAATCACTTCATATCCATTATATTTAAATATTTCAAAAGGCCACGATAAAATAACACCCAATAATAATTATTAATAATAAATCGTTAGGTATAATAATAGTGATAAATGATAATAATATAAGCCGTTACAGTCGATAATAAATTATAATTAATATAATACAAGTTAAAGAAGTAGCATAACTAAACGAAACCGTTTCAACAAAAGTGTACCGAATAATTTCGTTAGATTTTTTTTTTTATAATGGCCTCTTCGGTAGTTTTTAATCCAATATTATTTGGCTCTTAGCAGTATTTTAGATTCTGAGTGAAGCGAAGAAACTTATGGTTTTACAAAAATGTTTATTATTTTTTTTTTTATCTGTAAACAATTTTTTTACCAGAAGACTTGCTCGGATTTTTACGTGTATCACCATTTCTGAAAAGAGAAGTGAGAAGGTACCTTAGAGAGGTAATTTTTTGATTTTCCGAAGAGTTTTCCCATCAAATGTGAAAAACCGGGATAAAATATGGAAAAACCGGGAAAAGCGTAGGATAACTGGGAAAATTTGTACAACATTAAACAAATTTTATTGAAGAAAATAAAAAAAATATTTATAGCCTATTTAATTATTTTACTACAAAATGACATATATATTGTTGACAAAGCATCACTATCAACTGAACTCCGCTCAGAATCGTTTTTTCGTAAACAATGGTTGATCGTTGCTTACAGATATACATTAAATTTCCGCCTATATCCTACCTTTCCAACTTCCCACCTACACCAGTGGCTGCACCCGTCCCCATTATCTTTTTATATTATTATAATTAAACCATCGATTGAATGATATAGGTTATATTAAACAAAACTAAACTAGAATTATATGCTACGTTCGTCAATCCGAAATAATTTTAAATCATTGGTTGCCAAACCTTTTTTCGGCAAAAACGGAAACCCTTTTTTTGTTTGTTTTTGGCGGAAAAAGGCTGTGACGTAAACAGCCAATATTATTTTACCGGAAACGGGTAATCACCCGTCGGCCAAATATCCGCCGTAGGCGAATGGCCATAACAATGCAAATGTGTTATATAATAGCGTCGATTAGAAATAATAGTATTTCATTTTAGTTTATAGTACGCCGTTTAATCAATGGATTGTGGTACTCCGAGAGAAAGATCTTGAAAAAAATTTTCCGGAAATAATAACCTATTGATGAGTATAGATATCCGCTTATAACTTGTTAACTCATTTAACAAAATAGAATCTATGGTCATAATGGAAGAAACTTCGAAGGGCGACTATATTTGCAGAAAATTAAGGCGCCTTTCCGCCTACAACAGTGACCTACATACCCATGTCCCATGGGCCATCGAGCGTATAGGTACTTACCGACAATAATACAACCATACCTACTGTACTATGGAATATATTAAACTTACAATAATAATCGGGCAACATATCGATGCATATTTTGTGTTGTGATAAAGCGATAACGCTATAAAAGCCGTCGTACATTTTTATTTGCAATCTGTTTATTTATCGTTGGAATTACGTTCACGCAACCCCGCCCGCTAATAACACACAAGCGCCCCCGACGACCGTCCCGAGCGATTACTCGGCAACCATATCGAACCGTCTGCTGATAAGGAATTTATCTAATTGCAATATTTTACGTTGGTGGCTAGTCCGCTAGTCGCTACTAGTCTACTCTCCCGTCGGTAGTTACTCGTTTGCGTTCGAAGCACAATATCTGTCGGTACGTAACTGTGATCAAGATACCTACGCGCTTTTATTTATACTTGTTCGGGTCCATGCATAATAATGTAGCGGTGAGTTGGTACAGTTGTAATCGTTTTAAAACCATATTGTTCTGAGACGTCAAATGAACAACTCGCGGAGTGTGAAGTAAAGGATTTTGGGTCAATTCATTTCCATTAGTCTGCGTGCGTTATTGTTTAACCGGTAGGTCAGATACTGGTTTCTGAATGTGTTCATAAACGCTACACTGAAGGTCTCTGATATAGACGTTGTGGATGAAAAAAAAAACAAAACCAAGTATGTATGTGGTTTAATTAGTAATAAAACATACTGTGTACACCGCTTTGTTTACTTTGCAAACTTATTGTTCAACCGACGACGACTGAATGACACTGTGACGTACCTAGCTGTATAGTGCACATAATATATTATATGTATTTTTTTTAATTACAGTTCACCAATAGAGTTTAAAATAATATTTGTGAGTGTTCCAAAGGAAACCCAACGATTTCTCGACAAAGACTGGTAGACCGATTGAATAGGAAGAAATTATCCATTGCTGTACATCACCCGCAATACAATGCGATCGATTGTACCGTTGGCCATTTTACTCTCTTCGATTGAGATTAATTTCTGTTTGGCTACTGACCCTCTGGCTAAAGATTATGGTGATCTTGTTTTTACGACTCTGGTAAGTATTTAAAAATATAAAAGACCAACTATCAACTGTTAAAATCACCCAAATAATTTGTACTTATTTAGTAAATTTTTATTCAAGTCAGTGGTGTAAGCAATCACCAACAATTATATACCTACCTATACCTCCATCTGTTTTTACTACTTCTAGAGATCCGCTTTCAATTTATTTAGTACAAATATTACCAAAAATGATATAAATAAATAATTAACCGTAGGTAAATCTTGAATAAACACTATCGAGTAATAATAATAATTTAAACTGTTTGAAGTCAATGAATGAAGATGACAGTTTTAATATGACAGTGTCGTACCAACGCTGATAGTATAGTAAATTAATATCATGATTGGTCGTGTAACATATTTTAAATTTGCCTATATGCCATTCCCTTATATTATTCTAAAATTTAAAAATGTAATGTATAATTTTACATTATTAGAATTTGATTTTGGCTTAAACTGTTCATTTAAAAATACATCTAGAATAATTTATAACTGAAAGTATAAGCAACATTGCATTGCTTATATACACACATTGGTTCAAGTTTATACCTACCTACTAATTTAAATTTAAGTCTTCTTTTGGCAAAATGACATTCTATGAGTTTTGGCCGCGACCACAATATCATATCACTTGTCTTTGTCTTGCACTATATCTTTACAGTCCTCAATATCCAGCCTCCCTAACTCTTCCAATACTCCATCCAGCCATATTTTATTGAGTCTGTCTAGTAGCCTTTTCCCTTGAGGTACCTATATTTAAAGGCTGCTCTTATTGGTTCGTTTTCTTTCTGATGCATGATATTTCCAAGCCATTGTATTGACCTTTGACCTTTGATGAAGTTAGTTATCGTTCCCGTTTCCAACATATTCTGTAGTTCTCTGTTATATCTTCTACGCCATTTACCCGTGTAGACATCTAATATATCTAATACAGGTCCACAGATTTTTCTCCAGGTTTTATTTTCAAAAATTCTCAGTTTCCTTTCCGCCGTACAAGTCACAATCCAGGCCTCACATCTGTATGTTAAAGTTTACCTTGTTATGACTACATATATTCTGAATTTTGTTCCTCTTGACAATATCTTAAAGTTGGAGAATTTCACTAGAGCTTAAAATGTTTTTTCAGCTGGGTTCAGCTGAATATTTAAATTTACTTAATTTACTTAAATAGTTAAAATTATTCAATACCTAATATCCAATTTAATTCAAACACTAATAATAACAATAAGCATTTCTATTAAAAACGATTCTTGAGAATAGCAACATTAGTGGTAGTTGTGGGATTAAGCCAAGATAACAAAAAAATAAAACCGATAAATCAACATTTGTTGACAGTTTTTTAAATTGTATAGAAAAACTTTTGGGAACCTAGATATTTGATAGATGTTTTAAATAAAGTACTATCTCAAAAAAATGTTTATCTTTTGAGGTAGGGCATAAAATATCTTAGTATGTTTACTAAGCTAAAAAGTATTTTCTTAACTGGTCATTACTCGCATGTGAGAATATCCTTCACATAGTTTTTAAGATGAGAACCACTGGCTTACTTGTAGTTGTATTTTATCGAATTCATAAGAACTATTTAAAAATATATTTATCGATAAACAGCAACTTCATTATTTTGATAAGGAAAAATAATTATTCGTGATTATATAGTCACAATGGGTTAAGAGAAAAACCTGCATTTATACTTCGCTATACCCAGAATTTAAAATGTATACAAATTATTTTATAACAAATAATTTTTACATTAATATTTAAAGATAGGTATATATGGTTTAGAATTATTAGGTGCCAACTAAGTTAAATGGTTTATGGTAATGAAGTACCTATCCACTTAGCCATCATTGTATAATCATTTATGTGTTTTATATTTTTTCATATTTTAATAATTAATAATTTTTTTAATTTCAGCTCTTTAGGCATGGAGACCGAGCAATTACTGGACAGTCTTATCCTAAAGATCCATATAAAAATGAATCTTACTGGCCTATGGGATATGGACAACTGACAAATGTAAGTGCTTTGTCTTTTTAATTATAAATTATTCACTTCATACTAGCATAGTTCTGGAGATTAAAATTAGATAAAGTAAATAAATATAAAAATAAGAAATGTAAATATATTCATTTTATATTTACTATATTGTTTTACTTTATTTATTTAAATATTTGAACAATTTTGTTTTTGTTTTATTATTTTATTATTAAAATTGAGTAATAAATTTACCTAATATTTCTTTGTTCATAGATATTTGACCTTGTATAATATGTATAGGTACATTTAATAGTGTATTTTCTATTTAGCAAGGAAAAGAGAGACATTATGAATTTGGACAGTGGATAAGAAATAGATATACAAATTTTTTGCCAGAAAATTATTCATCCAAAGATATATACATACGTAGTACTAGTGTTGATCGTGCCATAATGAGTGCTGCTGTAAATTTAGCTGGTATGTATCAACCATACAAAGATCAACAATGGAATGATAATTTAGGAAAATTATGGCAACCAATTCCAATACATTCAATTCCACGTAATGTAGATACGGTAAATTTTGATGTATTCTTATTAATATGGAACTATTTTTATTTTGCTTTTATTTAAATTCTCTTTTATAAAAATATTTAAATAAAATAGGTTATTGATTAAAATAATAATACACATTTTTAGGCATTGTCTTTTGGAGATAACTGTCCCAGGTTCAAAAAAGAATTTAATAATCTTCAAAATAATCCAGACATTCAACAGTTTAATAATAATCATAAAGATGTCTACAATTATATTAAAGAGAACAGTGGCATGAATCTTACTGATTTAATTTATGATTCTATGAATCTATATGACACATTGTTAGTAGAAGTAAGTATTTAAAAAAATAATTTTAATTAACATATGTTTCTCTAGAATTTTACTTGTTTTAATAATAGGTATAATCAGGGTTCAGGACTTATAGTATTTGTTAAATTGTTTGCCTTGATATTAAATATAGTAAATTGTTATCATGTTAATCTAGTTCTAATATGAAATTAAAGTGTTATTTTTATTTTTTTTATTTAAATAGTTCTAATTAGTTTTATTTAAATAAATACTTCTAATTAGTTGTTTTTATTTCAGAACTATAATGAAATTTTTAAACAATTTTTTGTTGATTTAAGTGAACCCTGGTTATAATTTAGAATCTTTTGAGTTCTCGAATAATTTTCTTTAAAAACAACTTATTTTAATTATTAATTAATTATTTATATGTTCATGTTTATAGTCGCAATTCAATTACACATTACCCAATTGGACACATGCAGTCTTCCCAGGCAAATTAGAAGAGATAGCTGAAATGTCATTTAAATTGCCTACATATACTCCAATACTGAAAAAACTTAGTAGTGGTTTGTGATAATATAATGAAAAATTAATAATTGATATTAATATATAACCATATAGCCTTTAGGTTTTAATAGTTTTTATGTTATATTCTGTAAAATGACAATTTTCAATTTTTTTTTTAAATTATTGTAAAGTTTTACATTTTTATTTTAAGTTCCCACGCTTAAAAAAAATATTTATATTTACTTATTATTAATTGTAGCGCAGAGAGAGGCATTCTAATCATTTAAAAAAATATATGTATAAGTATAAAAAATTTCAAAATATCGAATAGAATGAAAGTTTTTTTAAGTGTCTGATCACACTAGGGTGCCACTTAAATTTTTTTTTTTTAAATTTCTTACCTTACTTTAAGATTTTATTCACCATAAAAACTATTTTGACGAAGTTTTAGAATTTCGAGTTAAGTTTTTCTGACCGCTCAATGCATCTTAAAATATATAAATAGTAATAAATACATAAATATTGAAAATTAATAATTTATTATTTTCCGTCAACTTTTTGCATAAATGTGAACATTTTTAATAAATTTGCATTATGTAAAATGTTATATAGTTATATAATTAATAATATAAACAAAAAAATATTAGGTATTCAGAGATTTTGAAGTGTTTATTTGCTTGGATCAGGATACTGTTGACGATGTTTTTCAACGACTTGCAGTAAAAACTGTTTTTGCTTCTCTTGATTGGTCAAAACTGAATTAAAAAATGAAATTAAAGACACTCTTCGCTCTGTTATGTCATTCACAACTTTTAAAGATTCCACTGTTTTCTTTCCACTTAGATATTCTTTATTAGTTTCCCATGTGCTTGGATCAGTCCGTAAAAAGTTTGTTTCAATATTCAATGCTTCAAATAANTTGATAAAGCTGATATCATGCTCAATTTATTTGCATATGAAACATTGTTATCAAAGAATGATAGACCTACTAATGTGGAGCTCAAGTACCATAAATGACGAGAAAAACATTCTAAAAATTGCCTACATATACTCCAATACTGAAAAAACTTAGTAGTGGTTTGTGATAATATAATGAAAAATTAATAATCGATATTAATATATAACCATATAGCCTTTAGGTTTTAATAGTTTTTATGTTATGGGTATCACAAGTAAATTTTAGTCCTTTCTCATTAATTATCTTGTAACTTATTACTTAATAAGTGTAAAATGTATGTATATACTAAATATATTCATTCAATTAAGTTTTTCAATCACATTTTTCTGTCAAATAAAATTAATTATTTAATTTAATTAATAAGAAGAAATAAATAGGTTGTTCATTGTCTGAATAAGCTTATTTTTCAAATATAGTTACAATAAGGTTATCTGTTACTTTTTATATCAAACAACTTATTCAACAGATGTCACAGTTGATGATGTAAATATTGATTATTTCTCCTGATAATCATGTATCATTTTTATTACAAAAATATTGTGTTGTGTCACTGTGTTGATAATTTTGGATTACTGTTCATTTGAAGACAATGATGACTATAATATAATTCAGTTGTGCATTCAGTAATGTGTTTATTCTCCTTACACAAATCTCAATCATATAGACTAGGTAACCTGTCAATTAATATTTGCAAAATTTGATATACAGTTTTTTCTGAGTCACTTGAAACCAAAAACTGTACATGGATCTTTAAAGGGACCACCTGTTTTAAATATATCACTTTTATCTTTAGTTTATAACATATTTATATTTTGAACACATATTTTAAATTATATTTATATTGTTATATTTATTTGCACAAACCTTAGTGTGTAGTAGCATGTAGTACAGAATATTGTAAAATGTAAACAAAAAGGTATAGAATAGGTATCACAATGACACAACACAAATCACAATTCACAATAATCATCAGGCGGTTCCTTATACATTTTATAATAGATCAGTGTAAATTGTACCATAATGTAAAATTACTATCAATTAAATATTAGTATACATTTTCTCCATAGCATTTTATTTTGAATTATATTCGCCAAATAAGTTTTACTTATCTGGCTATCGTATATGTGACAATCAACTGCAATATTAAAAACCAATCAAGCTTAAATAAAATTAATACTATTTTTATTTTTAAGGTGTCTTACTTAATGAAATTGTTGAACATATGAAACTCAAACGAACTGGTAAACTAAACCCTGATATTAAATTATGGATATATTCTGCACATGATACAAATGTAGCAAGTTTATTAAATTCCTTAAATATCTATAATAACAAATTACCACCTTATGCAGCTGCAGTGTTTTTAGAACTAAGGAAAAATAAAAATGTCAATAACTCTTTTGTTATTACTGTATGTTTATTTTTTAATTTTTTAATGGAAGTTATTGGAAAATTGACTAACTATTAAATTTGTACAGGTGTCTTACAGAAATACTAGCACTCATGAACCTTTTTTACTTCAAATTCCTGGATGTAATTCTGTAGCATGTGATTTGGATCAATTTATTGAAGTTGTAAAACCACTCATTGTCACAAATTGGTACAAAGAATGCCATACTATGGAAGAAAATAATTATATGACATATTTTGGTAAACTAGTGTATATGAATTATTATTTTATGATTTTAAATCGTAATTTAATTTTTAAAGTAGCTAAAATTATTATATATTTTTAATTTTAGTGTTTTTGTTTTAGGAATTTTAGCCATATTATTGGTCGCTGTTTCTATATTATTTTTCATATTCAATAAAAAATTATTCCTTTGTTACTGTGGTAGAAATTATGAAAAATGTATGTATAAAATTATCATAGATGACATTTATTAATTAAGTGTATATTTAAAAATGCTTTACTTCATTTTTTTTTTTTTTTTTTTTTTTTTTTTTTTGTTTGTTTGAAGTATTTAGTATTATTATTATTAGTATATCAGTATTATTTTATTTTATATTTTTTTATTTTTATAACTATTTATTCTTTGCACCTAAAATAATTGAGACATATTTATACTATTGAATTTAAATAGTTAATGAGAATTCAAGGAAATGTGTTTCAAGAATTCTTAGTGTGTTGTAACTTAATTTTATAAAAACTAATAATTATTCCAATGTATGAAATTTTAATGCTATAACTGTCCTCTAAGGAATAAAATAAAAATAAAATCTTATAATTTTTTCTTATCTTTTTTTGACTGTTTACAATTTTAGAAAATTTGGAAAGTACCTCCTCTTAGTATATAGCTATAAAATACCTGTTGACTAGGAAATTATTTCCATTATAACCATTCTATGATTTGAGTATTATTATAAATACAAATCAATTAATGAATAGGAATTAAATTTAACTCTCTAAACAAAAAATGTAAGTATGCTATAAAACTGTTTAAATTTTGAGAAATATAATTCTCATGTCAGTCAACTTGTTAGGCATGTTTATAAAATGTAAAGAACAGAATTGCATAATGAATTATTATTTGCATACACTTATTCTATACTTATTGATGGTCTATATTTTTATTATTGAATTAACAGAAATTTTAAATTCTTAATTATACATAATTCATTACTTAGGGGTCATTAATTGAATTACTAAACCAAGCTGTTTGTTCGAAACTTAAATATACAACTCATTAACCAAAAAAAAAATTACTTGAGTTTAGGTTACATATTGAAATTTATGATTGATATATTTTACACTATACCTTGTTTAAAAAAAAAAAAAAAAAAATTATTAATTATTTTTATGAATAAATAGTTGTTAATTATAAACTTTATTGTTTATAACCTTTTTATTTTTTTATTTCAGTTTAATTGGCCTGGCATGACAATTATTTATGTATTTAATGTTTATTGAAGAAAATATGTGTGGTTTTAATATTTTAGTATATTCAGCATGCAAAATAAATATATTTTTATGTTAGGATAATTATGTTAGTTTAGTTCTTGTGTTATACCAAAAAAGTTTATTAGAATTATTTATTTTAGTTATTATTATTATTGTGTTACCAATTATTAGAATGTGATATTAGTTATTTTATTCAAATTTAAATTTATATATATATATAATTATGTACTCTATGCAAGACTATGATTTACTAGTTGAGATGAAAAATAGTGAAAATTGATAAAAATTTAAATATACCTACTTACAAATATTTTAATATCATACATATTTCTATAATATATATGCAATTTATAGTTTGTTATTATTGGCAAAGTCATCTAATTATTTTTGTAATAATCAAACAAATAATTATAATTTTTTTTTATATTTCAATGGATTAATGTATAGGTGCCAATTATTTTTATAATTAACTGATAATTTTTGTATTCTACATTTTTATAATTTTTAAGAAAATGTGAAATTTGAATAAAAATGCGATTCAAAGTAAAGAGCATATTACAATCTGAATTTTATAATACTGAAAAAGAATTGCCTATTTTTTTACTATTATTCAATATTTTGAAAATCATAGACTTGAAAACTAATACATTTTTTTTGTTTTGAAAATATTACTTGATGTAGCCTAGAATACCAAACTTATAATATTTATAAAGTAGACATTTAAAAAAAAAAAAATGCCCAACGTCTTTAACCTACACATTTACTTTTATTGCATTGTATTGTTTATTACTAGGGCTGACAATTATATGCCCTAAAAATTATCAAAATATGCTCTTAAAATGATTACTTATAATATATTATACTGCAAATGATTTATAAAAGAATGGTACAATTGAAAACAAGAATGTTTTATTTTTTTTGTTAATAATGAAAACAATACATTACATTAAATGATAAAAATTTTAATTCATACATAATATTATTGCATTGAATAATTAATGATTTGGATAAATTTTCAAACAACAATGAATTGTTATATACTTATATAGATAGGTTAGGTTAGGTCGCTTGTCTGAGATAACTGAAATCACCTGAGATACCTTCTAATGTAAAGAATATTTCATAGGATAATATCTTTGAAAATTTTATTAAAAATAGAGAATACTATACTTTATTTTGACTGATATAAATAATAGTTAATTATATGTATTTCAACCTCTTCCCCCCACTATTTTTCAGAACATTTAGCTACTTTCTCTAGATTTAATCTCTAAAGTCTCTACACTTTGATCTCAAATTCAAGAATTAGTTTTTTTCTGTAGGAGAATGGAATAAAATGTTAGTTGAACTTTCATATGAACTTTAAGTTGTTGTAGGAGAAGTGTGGTGCTTTTGGTTTCATACAGCTCAACATTTCCCCTATCAGGCCAGGGGTATGATGCTATTTTTAATATGCATAATGCAAATATCAATGTTTTGCATTAAATAGATTTTGTTGTCAAGGATGTGTCTTTAGAAGGTTTTAACTTTCAATCTCACTGTCTGTTTGTATTTTACCAAAAACCTCAAGAACTGTATTAACTATTTTGACAAAAATGTTTAATTTAATTTCTTATTATTATGGAAAAAAAAAAACAGAATATTGTAACAAGTCAACTAAGAGGTTAGGTAGGTACTCAACATTTGTGTGGAGCTCTACTACTTTTTTTTAAAACCACTTAACATTTGTATTTTTGGTATTTATCTCAATGCCATTCGGGAGCAGTTCATATTTTCAAATGAAGAGTGTTAGAAAAGTTATTTGTTCCAATAGCAATGTAATAGAAAATTTATTTGTCTTAATAGATATGAATGAAATAATCTATTTTATATAATACAGTGTTTTTTTTCTTTTATCATGAATCAACAATTTTGTTAGAGGATTTTAAGTGAATTTGTTTTTTTTAAATCATTTTTTAATTTTTACTCCCACTCCATGCACCTTAAATAATTATATACTTTAATTTTCAAATACGAATCCTCCTTTTTAAACACAGATTGTAGTGGGGAATATTTTTCTACAAAATATGGGGGTTCCTATTTGAAAAACAAAAGTATCTATAAACTTATTTAAGGTATATGGAGTGGGGGTATAAATTAAAAATTGTTTTAAAATAAAGCTTAATGATTAAAAAAACAAATTCATTTGAAATCCTCCAAGAAAATTGTTGATTTATAATAAAAAAACCATGCTGTATGTAAATTAATCATTATTTTATTTTTAAATGTAAATTTATCCAATTAATATTATATATTGAATACTTTGATAAACAATATTATCAATGTAATAAAGATAATATTTACATAAGCAAAAAATTAGTTTTTTTATTGTTTCAATTTATATATATTAAATATATTATTGTACATACTTATATTATTTATATTACTTATTTCAATCGTTTTACTGGGTTTAATTTTTTTTTATAGTTTACACTACAAAAATATACTAATTGTTTACTTTGTATTAAGTACCTACCTACTACAAACAATCTACAATTTGAGTTCTCTTCTATTCTTATTTTATTCTGTAAGAAAATCTCCATATTTGATTTTAAAAAAAAAATTATTGAATAAATAATTTATTATGATTGTGCAAATTCAAATAGTATGTTTATATTAAATTTATATAGTATTTATATTATACCCACATTATTGCAAATAGGAGTATTATTTAATTTTTTACTAGGTATATTTTTACAAATATTTTCAAATTTTAAAATACTAAATCATTCAAATTTAATACATTTTTTTCGTACATATAACTATTCGAATAAATAACATTTCTAACACTCGTTAATCGAAACATGACATTCGGAGACATGTTACCCCACCCATGCTATTTGTGCTGTATTCGAGTTTCGTCCCAAACATAAAATTTGAATATAAGGATATACTAGTTCCGTCTCGGGTTTTTAGATGGATATATTAATTCCGTACCGTGTCATTAATTTAATTATACGAGTTCAGTCCCATGCATTTTCTATACGATATTAATATTGTATACAATTTTATATTATTTAGAAATAAAGATAATACTATTTAACTTTTAAACTTTCCAGCCATTATTTGTACATCTGCATGTCCGGATTTATTATTTTTATCATACTGCTATAATAATATTGTAATTTAGTTAACCATATTTTTATTAGGAACGGAATTGGTGTATAAACTTTTTTTACTTGGGACGGAATATACTTACTGGTGTATACTTTTTTTTCACCTGGAACGGAATTGGTATAAAAAAAGGTTATTAGGACGAAACTCGGATGCAGCCCCGCCATTTGTACCACAAACTTTCATGTATTTTTACTTTGTGCAGTTTCTATTATTTTAATTAATTAAGTAAGCTAGTAAAACATTCTGGCTTTATAAAGATGGTATAGATATTTTAAAGAATTCATAGTATGAAAAAATAAAAGTTAAATTTACTTTAACTTGACTTTTTTTTATATGTATACAGTGTGTCTCATAATGATCTGACACTTGAAATAAGTTTTGTTCTATTCAATAATTTTTTAAATAATTAGTATTATTGGTATAGTTAATACATTAAACACATTTTTTTTAGGTGGGAGAACTTCAAACAAAAAATAAAAAATTTGTCTATAATTAAAAAAAAATCAAGTAATTTTATATAAAAAAAAAAATGTTTAGGAAATTTTTGGTCGTTGAAACTTGCTTATATATGGTTTTTATTATCTAAAATGTTTTGAAATTTTTGTAAACATAAATATTGTTTTGGCTTATAACCGATGTAGTGAGTATTATTATATAATATTAACTCGTGGAAATTCATGAAAATAGTGGTTGTTTATTGTGTTCAGATTACTGATTAAATATTATAAATAACAATAGTATTCACATTTGCCAAAGATTCAAAATAATTGTAGAAAATAAAATATCATAAGTAAACAAAAGTTCCTAGTCAATACATTTTCTAATAATCCATTCTATAAAATGACAATTTTCAAATTTTTTTTTAAATTATTGTAAAGTTTTACATTTTTATTTTAAGTTCCCACGCTTAAAAAAAATATTTATATTTACTTATTATTAATTGTAGCGCAGAGAGAGGCATTCTAATCATTTAAAAAAATATATGTATAAGTATAAAAAATTTCAAAATATCGAATAGAATGAAAGTTTTTTTAAGTGTCTGATCACACTAGGGTGCCACTTAAATTTTTTTTTTTTAAATTTCTTACCTTACTTTAAGATTTTATTCACCATAAAAACTATTTTGACGAAGTTTTAGAATTTCGAGTTAAGTTTTTCTGACCGCTCAATGCATCTTAAAATATATAAATAGTAATNAAAAAAATATTAGGTATTCAGAGATTTTGAAGTGTTTATTTGCTTGGATCAGGATACTGTTGACGATGTTTTTCAACGACTTGCAGTAAAAACTGTTTTTGCTTCTCTTGATTGGTCAAAACTGAATTAAAAAATGAAATTAAAGACACTCTTCGCTCTGCTATGTCATTCACAACTTTTAAAGATTCCACTGTTTTCTTTCCACTTAGATATTCTTTATTAGTTTCCCATGTGCTTGAATCAGTCCGTAAAAAGTTTGTTTCAATATTCAATGCTTCAAATAAATGTATAGTTTGATTTGTCACTAAATCTGATAACTTCTTCTCAGCCAATTCTACTGCTCGTATTTTTAATTTTTTTGCTTTACCTTCATCACTCCCTAAATTTGATAAAGCTGATATCATGCTCAATTTATTTGCATATGAAACATTGTTATCAAAGAATGATAGACCTACTAATGTGGAGCTCAAGTACCATAAATGACGAGAAAAACATTCTAAAAATAGCTTTAGCTATTGTCTTATTCTCATAAGCTTTTAAATCATTTGTGGGGGCACTAGCAACATCAGGCGATGTAAACCAATATTTAATACACATTTTGAAAATAAAAACATTGAATGTTTTTAATCCCTCTAGAACTTCGGGTTTTAATTCAAACTGTGATCGAAACATATAAATTTTCAAACAGTAAATGATTTTAGACATCCACCTTGCTCTATGGAATGCTCCGGGTGATTGTGTTGTAACTTTTTCATCTATAGTTTCTCCAAGAAATATCAAACTTAGATGTAGTAATTCTATGAAATCATCTCTCGGCTGATAAACTGATAATTGATTTCGAATGAAATTGATTATGTCATTTTGTATGAGTATTATATCAAAATATCAAAAGAAATAGAGTTGTCCGACATTGCACTTCCATAACCTTCTTTATTTATATTTGTCCAGAATTTTGAAAATGTTTTAAATAATAATAAGTCAGGGCCAGATTGATGTTCATTTGGAAGAAAATTAAATACTTTCCTGGCTATTATTTCAAATATATGATGTCTACAAGCTAGACCTAAGAGATTTCTTCCGATTTTTTGTTCTAAAATGGTACAGGCCTCTTTTTTTATACCGGTGTTACTAGCTGTGGTATCAAAACACATAAAATTTACTCTGTTTACGATATTCCATTCATCCAGCAATTGAAATACAGCATTTGCTTGTTCTTCTCCAGTTCCTCTGGTTAATTTTGGTACTCCAAGTAGTTTCGTTACTCCTTCTCCCGAGACTAAAACTGCTAAACGATCAACTGATTCTTTAGACATTAATTCTGGTAATATTTTACCGTCCTAAAGAACTGTAAGTGCAACTTCAGGTTGAAAATCTTGTCTAATTTCTTTACTTATATTTTCCCTATGTGTTCGTCTCATTCGACGGATTGTTTCTTTATTTAAAGCGATTTCAGTAGTATTTAAACCAATTGTTTCAGCTGTAGCTGCATATATATATGTGGCATTACGATCATTAACTTTAGTACGATCTAGTGCCGACGCAACAGCTCGATTAATTATATTCCTCGGACGTTTTCTAGGACATTTTGGTAAAATATATTTTACTTCTTCGTCACTATCACTTGTACTTTTCTCACTACTGCTACTACTACTAATACATAATACTGTATGTTTTCCAATTTCTAAACGTTCACTTTCTTTTTTTTTTTATGATATTATATTTAAGTTCTTTGTAATTAACAATTTTTTATCGAGTGCACCCATCGATCCTCGTCTACCCTTCTCTCTTTGTGCTTTCAAAAATTCTTTGTCTTCTTGTAATTTAATTAAATTCATAGCATTGGCATGGGCNCTGACGCAACAGCTCGATTAATTATATTCCTCGGATGTTTTCTAGGACATTTTGGTAAAATATATTTTATTTCTTCGTCACTATCACTTGTACTTTTCTCACTACTGATACTACTACTAATACATAATACTGTATGTTTTTCAATTTCTAAACGTTCACTTTCTTTCTTTTTTTTTTGATATTATTTTTAAGTTCTTTGCTATACATTTTTTTTCTGTAATTAACAATTTTTTATCATGTGCACCCATCGATCCTCGTCTATCCTTCTCTCTTTGTGCTTTCAAAAATTCTTTGTCTTCTTGTAATTAAATTAAATTCATAGCATTGGCATGGGCAACATCAAAGAAATCGTCTAAATTATTTACAAAATGATTCACTTTCATAACCTGTGTTTCTGTTTGTCTGGTCGCATTTTTTTTAATACCAATCCATTTCAAATGTAATTTTTTGATCTGATTAATTATATTATAATTTTGTTAACTGATGGCAGTTTAGATCCAGTTAAATGTTCACTTGTGGTGCCAATCAAATAAATACCACGATTTTTCGAATTTTTCTAAGAAATTGTAATAATCAATCAATAATCAAGTTTAATAATAAAACCTTAGATAATCAGTTTTATCTTAAAAAGTAGGTACCTAACAGATAATCATATAAGTATAAAACTTTGATACGCTTGAGCGACCTTGAAATATCCTGTAGTACGATATTTTCCACCCTAAAGCGAACATTTTGATTATGGTCTTTTTTGACGGTTATTAATTTCATTTTTCCGCTTCAAATTCGATTAAAATTATACGTCGCCCTACAGCAATGCATGGTTTGCTTGTACCCTAGCGACGGACCTGGAATTACCCTCCTAGAATAGTTACGAACGATAGTTGAATTATATAATATGAGTAAGTTTAAGACTCAGTAAAACTGTAAATCGTTTTTTACACGTAACCTTCATGTCCCATATTTTACAAAACAATATATTCCCATTCGAAGAAAACATATATTTACCATATTCAGATATGTGACTCCTTGACACGACTGCAGTGTTTAAAGGAGTTTAACTTTCGGGATTTGAAAAAACCAATAATTAATTAAACATCAAAGTCGATCGAAATCACGCACCACACGAGTATAAACCACGTCCGATAATTAAAACAAAATTCTAGTAGATATAAAGGTACGAAACTATTAACGAATTGAAAATAATCCATAACAATTTATTCGATTGAAACAAATTGATACCTAAAAGTACGATTTTATCCATAACACGAGTATGTACTTAATCTAATAATCTAATTAGCTTGTTCGCCAATTGCTGATTTATATAAATCTTAAACGATTATTTTGTTATTTTCGAATCGTCGAGTTGAAACTTTGCGAAATCCTCGAAATATCCTACAATAATGTACAAAATCCTAGAATAAGCCTTAAATATGCGAAAATTCCGAAATATATAAAACCAAATTTTGTATACAGAATGTTTGTTAGACCGCGAAACAAATGTTGGTATAAACTGGTTTTTTTTTTTTGACCCTCCAATATAAACGTGTTATGCAAATGTGTACAATTAATAATGTCAGTCCTATTAATTACAATGCAAAAATCAAATGCCTACTAGTTAAAAAGCCTACCTTAACTTACAGCGGTATTGAATTTTTCTATACTATGTTAATTCTAATTATTCGACTACCTAAAACCTGGATAGGTTTTAAATTTTAACCGAACTATTTAAAAATGAAAAAAAAAATCATGTTAAATAACCTTTAACCATAAAACATAGACATTGTACGAATAGAGATAATTAACATCGGGGCTAATGGGAGCCGTAGTGACGTAGCCAGGATTTATCAAAATTGGTGGTGTAAGGGGTTTAGTGGACCTCAATCGTCTTAACCTTATTTATTTTTTGCGAGATTTTGAAAAAATGAATGTATATAATGAACTATCTGTTAATATTGTAATAAGATAATTGCAAATGAGGCGTCGAAACGAACTATTTCTTCCAGTGCTCTTTCCAAATCATGCTCATTGTTATCTAGGAGTGAAATATCGTCAGCGAATCTTAAGAAGGATATTATTTCTCCACCCATTTTTATGCCTATTTTATTTCCGAGAAGTGTTTCTCTAATTTCTTTAATAGGCTGTCCGACATAATTATTCAATAAGGCTTGCGAGAGTGGACATCCTTGTCTTACACCTTTCCTAATTATCGCTGTCTATGTTTTGTCAGTGATTTTTATTGTAGCTGATTGATCTATGAAATTAAAATATGAAAAAAAAAAACCACTGGGTCAGGTCATATTTTATAAGTATTATAATGATATAGGTAGATAGGTAGGCTATACTTTCAATCGACCTTTGCGGAACTTTATGATCTATTCTCTGTAGTTACTCTATACTAGAGAGTAGTATTTGGGTCACCAAAATGGCGGCCCGCGAGCCCGCAGACAAGTAGGAAGAAAACGAAAATATAATACGTTATTTTAGAATAGTAATTTCCTATTTTTGAACAAGACTCGTCAATTATTTCACAAAATAATTTTCTATTTTTATTTTATTTAGATATAATTGATTTTAGTTTTACATTGTTTTAAATATTTATAATATTAATAATGATTTTAATGTGTATACAAACCATTGGAAATTAGGAAATTTTACTCTACAGCTGCAAACACACTTCCTTTCCGAAGTGTACTTGTAAAGAAATATTATGGACATGACTGTTGAGGCGGCCGGTGCCGGAAAACGATATATCAACATTATAAATTCCACTGACAGATATTGATGATGGCTGACTGAGAGAATGAAAGGAAAACCTCCTATTAGGCTGGAAATTAAAACAAACAATTTATCATAAATAATTCGTAATATTATAATATCATTATTCGTAGTATGGGTGAGCAATAGTGTACACCTTGTTTATTTAGTATTTTATATCATGACCACAAGTGCCCCGGACATAGGCGCAAATTGGGGTGGGGGGAGCTTGGAGAGACTTAGTCCCCCAAAGTGCCTACCAAGTCCTACCAGTTTAAAGTACGTATAGTACAAAGGATACATCGTTTTTAAAAATTAAACTCGAATACGGATTTATAATTATTGAAAAAAAAAAAAAAAAATGTTGTAAACGTTCTACATTGTTTGAACAATGGTACCACTAATCGTGTAAAAAAACCTACTGTGTTGTGCATACGCGGGAAATAAATTACGATAAAACACGATAAAAACGGCCGCTATTTTCAATATTTACAAACGTGAAACCCCTGAAATTAGAAAAAATTAATCTTCTTCAAATACGCTGACGGTTTATGTTTTTCGCGCAAGATTTACGCATAGATTTCATTTAACCGTGGATTAAAAACGCGATAATTTACATTGTAACGAATAACGAAATCCCTTCCCATATTATGGGGACAGACTTGAGTTACCCCGAAAAAAATTTGGGCCATTTGTGCCCGGCACACAATTATACCTACCTGTGAATAGGACGACCGCAAATGACACGAACGAGGTCTTGACCTCGAATGTGCCGACTGCATCGGCGACCGTGTCATTTGAATTTCACTTATTGTGTAGAAAAACGGACGAAACCCGCGACGATGGGAGCATTTTTAGAAAAGTTTCGTTTTATAGACAATTTTCACTGTATCTATTGCAAGTAGATAGTATTGTAGCCATGGTATAGTCGATATTATTAGTCAACTCGATTAATTGATTTGCATTTATAAACGCATTACTATTATAGGGATGGACCGATACTTAATCAAATACACGACGTCGTCGGGGGTATCCATGTCTTTGGACGTGAAAAAAAAAAAAAAACGAAATAATTGTTAAAAAAAATTACGGATTCTCAACCGGTATAACGATTGGATTTCTATATCCGAAACGTGTTTTCCGATTTCAGATATCGGATACCTACCTACCTGCCGGTAACCATCGCGTACGTGTGGACATGGGTAAAAACCGGTATCGGGCCGTCCCTAACAGTATTCTGTTACAATGCCCGCCTGTAGTTGATAATATTTTACGCGCATTTTACACGCCTGGTACCGACTTCGCCGTTTTCATAATATTTTTGTTTGCGCCTGCGGGTTTTCCTAATGTTGCAGTGTACCACGCCGTGCCCCGGGAGGAGACCGAGACGGTCGACTTGGACCACGACGGACGGAGTCGCGTGGCCGTCTCGTTCCGGATGAACGGCGTCGAGAGCACGTCGGCCGACGTCTGAGATGACGGCGGCCAGCTGCACCTGCGCGACGCAATGTTTTTCACCACGGCACCACCCATATTATCGCGATCACACCGCCGATTCCCCCAGAGAAACCTACAATAGTCCTAAACTGCATCCCGGTATTAAGCATAGAAATCGCACGTAGTATTATCGTATGTACTCGCAGTACGCACCTATGACGATGCATTATTGTTGTGAAACCGCAACCGGTGGCGCGAGTCCGGGATAGATTTCAAAAGGGACGTGCCGTCTCCGCGTTACGAACGCTAGACACGGGAATTTCCGTTCAACAGTAACGGTTTTGTGTCGTCACTCATTTATCGAGTCAATCGGTCTGTTATTATCACACTGTAAGGAAGGACGTTATCTGTACAACGAGTTTTTTTTTCTTTTCTCGATATTTCACTTTTTAAGCGAGGTGTAAGTACGTATGGTAATATGCACGCGAAACATCGCGCACAATTGAAAAATGCTCGCGTTTCGTTTCAAAACGAAAATACCGAAGGGGAAAAAAACCTACGTGGTTGTGCAGACGATGCGTTCCAACCTTCCAGTTTGATAATAGGGCAATTCACTCGGCAATTGAAAATAAACGGCACAAAATCGTCCCGCGTTTTACATACCCGTGTTTACCTACCTACTTATTATTAGGTACACCTATACATTTTTTTTTTTCTCTTTGGGGTTCTACAAATAATTAATAATTATAGACAATAATAGTGGACATTAACGGTAGTTTAACAATAATTACGTTTAATTTTAACTTAAATTTCACTTAAAATTCACTTTTCATTTACTTGATTTTTAAACTGACTAATTTTTGTTTTTCCACGTGCATTCACAACGATAGGTCCCCGGCTCCATAGTTTACGCCACCGGTTGTAATAGGTTAGTAGGTATTTTAAAATTAAGATAACATTATGTATTTAGTAACTGTTCAAAATATGTTTTATTATTATGCACTTATCTGTGTGTATAAGCATAGGCGTCCATTTAGGGGGGATCAAGGGGCCTGTTATACATTGTAACAACTGATGTATACAGTTAAACAATATACCAAGACAGGTTGACCAATATAACGGAACAATACAGTTCATAATAATGTAACTTGTACCCTACCACCAGATTTTTTTTTTTTTTTTTATAAATGGACGTCCTTGTTCATAACATACTGCCTCTGTATACATATAATAACTCGAGTGAATTATGCTATATTAATGTTATTATTATAATTATTTATTTATTTATTTTTATTTTTTTTTTTTGTATTTAATTAATTATGTAGCGCTATTCTCTATCCGGGGGGGCGATGAACTCAAATTTTTGCATCAACACCAGCGTGTGTCGAATTATAATAGTTACACACTCGGACCTTATTCGTATAATTGTTATAATATTATTACGCGCCTGTGCGTTTCAGCTGTACTCATACAAGAATAATTTGTTCGCTTATTAAACCTAAAATATGCTTAGTAGATTAAAAAAAAGAAAAAAAAAATCCTAATTTATTATTTGTATGTCGTTAATTATTATCACGTATTAATATTAAGGAACTACGACAATCGCGATATTGACGATTATCATCGATTATTTCCTATATATATATATATATTTTTTTTTTTTTGCGGGTGCCATATACCTATACTAAACGTACCAACGAATAGGAAACCTTATTATTGTTATTATTATTAATTGATGTAATAATCGAAAAACGGACCGTTAACTGTACGACAGTGTTTGGAAATAAAATTAGTTCGCCGTTTTTTTTCGGAAATGTCTATGTTACCAATAGGTTGCGGATCCTAACAATTTACCGACGCCTCACAACAGATCACACTGCAGTCCCGGGCACAAGACTCCGGAGCAGATCGTCCTGCTCCTTCCCCCCCCCTTTTCGTCATAAAATTATACTCGATGCGGTCGATTCGAAATTATACTGCACAGAACGAAATCGAACGGGGATAAATGTTATTGCAAAAATGTACACAGTTTTGTTAAAATATTGTAAAACCGCGGTCGATTAATTTATAATATAAGTACATGCACCTATAATAATAGTCGTATACACCGTTATCGAAGCATACTTGTCGCTCGTAGGCATTTCACATCAAGTCGGTTCACATCTGCAGTCGCGTCTCTCGAAATACCATTATTACCATAATATAATATTTTATGATGATCATAAACATATTTTATGCATAACGCAATACAACGCCCGCTGCGATAACGCAGATGGTAAACCGGTGTCCCGGGAGTATTGTACATTCGATATATTTCGAATGGTTTTTTTTTTTAAATATTGCACGCATCGTTTCAAGCGAGTCATAAATTTATTATGCGGGTTAGGCATATATACAACGTTCACAGAAAACGGAAAAAAAAAAACATTTGCATATTATTCCGGAGGTGTTGGATTATAACGTCCGGTAGGATAACATATTATAAAATACCTTTACTTGCATTAAGTGTGTATTATTCGAACGGGTGCATTTTGTTTCGTTCGAAACATCAAGTAAGAATATGTGGTTTTTTTTTTCGCGCGTGTACTTATGCGGAATATTGATAACTAATAAATAAATAATTAAAAACACATTCCGGGTGATAATAATAATAATAATAATAATAATCGCATTTTTCAATACAAATGAATAAAATACATAATGTTTTATGTTATTATACTACATACGGTTATCATTAATAGACTAAACACGATTGACAAATGTATTCAAAACTCATTTGAATTACTCGTATATCGCACGTCACGCATTAAGTATTTATAATACAATACGTTGAATTTATTTATCGGGCGCTTGTAACATTACAACATTCGCGTAATGTTTAGCGGCGAGTTTATGCGCGTGTTTGTCACGTTTTCGTTCGCACGTCGGTCCCTCACGGATGATACGGTTATTTTCCGTGCAAACCCCCAACCCCCGCCCCTCCGCCCCGCCCCGCCCCGCCGCCCGTCACAAATGTACGCGGTATTGTAATACCGGGTCCGCAATCGTCATACGACGGAACGCCCGCGAATGCAATGCGATAATGTCGTTTCGCTTAATTCACCCCCGGGCAGCGTTGACGTGTTTCGATCGCGCACGGTTCGGACGGCGTTGTTATGCGGAGGTCGCGCGCGCCCAATATCCGATGTGACGTCGTTTACGGCGTTTTGCTGCGCGCGCGACGGTTATCGGGCACACCCGGAACGGCCGCGGCCCCGCATTGCAATACCGCGGGGCCGTTCGAATCGCGAATTCAACAGCGCGTTACGGGCACCGCCGCGGGCGTTCGCGGCGGTGCCCCGGCCCGCGCTCTGTATAACGCGCCATTCGAAAATACGCCGCGCGCCCCGTTTGTCCACCGTGCGCGGGTGCCTGTATAACGTGCCCGCCGCCGAATTGTCGTTGTGTGAAACATGCCGTGTAATAAATAAATTGAAAAATACGAATTTATAACAATATTATTATTATGTGTACGGTTATAAAATTACATTATTATACGTTGGAATTCGAAATTTATAAAACAAATATCAAACAAAACAATATGTTATATACCTGTATGTTATTGATTATTATATTATAGTGATAATAAACGAGTTGTAAAACGCAACAATAATTGCACTTTCGTGTGTGTTGTTTTTGTTCGTCAGATTCCCTTTCAGAAAAGGCGGTACACGCGATACCCCGGAACCACGAATTCCGGTAGAATTTCCGTACGCGGTGTAAACAAATGAAATTGAAATCAAACGTCAATGTAAAACCAATCCGTTCCTCGCTCCGTTAAGAATGTAAAAGATACAGACGTACCTCGCACGACAAATGGGCCGGTGGGCAACTGTTTTAGGTGAGGAGTTGGGAAGGTAGAGGGGAAATTTAATATATATATATATATATGTACGTATATCTGTACGCAACGATTAATAACGAAACAGGATTCTGAGCGGAGTTCGGTTAATAGTGTTGTTGCTTTGTCAACGATATGCAGAATGATTCGTAAGTCTGCTCATCAAATTTTTTTTTTTTTTTTTTTTAATTTTGCATACATTCAGATTTCGATTTTTGGAATTTTGGTTTTTCAAATGAGAACCTATATTGAAAATTCCATAAATAGATGGAGTATGGCGTATACTCCATACTCCATAGTGTTAACATTTTTGATTTTCGTCAATCCGTTAACGAGATATTTCACTTTTATGTTTAAGTTTGGGGGAGAGTGGTGAAGCAATAATAAAACGCCGCGCACGTATAATACTACATTACACGCACCCCCTACCTAACTCAAAAGTTGAATATCTCGGCAACGGATTGACGGAAATCAAAAATGTTGACATCAAAATGTATTTACAGTGATACTACATCTATGTATGGGATTTTTAATATAGGTTATCGTTTGAAAGACCAGAATTGATCATCGTAGGGTACTCCTTAAACGTTGTAAAAAATCTAAGTATTCGAAAATATCGGCTTTAACTACACTTAAAAATTCCAAAATCAGAATTTAAACATATTCAAAATTTAACAAAAAAAATATTTAACATATGATCATAAATATTTTCACCATATTAGTATTATATTAGTACTGGTTGAAAAGAGAAAGATAAGTAGTGGCCGAAAAGGGTGGTGCCCGTTTATTACAGACTTCCTAATTCATCTCAAGTGGGCAATTACAAACAATGGACGATGTTTTGGTGACCGTGAGTGTCTAAATAGTTTATACAAACCCGTCTTTGAGTCAGCAAAGGGGAATATGGGTTTGTTGAAGGGATATGGGATGGAAGAAAGGATGATTGAGGGGGTTGATTTAAGGACCAATATATGATGTTTACAGGAAGGTCGACATTTTTACAGATTGGAGGTTCCGTGCAGACACTAATTTGAATTAAAACATTAAATTTAGTAAAAACATATAACATTTATTTGTAATTTTATATTATTTTTATGACAGTAAACTATTGTTATTATTTATTAGTAGTATTATTTTCGTTAAATTGTTAAAACAAAAACGGCCTCCCAATTCTCTCCGCGATGCACCATTTGGTCAAAATTAGCTTCCAGAAATCACCCTGAAGTTGATTGCTGAAATAAAATTTTTGGTAGAAAATGTATTAATAGGTAGAAAAAAAGAGCATGCACAATAGCAAAGCAAAAACCAGCAAAGGCCCAACTAGACCATCAACTTTGGAGTTGTTCAAATTAGGGACGCATGAAAGACCCATGAGGACTATAACTTAACCTAACTAACCTCCCACAATTCTCTCACACGACTCTCATAATAGGTAACTACACATTTCATTTATAATTTTGTAGACATAAATTTACCACAAATATTTTAACATTATATACACATGCATTGTCTGTATGAAATTTGTATTTTATTCTGTTCATTAACTACGGAATACCTGAATATTTAATAATAAATAAATATTTAATCTTTACTATGAAAAAGCTGATTGGACTTTTTTAGGGGTACCAATTTTAAACAATTCAAACTTAGGAGTGCTAAAGTCTCCCTAGCACCCCATTAGTTGCACACGTGGAGACCAGTACATTTCTCGAAATGTTCAGAATCTAAAAATACGAAAATTGTTTTATTATTAACTATGGACAGTGTTAAGAAGGACCGTGTTACTGTTATAATAAAAAAACGGGAAACGGGAATGAATTTCTCTCTAAAAGAAACGTTCGCAACACTTATTACGAGTATAGATATTAAAAGACTTCAGATCTATTGAAATACAAATATTTCGATGTATAGGTATTACGTTTTAACAGGAATATTGAAAAGTTGATCACAGATGTGTGTAATAAATACGTTTAATGTAATGTTGAACGAATTGACATAAATTTCATTTTAAATGGTTCAATATGAATACATATTTCGGCGATAAATGTTTAATAATATTATGCCCTATACGCAAACGTCTTTTTTTGTAGGTTATTTGTATATATATATATATTTTTTTTTTTATCGTTTTATTGTGTAATATTCGATAAGCGTTCCCGGACTAATTACAATTAATATTAATGGATAGGCTTAAATCTATGAAAAAATTAAATGGGCTCGCCGTCTACTCGTGCCTACACCTTCCGTTCTCCCTCCCCTCCTCCCTTCGCGCATTGTTTATACATCACGTAATATATTCTTATTATATTATATTACTACAGTATAGGTATACATACAGAAGCACTCGATTAGGGCGTCGAACGTGTTCCCTCACCGACATTATAATATATACGATAAAAAATAATTTGGTATCGACCGATAGTTGCAATACAATGTAAACTACCATTTGTGTTGAACTTTACATTATGACATGCGTATATTTGTACCGCTTTCCTCGGATCAATATTCGAGTACCTACCATCAAACACGTGTGCGAATGAAAAAAAAAAAAGAAAAAGAAAAACATTAATCAACTCAGTAACAGACTAAAATATTATTGCGTCGAAAATATAGGCACCTATGATCTTTCACTAATTATTGTTAAAAGACGACGTATATCCGGCCGTAGATTTAACCAATTTATCGCAGTACAATATCATACACGATTAATAATAATATATAATCCACGGTGAACACATGAAATTATAATTAAATAATTTCAATGACGTCCGATTACAACGATGCTATGTGAAAAAAACGAATACCTAACCTGTAATATAGGTTTATTGTTATATTATAATACCCAGTGGCGTGCGCGTGTAGGGTGATTAGGGATATTATCCCCCCTACACAGAGTTTATAAATACAACAATTATATGAATATTTTTTTGATAATTACAATTTTAAAAATATATATTTTGCATATTTTGGCCAAGTTATAAGGAAAAGCTTAATTTATTGATTAAAAATTAACTTTATGTCGAATTTTCTCCGAAAATAAAAACTATTACACTGTAATGTGTCTGTCATAAGGATCGACGTTACGTTGCCTATTCAAAGTACGTTAACTGGCCCAATAATATACTATTCATTACAATGATTATAGTAAATCAAAAGCCACACATACTTCATACTATAGGTAGGCCACTGTTGCGTGTGGGAAGTCAGAAAGGTGTTGGGTTAATATCCAATACCTTTCTAACTATAATTAGTGGTTGGTAATTCGTTTTTATCGTACTGGATGCAACGATAAATCATCGCAATCAATGTACGATTTCGAACGAAGCTTGGTAAAATGGTAGGCAAAATTATCTATCGTGTCATTCCCCAAGTGACTCAGAAATCAGCAAAATTAAAACCGTTATATCGTCGTTTGGTTTTTGATTTTTCAGTAAAACTGTAGGTTATCTAAAAAAAAAAAATGTTTAAATACACCAGACGGAAATTCGAATATTTTATGATACGATATAAAAAAGAGTTTTCAAAGAAGTAAAACATCATAGTAAAATTAATTGCTTTTTTTCTACACTCAGAATTATTTATTATAGTTGAATTACCCGTCGATGGCGGGGTTAAAAAAAAAAATCTCATACCGTTCATTAAACTAGACAGTGGACACTACATTTAAATCTTTTATTGCAATACCTATTATTATAATCATCCAACGATCCTACCAATTATAACCTTTTATGCTGATTAATTTGAGCTAAATGTATTCCATTTTATTATTTATTACAGAAAAAAAACAGGTATCTCTCCAAAGACTTTAGTTTATTAATAATTTAATAGACAATAATAATATGGAAGTTACTGTCGTAAAAAAACGTTAGATTAGGTACATAATATATATTTCTATGCGAGTTAGCAAATGTGATAAGTACAGTTTTTTCATCGGTTTAATAATTAATAACTATTTTAATAATTAATCGAACTTGCGTTTAAAAAAAAAATTACGAAAATCGGTAGGGTAGAAATTCAGATATAACCAAGAAATCGTTTCACGTTTTAATAATATAATAGATAGATAATAGTTAGATACATATTATTCCACGTAATTGTATTTAATTTGGATGTTTAGTATATAAGTCGAAGTTCCTATTTAATTAGTTTCGTAATTATAACATATTAGGTGCTATTGAAAATTAAGTCATCAATTATTTTTTATCGATTATTGGTTTACCTAAGCGGTATATCACTCGCTATACACTTGTTATTTACTCGCATGTAGGCCTTTAATACAATTGTAGTAAATTATTTAAAATAATGTTTGATATAAATTGATGTAGCCATATCGAAGATAATATTATTAAGTGGTCAATGGTCAAATCGATCGGATGTAGTTTTCGGTTCATTTTCATTTTAGAGTACTCTGCGATTATGATTTATTAATCATCGACAGTTCATTATAATTTGTTCGGTATTTCTAAACGAACCTCAAATCAATTTTAAAGTTTCAAATTCGGGCTCATTCGATATCGACAGTTCGTTATAATTCATTCAATATTTCTATAAGTGCGTAAAATCAAAGTTATGGACGATTCGAGTGTCTCAACTATGAATGACAGTAATATTCATGTAGTTGATACTGTTTATAGAGACCAAAGTGAGCCAATTCCATCTACCAGTTATGATGTGCAATTATTCGAAGGTCAAAGCCAAATTTGTGCCCAAGTTGACCTACAGCCGTCAAAGCCAATCCCATTGTCTACTACTCGTATACTTGATGGGACTTTTTTTAAATTAATATCTTTTGACTCTAAAAATGTAATAGCAAGTTGTGTTGTATGCCTGCCAAAAAATGTAAACATAAAGGGCTCTGTATTTTCATCCTCAAATTTTAAAACTCATTTAAAGAGAGTGCACGATAGGTCTGTTTTATATGAATATGAAAATTATATTGTTAACCCACGAAAGTCAAGAAAAGGAAAAATGATAACTTCTCACGATACGAATTATAAAAGAAAAAAGAAAAATTACACACAAGAGCAATTTGATGAAGATATAATTAATTATATTATTCATGCAGTAGCACCTTTCAGTACATTGAAAAATCCATTTTTTGAGGAAATATTTATTAAATCTGGAATTCTTGATAATAACCGTTTAACTTTAATGAGTCCCCAAAGTCTTACTAGAAAAATTGAATCTAATTTCAATACATATGTCGAAAAAATAAAAAGTTCTTTAGAAAAAGTAAATTATTTATGTACAACAGCTGATGTGTGGTCTGCACAAAGAAAGAGTTTTATGTGTGTAACCGTTCATTGGATTGATGAAGACTCGTTAGAGCGAAAAACAGCTAGTCTAGCATGTCGCCGTTTTAGAGGTGCTCTTTCACAAGATAAATTCGCCAACATATTACATGGTGTATATTACAAGTACAATCTGAACGCTGCCAAGGTAAATAGTGTATTATATTGATAATAGTTCTAATAGTATAAGGTATAATATATTTTAATTTTTTTTTTTAATAGATAATTGCAACCGTTATAGATAGTAACAGCAATATGGTTAAAGCATTTAAAGTATTTGGTGGAAATATGTCATATTTTGAAGAATTGAGCTGTAGTAAGGAAACGGATGAAAACGATAGTGATTTAACTGTAACAAGTTTTCAAGAATATAGCGGAAATTTAGAAAATGAACCATACGTCATTCTTTCTGGTCATACTCGATGCTGTGCTCATACATTGAGCCTTTGTTTGACTATTGATATAACTAAAACCATTCAATTATCACCACATCTCTATGAAATACATACTCAAGTAATGCAAAAGTGTAATATACTATGGAATGCAGCAAGTCAACCAAAATCAGCAGATGTAATACTATCAGTTTTAGGACATACCCTATCAAGACCTGATGAAGCGAGATGGAATTCACTATTTGACTGGTTATCTCAAATTAATAAAATAAAAGAAAAATCCAGTGAACTTAATCGAGCACTTAACTTAAATCATTATTCATTTACCACTTATGATCACAACTATATTGAGGAATTTTTATCTTGTGTTAAGCCTTTATTACAAGCATTGGACATAATACAAGATGATAAAAGTGTATTTTACGGTATGATCTTTCCTACATTACTATGTTTACAACAAAAATTAATGGCAATAAACAGTGAAAATTTTACATACTGTAAACTAATTAGAAATAGTCTTTTAGCTAGTTTAGAAAGAAGATTTTCTAATATTTTAAATTTAAACACGATTGAAGCTGATAACGCAGCAATTGCTGCGTTTTCTCACCCAAAATTTAAAAAGAAGTGGCTAAATTATATTAATATCTCTTTTCATGAAAAATTTTTATTTTTGTTTAAAAACAAAGTATCAGCTATACATACAACAACAAGTGGAGAAGATTTTGAAATTGAAGAGGACAGTTCTGATTTTTTTTACTTCGGTTCAATGATACAAAATGGCAGGGCAGATAGTACGTCTGCTGAGATTGAAGTATGTATATGAAATTATATGTTATATGTTTTTATTGAACAAGTAAACTACCTATAACTTTAAATGTATGTTTCTAGGTGTTAAAATATTTTGAGGATCCACGTCAATGTATTGAAAGTTTAAACTCATACCCTACTGTAAAAAAAGTTTTTCTTCAATATAATACTCCTGTAGCATCTTCAGCTACAGTAGATCGAATTTTCTCTTTTACGGCAATGTCAAATTTACCAAATTCAAATAAATTGTCAGACGATTTATTTGAGCAAAAGGTAATATTGAAATCAAATTTAAATAATCAATTACAATATGGTAAATAAAAATAAATTTTTATTTATTATCGAGATTCATAACTTGTAGCATTCGCATTTTTTTTTTTTTTTTTTATGATCTTAGAAATACTTTCATGAGCTATACATTTGAAATTTATATTTTAAAATTCTATGTTTAAGAGTAATTTCCCTTGTTTTGTATGTTTTTATTATTTTTATTTTTATTTATATCAGTACCATTTAAGTGCTATTTTTCTTTTTTTTTTTTTTTTGTGTGTTTAACTCTATTTTAGTACCGTAGCCTTCAAAACATACTTAATGACAAGAATAATTTAGTCAGTCTTAAATATCTTCATGTTCTTATTTTTTTCTATTAGCGTCCGCTGCCAACTCAGTAAAACGGTATTCAGATCGATAAGGAAACCCCTTTAATTGTATTGCGTGCATAAATATTTTATTTGTATAATTATTATAGATATTCCCGGTATCGTTAAACAATATCATAATACTATTCGTTTGGTTTTAAGTACAACACCGGTCCCATAATAGGGTGCTCCAGTACCGTGGCTATCCCAATAGTTAGTGTCCATACCGGTACGTGACCGAGGCAATGACCTTCGTTCGATATTATTATAATATATCGTAATAGTTAATAACAGCTGTTAAGCTATCTTAGTTAATAGTTAATAGATTTTATGATTTATAATTATTACCTATTACATTTACAATATTATATTAGTATGTAGATACTGAAGACCTTTAACGATTTGCCCATACACAAAAGTTCAAAAGTCACCCGCGTAATGAGATAAAATTAATAAATACGTTTAGCATTAATTAAAAATACTAGTATATAGGACCTATATATTGTATACCTATACACCTATATTATAGGTATAAACAGATATATATATATTTAATCAATACTATTAGATTATACCAATTTTAGCGAATATTTATATATATATATATATGTGATTAATCATTTAATTACCATTAATAGTACATAAACTGTACGACAAATGTGAAACAATCTTTTTGTTTTTTTTTTTTAAGATTAGCAATAAAGTACACTTACAGCAATATCAAGTATGTTATTTTGCATGTGAAATAAATTAACGACTACCTACTAAAAATGTCTTACCGAGTACCTAGGGCATATTTTTTCGTTGTTGTTTTGTACGATAAATGTCTCATCAAGAAATTTAAAACATTGCATGTCCAATAGCATATTTTACCTACAATTGGAATAACATTGCACTGTTCACGAATTCGATTTATTAGGCTACATTAGACTACTACTTTAAACATTTGGAATATGTCATAATAATAAAATTGTACTAATATTTTTTTATTTATTATTTTTTTTATTATAAAATACCGGCCGGTCATTAATAAGAATTGTGAAATTCCATTCTGAAAATCGGATACCGATCAACAGAAAAAAAAAAAATCAACATACTTCTACACTAAGGGTTTAAACTTTATTCAAATTTTAAATTTTGATTTCTTTTTACTGTAGTATGTGTATATAACCTATAGTTAATAACGGAATTAATTATAATTATATCGAAAATATGAAAAATAATAACGACGTTGTAATATAATTACAATCATGGTTTATTTTAATTATTATTGATACTGACATTAAACAATGTTATAATAACGCTGAGCAGAGTTCACACGTGTTAACTGATTATAACAGGTAATTAAAGTTATAATAAAAAAGGCGCATATATAATTATAATCGTATATAATAAAATAAATAATCATTATTTTTTTAATTGCACTTCCTGTCCAGCTACAAGTTTTTGTTTAACCGATATAGGACTCTTATCTATATTATAATACTAGGTAATACTAGTTAGTAAGTCAAATTTATCTAAATGTTTTCTCTCTGTTTATAGGCCTCAGCCCGTATTGTAATATTTTATAATAATAGAAAATAATATTCAAGATTATTAATGAGCATTATAAAATATATACCAACAGTTTTTTTTTTCGAATTCACGTGCGCAAATAAATTATACCCAAATACATCCTCACAGATGTCGGAGTGATTTTTTTTTTTCAAATAAATAGTGTAAATTGTTTAAAAATATAATTTTCATAAAGGTATCTAGGTCATCGTAATCATCTTCGGGTAATATACCAACTGTTAAAATACTGTCGTATTTGTTGGTTGTAAATTTTAAAACACTTTTTTTAGATTCTAAGCATGCCAGGAAATGTATTTTTTAAAACTTTTTAAAATTATCATTCCGATATCAAATTTATCGTTATGGGCGATATACACAGTGGTATGGCAGTAGTGATATTTAGTTGCCATGGCCCGAGGTATTTTTGGGTGATGGTGGTAGGTAAGTGAGTGGGGTCCCAACTTCCAGGTGAATGAAAAAATGTATTTATTATTTTTATTTTTACTTATTAGATATTCAATTGCAATTATAAATTGTAAATGTTATTACTATTGCTTTATAGGTAATAAAATGGCATTCTTTAGATTTAATTACACTTATTTAATCAGTAAACTAAGTATTTATAAATATTATTTTTACGAATCTATATTCATAAAAATTGTTTACATTTCTAATAAAGTAAATTTAATGTTTATTGGACAAAAATTATTTATATAGCTTACTAGCTTCTAGTGTAATAAAAATAAAAACAAAACATCATCTAGTTAGTATAAAATAAGAATAGTTGGAATCGTATAAAAAAAAATTGGCCTGATCAATTAAAATGGATCACCACGCCACTGGATGTACACACAAAGAAATTAACATAATGCAGCTCGATCCATATAGTCAAGTTATTGTATCGTATTTTTTCTTTATAATATAATTCCAAATAATAAATATCATCACTATTTTATTTCCAATTTTGTCTGGAAAAAAATGTCACTGAGTCGGTGATGATGGCGCTCCAGGTGTTTGTTTGGTCCTAATAACCGCTCCGATGATGTTTAAAAGTCACAGTAGGTACCCGGTTTTCCACGCGAGATGTAACGAACAAATATACACATTAAAACACGACGATGGTTCTACAGTGTTACACACTACATTGATTTACTTCGTATGACATCAGTTTTGATGTGCACCAAGATAATGTTTATTTAACTAAGTTAACAATTAACCGTGGTAACAATCGCCCGTGTTTCCCTATCACATATCAGACGGCCGGACCTCAGTAGAAACGGCCCTTGACAATAGTATTCGATTTTCTGTTGCATTTTAAATTCTATCGACTACGGCGCAATTATACAATTGTATGGTGGTAAAAAAAAAAATTCAATAAAAAAATATAGCTATCAAAGTATAGTTAGAATTTCATAAATAACGCCCCTAAAAAGGTATCGGGCAGTAAATTAGTGGAAAGGTCTTAGGTTTCCATTAATAGGTAAATCAATTTTTTAAATTTTACTAAATTGGAGAAAACTATTATCTAACACAATTAATATACAATTTAAATACATACACGTAAATACGAATGGTTGCAGACAGCCTCCATGAACCTCAACCGAGAACCAGTGGTTTAAATGCCTCCACGAGTACCATACTAGCATGCGAATAAGTGTAGTAACTCCGTATTTATTTACAAGGTACTTTGAACGGTTCTTTTATAATACTTTGATTTGATTTTTTTTTTTTTTGTTACATAATTATCTTTAAACGATTACTTATAAATCTTTGTGACAGCACCTTGGACCTTTATACGTTAACAACGAGTCCAAGAACGATGGTTTTAAACGAAATCGTTGTATAACATTATATAAAATATAGAGAAATTGACGTTTTATTTTTTACGAATTCGATAAACATTAATGCATTTTATTTTTTTTGTTCGGGCTATACACTCAGACCCTCCAATGTATACTATAAAGAATTCGAAAATAAAAAACTTTACAATACATCATTGTAATGTGTTACGATCTTTTGTTATAAAAAAAGGAAAAAAAAACAAAAATCATTATTTTTAATTATCGACTTCATACTCGAGACTCGAGTTAAAGGTTACCATTACCCGAGAAGTATAAAGGTTATTGCTATTCCGGATATTTACAGTTTTCTACAGCGGCTGCAGTACAATATACGAAATTGGGTATAATTAATCTTCTCTGGCCTGTTATAAGCGTATAACGTTGACATTATGTACCCGGGGATTATCCGTGACGCATTTTTTTTTTTTTTTTACACATCACAGGTACATTATTTTTGTTACATTTAGAGAGTCTTGAAATCAAATAACATTTAGAAACACTGTTCTATAATACGCAAGACCAGCTGGAGTAAAACGCGAACCGATAATAATTATAATACTAGTAGTATTTTGATTTTATTCTACTAACAGTCATAATGACCGATGTACAATAAAAATTATAGGCATATTACGACGGCTTGGGTCTCTAGGTGCACCCAAAATGTATTTGTAACCTAACCGACGTGGTTTAGCAAAAAAAAAAATTTGGAACTCTAGTTTAAAATGTGAATTATGGGATGACAACGGGTACGTACCACCACTAGACTACGATTGACCTGATATAATATTTACAATGTTGAGTTAGTTATTTAACATAATACATAAAATATCTGCAAAATATCAGAATTTCCAAAAGCTGTAATTTCGAAACTAAGCTCAATTCTGACTTCATCATCGTTCTTAAATCGGAAATATACATTAGACGTATGTTTAAAACAAAAAAAAAGAATTTTAAAATTTTCACGGACCAGTAACTAGATTTGATCCCTATAATTTATTACGTGTTGATATTTTTGTCACAGTATAAAAAAAATAAAAATAAAAATAAATATAATATATATAAATATTTATATAATAGATTAAAATATATACACGAATAGAACATCTCTATACGTACCTATGATACACGATAAACTTTGAAAAAAGAGTCTAGTAGTCATCATAATGGTTATATGCGGGCGGGTTCAGATACTGGATTATGATAAACAACATTTTCATAAATCTGATTTGTGATTAATTTTAATATTATTTATTTCGGACAAATAAAATGTAATTGATCGAACATGTTGTACGCAATTTAAAGCAAATAATAAATAAAATTATTATTTTTCGAATGTTTTATTTCGATGGGGGACAGGTGGTCGATACCATATCACTTATGATTGATACCACACCTTAAATAAACGTAACAATTTTGGTAACTATTATGATCTTCGCTCACATTTGATTAAATGGTGTGTTCTATACATATTTATCTATGGTTTGTATACATAACGTAACAATCAAGACAATTATCAAAATTAAAACGTAATCGCTTATCTTAAATCTATAATACCTACTCGATAAGCCCATAAAATATTGCAGACATGTTAATTAACGCAAGTGGTCAGAAAGCAGTTCGGACGTACTCAAGAAAAATCCGGGAAGCAATCAGTATTTACCTAATCTTTTGTCCTTTTTATATCTTTTATTCGGGGCGCAACTAGTGCTCAGCGAAATTACAAGATAACAAGGTTATCATAATAATATTATGATATATTAATTCATAGGATATGATGATTTCTTAGTTTTTTGGTTGGTAGTGTCATCAGGCTCCTCAAAAAGAAGTTGATATACCTAGTTCTTCGGAACACTGTCTAATGTATGGTGTTCCTGATCCTGAGAATATCGAGATTCTGTATATTATTATAGTTCAGGATTTTGACGGGTTTTTCGTGTAATACTTGTCAACTGTCAAGTACCTAGATTATTATAATACAACGGGTCGCAATATATATTTTTTAAAAATCCGTTTAATTTCGATATAAATTCATATTTCCACAGTAAGTCAAGTATGTTCGCCTCCAACATAAATAACATTAAGCCATATTCATTGGCGAATACCCTCGCATACGTTTTACAATTATTTTAAAACAATATATGGATACTTAGGTGTAATGTAAATGTACAATGGAGATATATAAGTAGGTACTAGTTTGACATAAAATATAGTGCAGTGGATAATACGGGTGTAGTGGAATTCGCATAATAGCTACGTAGTTAAAATTCGAGATTATAGTTCATACTCGGTTATCTACTTTGTATCGATTAATCGTTGATACCATAGACCTATAACAGCTTAGATCTTTGGTGACTTATTAGGTATATTATAACGTTTGCGTGGAATCTACAGTGCGCATTAATATAATACGTATTTCCTAATGTAAAATTGAAATTAATTCGATTTGACAAATCGAAGAAATAAATGTAAACGGTAAGTGAATTAATGTATATTTTTGACAGGAATTGTGAATATAGATTTATATTTATATAATATATATAATTATGTAAGTTCCGGCGTAGGGAAAGTGGCGCGCCCATCGCCCAGTGCACTCATAAGTACACTGCAATAGCCCTACCATGACCTTGAGTGGTTGTGGTAGTCTGGTCCTCCAGGTTGGGGATTATGCGTAGGGCTAACAACCCTGCCATGTGAAATCAACCTTGTTCAGGATACAACAATAAACTTGCCTCGGATATGTGGAGCTTTGGAGAACAAGACTGGAAAACGGAAACCTGGCTTATCTTTTGGAACTTGGAACGTTCGCACACTTTTCAAACCGGGAGCAGCACAATGCTTAGTCAAAGAAATCAGGAGATATAATTTAGGAGTGGTAGCCTTGCAGGAGATTAGGTGGAATGACAAAGGTACCTTGGATCTTCAAGACAGGACTATATTCTACGGAGAATGTAATGATCGAAGACAATTTGGAACGGGTTTTGCTATACACAAAAGTATAGTTCCTTTGGTAACAGAATTTAAAAGTACTAACCCTAGGATATCAACATTGAAGATTAAAGGGAAATTTTTTGATATCACTTTCCTGAATGGACATGCACCTACGGAGGAAAAAACGCAAGAGGAAAAGAACGAATTCTACAATAACTTGGAACACACGCTAAACGAAATACCACGAAATAGAATTAGAATAGTCCTAGGCGACTTCAATACCAAGTTAGGGAAGAAGAACATATTTCGGTCATCGATTGGTATCCATAGCCTTCACGATGTAACTAGTGAGAATGGACTCAGGCTTATAGATGTTGCAAATGATGGAGGACTTATTGTAAAGACCACGATGTTCCCACGTAAAGATATTTATAAGGGTACATGGAAGGCACCAAATGGTAGATATGTCAGTCAGATAGAACATGTCCTGATAAATACTAGGTTCAAAAACTGCGTACATGATGTTAAAACTGTAAGAGGTGCTGACTGTGATTCAGACCACTACCTAGTTAAAGGAAAGCTGAAAGTAAAACTCAAGAAACTAATCCATAGTAGAGGAACGTAAGTAGACAGATCTGATGTGAATATGCTAAAGTACACAAATATATGTGAAATTTTCAAGCAACAATGAACAACCTAAACATAAATCAAGAAGAGACAATTGACACTAAGTGGAAAGTGTTAAAGGATGCCATAAATACAGTTACAGATACAGTAATAGGAAAACAAAAGATAACAAGGAAACCGTGGTTCAACGATTTCTGCAAGGAAGAATTTAATAGAAGGAAAGAAGTCAGGACTCAACTGCTCAACGACCCCACTAATAGAGAGAAATCTGTGGTATACAAAGANCTTTTGTGCGCCGTAATTTATTATAATACGGAGGTCAATTATTATTGTTATTTGTCGTCGTACTTAGTGCGGCATCCGATAGTACCTACATACAATTGAGTCATATCGTAAAATACGAGATATCATAAATACGAGTATTATGTAAAATACGGGTATAAAAAAGGCTTAAACTACTGATGGGTGTACCACTGTTTTAGTAGGGAAGTTGGTAGGGAGGACAAATAGACAAATTTGATTTATAGGCTTGTACACAAAATCATTTCTAACGATAAACGATTCTGAGCAGAGTATTATTAGTCAATTCTTTACCTTGTTGCCGAGCCTCGGTCACTCAGGTAATTCGAAAATAAACAAAATGTGTTGGAAAATTGCCAGTTTTTCCCATTTATTGAGAAAACAACAAAGAAAATCAAACGATTATTTCAATGCAGCCTCAGCATTTCGAATGTAAACATATCTGTTTTTATATGCTCTGTATTTTAGAAATGTATATCTGTATACATCATAATATTTACCGTATTACTCTTATTGTTGTATACAAAAACTAAATTACCCAATTAATTACCACAATAACTGAATATATTCTGCATTTCTAATAAAGTCTTATCATATTGTCTACTTGATAGAGTAGTACCCAAGGCCGAAAATATAATAGGTGACTACCAGGGTGGGTTTAGGACCAATAGATCCACAACTGACCAAATGTTCATTCTAAGACAAATCATCCAAAAACGTTTGGAATTTGACAAGAAGGTACACGTGTTATTTGTGGATTTCAGAAAAACTTATGACACTATACATAGAGAAAGTCTTTAAAACATTCTCAAAGATTTCAAATTTCCCAGAAAAATTATTAATCTCATTGGAGCCAGTCTCAATCATACAGATATACAGGTCAAGAAAGGTAACGTAACATCGCAGCCAACTAGAGTAACGACAAGACTTCGGCAAGGGGATGCTTTGTCTCTAGTGCTGTTTAATTTAGTACTGGAGAGGGTAATACGTGAGATGAACATTTCGGAGGGAGTTATATTAGGACAGATCAGAATTGGAATGCTAGCATATGCGGATGATATCGCTCTCCTTGGTGAAGATTTAGACATGATAAAGAGATTGGGAAGTAATCTAATAAATACGGCAAAAAAAATGGGCCTAACCGTTAATGAGGAAAAAAACAGAGTACCTTGTGGCTAGCCGAAGAAATAGAAATGGTGGTCTGGAACAATATATCAAAATTGAAGAACTCAAGTTCAAAAGAGTGTCTCAATTTAAGTATCTAGGGTCGATTATAACGGAGGATAACGACATCAATACAGAGGTGTCAACAAGGATACAACTAGCGAATAGAGGATATTATGGACTTGAAAAAGTCTTGAAATCGAAGGCCTTATCCAAAGCCCTAAAAATCAAAATGTACATGACTCTACTAAGACCGATTGTTCTATACGGCTCAGAAACTTGGGCGCTGAGAAAAACAGAAGAATCAAGATTAATGATATTCGAGAGAAAAGTTCTGCGGAAAATGTTTGGCCCGATATACGATAGGCAAACGAATGAATGGAGAAAACTTCATAACGTGGAACTCCAAGGACTTTTCCAGAGGCCGAATATAGTTAGAGAGATCGCCAAGCGGAAACTAAGTTGGGCAGGACATGCTTGGCGCAAACAGGGTACTTTGGTAAAATGGGTGATCGAGGAAGAGCCTAATGGAAAAAGACCACTAGGTAGACCTAAGTTAAGATGGGAAGATGGTGTGAAGAGAGAAATGGAAAAGATAGAGCCTGGTGTCAAATGGAGAGAAGTGGCGGAGGACAGGGATAGGTGGCAAAGTTTAGCGTTTTCAGGATGGTCTTAAGGACCGTAACTAAAAAAAAAAAAAAAAATATAATTACATAAGTGCTGAAAATGTATGGTTCATGTTTTTTTCTTTTATATGAGTTCCATCCTATTATTTGAGATGTGTATAAAACAATAAACTCTCACAACAATTATTAATTAACGACAGCATAAGATCGTGGTAAATATCAGGTACCTATACCTAACAATAGGGTAGATTTGGTTTCTACTAATTTTATTCACCAGTATACCAACCTACTTATCTACCTACCTACCTACACAATACAGTATAGCGCATTCCACTACGCGCGTTTTAAACACTTACATGATAATATTGTAAACTCTTAGTAAATAATAGTAATAATATAAAAAGTTAAATTAGATCAGTGTAGTTTGTACAACAGTTTGTCGTCGCCGCTGGCCGGTATGCGTTTGTAATGCTGCTGGATCATGTCGGCGAGCTCGGCGTGTCCGGCCGCCCGGGCCAAGTCTATCGGAGTGACACCCATGAGGTCGACCGGCGGACCAGAGGATCCCAACCCTTCCGTCTGCAGGGATAACAAGTACTTCACCACTTCTGGCTGGTTGGTGAGCGCGGCCTACGCAAATATAAATTGGTCATATTAGTTATTAATATACTATTGGTTATTACCTGAATCGACGATTTTCTCGGAGGGTTTTAAATGAATTCGATTTTTGTTTGGTTGTTTTTTTTTTTTTTTTATAATTATGTACTTAATAGTTTAAGCATAATTTTAACAATATTTTCATTAATTTTTAACCTGTTTACCTGTAATATGAGTATGCACTTAGGATTTTCAAAAATCAATACCTCACTCTTTTGAACAAAAATTAAAATGAAGCATATTTTTCTACAAATTTTGATGTAGACATTATAACACTATAATATCGGATTTACTGAATCTAAATTCACGGCAAAAAAAAAAAAATGTCCAGTTCGCCCGTATCGATTTTATGTGCATAACGTATTAATTTAATTTGTATCCATTTTTAATATTTTTTTCGGTTAAAATTATCGTTGGACAACTGTAAATCGTCAAAATGTAATAAGGAAATAAAATAATTTTTTTTATTTGATCCATCATAGTGAATACTAATATTGTATGTGTAAGGAATAGAGGTAAAAATTGAAAATATTGTTCAAATAATGTTTAAACGATTCATTCAAAAAATATAACTAAATCCACTTGAAATCCTTCGAGAAAATCGCTGGTTCGTGATCGCCCTGTATTATTATTGTCGAATTATGTGGACGAGAAACATACCGCGTGTAATGCCGTCCTGCCATACATGTCTTTGGCCGTGATCGGGTCGGCTCCAGCGACCGTGTACGATTGCAGCCGCGATACATTCCCCTTGGCCGCGGCGCTGTAAAGAGTAACGAGACACACATTTTTAGTGGTGAGTAACCGATACTCGCCCGATATTTTCGGAGGGAAAACGTCAAAATGTCTTTGGGATATGGGCAAAACGCGTTCCTATGAATTTCGATATCGGCTCACTATTCGGTTTTACATAGGTGACAAAATAGTATGGACCTATTGGATATCGAGGGAAAAAAAGTCATTATAGACCGTGACGGCGACTGTGTTGAAGTCGATAGGGAAGACTGTGAAAGTGTAAAAAAGTGTAAAATCGCTGAAATGTAAAATCCGGAATGTTAAAATACCTATAACACTATAATACTAATAAAATACTATAATATTAAAATACTATATTATTACTATACTATAACAATATATAAACCAATGTGTAAAACGGTTCACAGTTAGCATTTTGAATTAGTTTGTGCATGATGCATTTGAAGTAGCATGTTTTAAATTTCAGAGAGGGTTTTAAACCCCTTATACCCTCAACTCTTATATACGCGCCTGATTTCCAGACTAACCCGATATCACTTATTGTTTCGTCTACGCGTCTATACTCATTCCCTTCGCGCGCCCATGTCGGAATTAAAATCGAAAAAACCCACATTGGGTATAGGTCAATGGGGAAATAATGCGATTTGAAAACGTCTACTTTAAGAAGTAATAAAAATGTTTCATAATGATCATTTTCCGGATTTATTACGTTATGCGACTATAAATTCCGTAAAAAAAATATTTTCTTGAAAAATACCGTTCCATTCGAATAATTCCTCGATTCGCAAGCGCTTCCAGTCGAACGATCATTGCACGCAATACTTGTATATGATATTAATAACATGTAATATTGCCCAACGAATAGATAATTCACACACGTACCAATAATCCATGGCGATCAGGGCTCGGGAAGAGCATTTAAAATATAAAAGCATACGAATTCATAAAAAAGTATTTTTTAAGAATAATCACCGAAGTTGTAAGCACTTTTATACTTTTGAAATCGGTATAACGTGGCATAGGTGGAGTCGCCACCTATGGTAATCCTATGGTAATCCTAAGAAATTTTTCTTGTGAATATTTGACTCATTCTATCTGTGGTTATTGAAAAAAATTCAATCACAAATACACTATACATTTTTCAATGCATAATTTGAATTTCAAAGTCTTAAGAACATTATGAAGTGAACAATTAGTATTAATATTTTAAAATTGCGTTTTCCCGTTCTATAGTCATCCTATGATATTTATGTTTATGCAATAATTGAGATCACTTAGTAAATAAATTAATATATATGAATGCAACAATAACCATGTGGAAGATCTAATTACAAAATTACACAATTCATGAATAAAATTAAAAATTAGTGGTCATAGCAGAAATACTGGTCATGTGGCCATGGGTGCATCTTAGTTTATTCGGAAATTGGCGTAGCACTCTAGAAGCTAGATTTCTGAGTTGAGCCGAAAATAAAAGCAAATTCTATATAAATCTCAAACCTGTGGACCATGACCGTAATTCGAAAATTATTTCGAGAGGGAGTGGGGAGGTCGTAAACTAAACATGTGTGGTGTATTAATTTTTTTATAATATCGTATAGGTTATTTTTTGATGTAGCATATTATAATATAACACGAAAACATTTCGGGGAGGGGCCTAAACACTCAAAACCCCCCTTAAAGTATGGTCTTGTTTAGGCCTTGCCCTTAGTCGTCGTGTACTAGCAGATTTTTATTCTAAACCGTGTTTCGTCGGCTATGTATTTATATATACTCACTTGCACAACTGTTGGCCAACATGTTTGGCGGGTGAATTTAGATGGGCACCGCACCGTCGCAAAAGGGCCACCACTTCGTCTCGATCGTTTTCGACAGCGTCGATCAGCGGAGTTCGTTCAAAACTGAAAAAAACGGGGGTTTTTTTTTTTATCTAAAGCGTTCAGAATTTGTAGGGGGGTCGCAGTGATTTGATTATCCCTCGCCCTCTTGTCGGTTATACGCGCCTAACAATAACGCTAACAAATATTTAAATCTACAAGAGTTATACGCACTGGTCTTTGATGTGAACACTGGCGCCGTTCAACAACAGGTACCGGACAATTCGTACATCGCCCAGGGCGCACGCCAGGTGCAGAGCTGTACGGCCGTCGGCGTTCTGTGCAGAAAAGTCCGCGCCCTAAACATAATGCATAACGATGATGATTTAATGTTATTGTTGTCGTCGCGATATTAAATATACGTATATAATATATTATAAATGTTTGTTTTTTTTCATTTTTTGCAATAATTGGATTTTGAACAATACATTTAAAGAAAGATTAAATTTGTATTTTTATCCCTTAATCGCTAGAAAAAATTACTTTTATTTGTTTATTTTTCAAAAATTTCACAATAAATGTATATGAAATAATATGTATACTCACGAAGCCTTTGAGTTCGTCCAATTTGCTTAGGTCCGACCGGACGACGGCATTGCCCAACATCGCGGGGAATAGTACGCCGCCGAGGGTGATCAATTCTTGTGAACCGTTAACGTGCAACAGGGTGCGCGCAACGGCGTCCACTAAATCCCATTCGTCTGCGGCGCGATTCTTCTTGGCGGGCTTGGGTGGTGCGCCGCTCATTTCTCCTCTCAAGTTCGCACTAAGCATCTGAAATATAATATATAATAAAGTAAAGTAATTATAAATAGCATAGTGTTATTTTTACAAAACGTTGCATGGCTGAAATATGAATATCTTGTACATAATAATAATATGTATATATTTTTTTAAATATAATACTGTTATGTATATGAACCATATAAAAAACCTTAGCACTGTTGAACAGAATTCAGACAAATACAAATGATAAGGCCTACAAGGTCTGGAATGAGGATAAAACAAATGTTTTATCAGTTTAATAACCGCGGCGATGATGAGTAGCTTAAAATATAATAATTTATAATAAACGTACGCAAAATTAATTGAAGAAAACAAACGCAGCCGCTTAAAGAGAGGCGATTTTAATATCTATAAACTTTATCCGCTATTTAAATATTACGATGAGCGTAACTGATGTACATTATGGAATTATAACTAATTTAAATAAATAATTATATTGACGTTCATTTCATCAGCCCTCCTCATTCGAAAATTTAAATTTTTTTGTGTCAAATTTAGTATGCAACCAACATGAATTTACATGCCTTTAATTTAGATGTTATACCAAAAATAAAACCCAGAAGAGCTGGGAAAACATTTCTCCAGTCCTACTCCCCCGGATTTTAAATTCAACTTTTCGGAATTTTTTCAACGCAAATATTTAGTATGAAATTAACATAAATTTGCATCACTGGTCCCGAAATTCGCACGACAGTTTCCCGCCAGTAGCAGTTTTACAGATTTGGACATTTCACCTAACCTAACCGAATTATTTTTTGGTAACTTAATATGGTATTCTGTTTATGTGTAACATTTAATTATATGTATTTGTATATTGTTTATACATAGTTATCGAAAATGGTGCAATAATCTTTTTTCGGGGAATATTCGACTTTATCAGTGGACTTAATAAATGTATTGAAACTGTAGGATTTGTTTCTATATTTAACTATACATTTTTTATTATTATATTTTATATCATAGTATACCAAGAACACAAAGGAGATAAAAGAAACAGCTTCAGTAGCATGTGAAATGTTATTTTACAATATTTAACAAATGCATTTATATAATATAAAATACTGAATTTAAAGATTTTTTTAATATTCAAATTTTTACTTTTTATTATCAACGTCATCATGTTTTAAGAGTTCATATACTAAATGATTAATTAATATAACACTTAATAAACATAAAGTGATATAAAGACGATAATCGTGATAAACATGAATTTATCGTGGTAAAATATTGGTAAAATATAAAAAAATTGAAATTTTCAAATGGTAGGGAAAAACTGGTGAAATGCGCAAATCTTTAAAACCGCTATTTACTGACGGAAAGTGTCGTGCAAATTTCGGAACCAGTCACGCAGTCATGCTAATTACATGCTAAATATTTTCAATATTCAAATTCTTGATTGAGAGAGGGGAGGGGGGAAATACTAATACGTACGTGAAAATTTGTAAAAACAACAGTACATTTTCGAAAATTGTAGATATTTCAAAAAGATTAGGTTGCAGCCACTATCTAAAAAAAATGGTAAAAAAATGAACTAAAACTGCCCCTCCAAGCGACCCCAAAATTAACACAGAACAGATAGTCGAGTCCCGGCCTTAACTTCCAAGACCGTGTACTAATACTGTACAATGAATATAGAAAGACTTGTGACATATATTATTCACACGAGTACGTACCATCCGTTTGGTGTTGAAGTCCCAGTCGTCCTTGGAGAGAACGTACGAGAGTTTAGCGAGAGCCGCTTCGGGTGTGATGTCGTTGCCCGAAATAACACCGACTTGATTCAACACCTGTTAAAGTAAACACCAAAAATCCCTTTAACGCTACGGTATAGTAGACGATTGATACATTAATCTACTGTAATCATTTAAAACGGTATATAATTCGACTGGTATTTATGTAGCATAATACATTATACTTAGTACAAGTTAAATTAATGTACAGGGTAAATATACGTACGTAACCTGTTTGGTATACGGCCGTTACCGAACCCTTGAAGCACTGACTGCAGTTGAATATAATAACGTTCCGGTCGGTGGCTTCCTTGAGTGCGGCCATGATATCCACTCGATTACACGGCAGATTTCCGGCTCCGTAAGTCTGAAGGACCACTCCTCGTATCGGTGGTTGTAGGAAAGTTCTTACCTATGTTATGATATATTCCCCGGCGATATCGTATTAGAATAATATTACACAATACAAAAGGTCTGATATACCATACCGTGTCGGCCGTTATGTTGGGGAAAATGCGCAACAAGCTTACGTTCTCGTCGAGTTGCAGTTGTACCCTGAATTTTTCGATGGTCCTGGGCCGGAAAATTTGTCTAAACGACACTGTAATATTATATTGCGTGAACAAAGAAAAATTATATTAATGAAAACATAAAACGGTGATAACGATTCATTTTTATTGGTATGAAGGTATAGGTACCGTTTATGTCGATTCCGATAACAGCCAGTGGAGGCAAGTTCGGCGAGTCAAAAGCGGCGAAGCTCTCACAGTCCACCTTGACGGTACGATTACCGCGCAAAAGCTTATTGTGGAACAGTATGGTCACCTCGGGAATACAATAGTTTCCGGCTATCAGCAGACTGGAGACGAAATTGTCGCTGCCGTCACTTCGCAAGTCGAACACGGGTAGCTGAAAGTATGCGCATTGCGTATTAGTATTATTTAAGCGCTGGAATGAAAATGAAAACGCGATCATGTGGAACAGAGTCACTCTACCTAGTCATACTTAAAGTCTATTAGCCCTGCTATTAATTAAATTGCTGGATGGTTTTCATTATTACAAAAACAGTTGATAACATTGATTGCCATAAAACGGGAAAATGCAATTTTAAAATATTAATAAAAATTTCTCATTCAATTCAAAGCAATTATTGATAGGAAACGATGTTTAAGAATTCTATAGTTGGTGATTTCACCCTATCTAATATCTAAAAAGGCTAATACTGCTTATGGATGTCCCACTGTTTTAGAAAGAAAATTGGAAGAGGGGATATACATATACAGTAATTAAATTTGTATCTGTATAAGCTGTTGCTAATAAAAAATGATTCTAAGCAGGGCAATATTTGTCGTTTTTTACCCAGAAATCAACAAAAATTATACAATAAATTACTAGTTTTTCCCATTTATTAAGAAAACTACGAAAAATGACCTTACTAATTCACCAACTAAAAGATGCACAAAGAACGCAGTTTTTAATTTTATTATAAATCAATTGTATTTTATAAGAAATAGGTACAATATCAATGATACATATCGTTTCATTGTGAATCAAGGTTTAGGTGTGAAACACGATATTGTGCACATGATCGCCTCTGCTCGCTCAACACGAAGTGACTGCCGATAAAATTCTTAATCACGTTTTCACAGACCAAACGATTACACGCTGTGGATGCAATTGCTTTTCCTTGATTTCCTTTGGGTTCTTATTTCCTTAAATTCAACAATCTTGTTTATTTATATATCCAAGGATATTTAAGGAGTTTGTTAACAGTTGCCACAATTCATTCACCGTGTTTAAAATGGTTTTTGACAAACAATACACGTTGCTTGATTGTATACCGTTCCATAATAATAAATAAACAAAATAAACGTTATAATGATCAATCAATAATAACCACAACAACAATAGATTACAGAAATTATAAGAACAGTGCCGCTAACGTAACAACAAAAAATTAACCATCATTTAAAATACTGCGTTCTTTATGAAACACCTGATTTTATAGATCAAAAATGCTAAGGACCTACAGGTACTTGCTAAGTTTTTATACATTTTTTATTGGAGCAAGATTTCCAATAGAAAAGCTGTTAACAGACACACACAAAATAACACATCATAGTAAAACCAATGAATTCTTTGCTTCGCTCAGAATCTTAAATATTATTATTATAATTGTAAAATATTATCATACCTGTGCACCCGTAATGATAACGGGTTTTCCGAGGTTTTCAAACATGAACGATAACGCAGATGCAGTGTATGCCAGCGTGTCAGTTCCGTGTAGGACGACAAATCCGTCATAAAGTTCGTAGGCTTGCTGTGAAACAAAAATAATGTACAATTAATAGTATTCTATAGCGTACACATTGATAAAATATATCCAATGCCACAAATAGCGAAGGTGCTGGATATGCATCACCTCCCACAAAGAGGTCTCATCATTTTTTGAGAATGAAGAATGTCTAAAAGAAACAAAGTGTTCAGAAATATTAGCTGCGCCTAGGCGACAGAATCCCTAGTTGCGGCATTAAACGTGTCCGTGATTTTTGTGAATACCCCGGGTAATTCGTTATCATAAAGATCATTATGCATTAGTATTGAAAATCTGTTTCAGGAGGCGATACAGATTTTCAGCTAAATTTTTTTTTTATGTCCATCAACTGCATTATTATTGGAGTACAATTATTTCAGTATGATGTTTTGTGTTAATAATTATTTCAAACCTAAAAAGCAATTTTAAAGGAGGTTTAATATATAATTAATGAACGCCTAATAACGTCTATTTGACACTCAGTATGGTAAGATTTTGTTTACTGTGTGTTCTCCATTAGAAAACAAATGGTAAATTATTGAATTAGTAGAGTTTTCAACGAAACATGAAATGTTTTAATATTATTTTATATTTTATCACTAGTGAGACAAAGAAGTAACTACTTATTATAGAGAAGGACCATAAGTTAAAAATGCTTGGTCTATCTGCTCTTGGATATTTGTTGAAGAATGGAGAGTGTATACCAAGTAAATATTTACTAAAAAAAAAACGCCCTATATTACTCACCCATATGTCTTCGGCTATACTTCGCCAATCACTCATGGACATGTTGCTTGAGTCCAAAAGTTCCGAATACTGGTACACTGAGTAAACGATCCGTCGTAGTCCCTTGACGTGGCTGCACAGGTTCGATTTTTATCGTAAAAATTAATAGATACAGATACAAGTAGGTTATATGTAGGTCAAACAATTAATTCTGATACTTACGGCAATACAAGTGGACTGCAATTCATCGACTGTCCGTATTTGTGTAGAGCGTATTTCGCGTCGTACAATCGGGGGTCTCGGCGCATTTTGGTTTCCATTAGAAAATCTAAGGAGTTTCTTTTACTTGGAACCAGCACTACGTTACACGTAACCGATAAAAAAAAAAAACCAATCCAGTCATTATATTAATAGAAATATCGTACTTTTTTTAATTTCAAATTTTACAGTGTTTAGGTTCAGGTACTGGATAATATTCCCACGGTACCTCTACCTATCATAAGGTGGTTGCATTAAGTCGAAAGCTAGTGTAAAATTCTGTCATACAGTATGTGGTGTTCTAAATAAGATTTGGGCTAATTTTTTTATCTCGGAAGTGTACAGAGTACAATAGGTGAGAAGAGATATCACGGTACATGGTGTTTGCAGATGATATAGCTTTATCAACCGAAAATTTGGAAGAAGTTAGCAAGGCTTGAGGAATAGACCATTGATGGTAGAAAGACAAAAAGTAGAAGACCAAGAACGTCATTCATGAAATAAAACGCCAGAATCTGTATAAATTATATAAAATAAGAAACTGACTAATATATCTATTACGGTAAACGTTATGAAACCCATATTGTTATTATATCTATACTTTAACAAAATTTGTGCCGTTAATTTTAATATTCAAGTGTATTAGCCTATTATAAAACTCGAAACTTGAAACTTTTCACAGAGATTTTCTATACACTATAAGCAACCACTAAAAAAGAACAGTTTGAAATTCAACTTCCAAGGTCTTAAAAAGGATATCAAAGTTCGTATAGAAAAACTTTTAAAAACCATTGAACAACTCAAAACTTTAAGTAAATAATCCATCAAATAATAATACAAACGTGAATTCGGCCGATTTCAAAAATTCATCTCCTAAGGGGTTAAAACAGAGTTTCAAAGTTAGTGTTGAAAAACATATCCATATATTATGATTAATCATATTGTCTATATGGAGTTGTATACATAAATAACTAACGATTTTTTTTTTTTGTTTGTGTAAAACTGAACGTAGATAGATAACTTTAATAAAGCGTTATAAGTAATATAACACTATAGGAAAAATGTAATTTCGAGAAAAGTCCTTTCGTATTTTTAAATTAGCTAATAAGAATAATTTAAAAACATCTGTTAGCATTTTTAACTGTCAGAAGTATATTCGCGTTTTTAACTATATCAATAACCTATTTATACCTTGTATACGTCCCGAAAAGAAGGTATTATAAAATTGCAAATAAAAGATATAGTAATTACATATTATGTAGAGATTAAAAAAAACGCTTATAAACAACTGGGATATATTGTATGGAGGAAAAAGTCATACACTCATATTTTATATTATTTAACCAAACCTAAATGTAAAAAAAAAAAAAATTAACAATAATAATTAGTGTTTTCAGTTGTTTTGTTCTACACGGATGTATACATTTTAATTGAATTCATTCGAAACCTTTTTTTTTTATTTGTTCGTCTTTATCGAATTTATCCGTAGGTGGGTATTAAAATTAAATTAAAAGTCGTTATTATTTTTGCTTTAATATAATATTATTGAGTTTTATTTACGACACTATAATAAAATTACTATAATATCATAATATAATGAACTGGCTTAGCTTTGCAGTCCATCATACATTCGTGCAGAAGTACTTAGGTACCTACTTTAAATAATACACGAGTTCGTATTCGAATGCAAAGCGAATTAGCCAAATAGGTTATTAATATTATAAATGCAATTATTAAATGTTCATTAAAAATAATAATAACACTAATAATAACCAAGCATCATTTTTTGTCTTTGAACAAGTTTTCGACCAAGAGACTAAGTCATCCTCTAATCAATACCAGGGCCCTGCAGAGGAGGTTTCTAGTCAAAAATTGTATCTAGTCGATGCGTTGAAGAAATTTTAGATTCTGAGAAAAGTGAGGAATGTTTCACAATGTTGATTTTATTTTATTTTTTTTTATCTGTAAGTAACTTTAAGCAAAATTTTATTCCGATTTTCAAATGTAATATCTTTTCTAAAAGAAAATACTATGTGGGTGGTACTTTGAGAAAAAGCATCTTTTTGATTTTCCAAGTGGTTTTAATAATAATTGGAAAAAACTTAGAAAACCTATCATGCAATGTATAACCGTCTTATTTTATTTCCTTCGTACCTATTTTTCTTAATAATGAGAGGAAACCGAGAATATTTATCTAACAAGGATTTCAGTTGATTTCGGTTTTTTTTTTTTAGATGTAGAATAATATTGGGTATATAGAATAATATGATCTACACAGATTAGTTGCAATATTATAAAATTTGTATGTACTTCAAATAATATTTTATAGTAAATTATGTATGTATACCCGTCGTAGTCCGGAACAATTATTTTTCTAGATAAATATTGTAAGTGGAAACTAGATAGTTAAACATATTATATGCAATGTATTAATTATACAATTCGTTAGAAGATATTACCATAATTATTGCAACGTACATTTTACATACCTACATGTGTATTTATATAATAATTATTAGGAAGTACCACTAAAGATAAATGGACTCTTAAAAAACGATCGTTAAACTAAAAAATATCGCTCTCGAGCAAAAAAAAAATATATATATTTCCGTTCAACTACAGCTTATTAAACTTTATAAAAAATTGTTAAATCAAAGAAAGCGTTTAAATTCGACATATACATTTGTATGCATTTAAAACGTTTGTGTATCACATTAATATAAGATCCTTAAATTGGTATTCTTATATAAATAGAGATTACTAAGGAAATTAAGTACACCAATCAATAATGTAATTACGAGAATAGGGGATCTGGGTGTCCGAATTTGTTTTTTTTTTTAAATATCACTTTAATTTCGTAATAGAAAGTACTACACTGTTTTGACCAAATTAAATGATTACTATTTTATTATCTTTTGTTTACAACAATTTTTGATAATCATGTAGTATGATGATCGAAGACGACCCCACTGTTAGAATCGATTAAATGAATTAGGAATGCCGCGGTTCATAAAAGTGTATTCGTAAATCCAGAGGATACTATAAACTAATTGGCTTTAAATCCAAGGAAGGTATTGAGTTATATTGTCACCTGTTATGTGTTTGCTCGAAATATTTATTTTCTACTTGTATCCTACTGAGAAAAATATTAATCCCACCTCCAATGACCTAGCTCTAATTACGCCATTGAAAGACATTAACTAACAGTTGGATGCCAGACTTATTTTAACAACAGTTATTATAAAACAAGTCAGACGAACAATTCCACAAAATACAAAAAAAGTAATAGTATATACATATTATTATATTATTATTATATGTTGCATATGATTGCTTACAAAATAAACAAATATAATATATATAATGTAAAAACGTAACTTGCGGAGTATTATTTTTAATGGGTAATGGATACAGTAGTATTTTACCAATACTGTTTCAATTTCATTATCGGGTAACTTAAAACATTTTATTGCATTAGACAATACGCTGTGAATATTTTTTGACGTTACATCGTTAAAGACTGCCATGAACATATCAATTAAATCAAAATTATTCATAACGAAATTATTACTATAATATTACCTACATCATTGTTTTGTAGATATATTAATAAAGGTGAAGGACATTTGGGCACTATAATGACCCAGCAGTCACAGCCCATTTGGGAAATTTGAGTGACACGCGTTTGGTCACCAATATTATAATAAGAACCCTGAAATATTTTGAAGAATTGAATTTTTTGTATGAGGTCTTCGATAGAATTTCACGTCACAATCTATTACACTGAATGAAATACTTATTTGTAAAAAAAAAAACCCGGACGGACATACTTCTCACTACGGGTGGGCCATTGTTGTAGATAAAAAGTTGGGGGAAAATAGGATATAGAGGGGAAATAATTGGCATCCGTACACCCAATTAATCATCATTAGGGCAAATTAAGGGTACTTGTTATATTAAAAAGCAACAAATAACCAACAAAAAAAAAAAAAAAAAAATGTTCATCAAATATTTGATTCAACTTATAGTGTTTGTGTGCCATGGGGATGTAACCCCCTCCCCCATCCTAATCCGGGCTTGATACCTATGTATAACAAATTGTGTGCACACAACCGCAGAGCCCAAACAAATTATCAGACAATTATTACAATATAAACGTTCAATCGGGGTATTAAAAAGAAAAAAAAAAACGAAACAATATTTACGCCCGAATGATTTGGATTCGTTAGTAAATATTATTTAATAATTGTTGCGGCGACTATCGTATCTAATATGCAGGCGTAATGGGTATGGCATTCATTCGTAATTATTAGAGCGCACGTAAAAGGAATCGGGGGAAAAAAAATCATTCGAGTTATTATAAACCATCTATATAGCGTTGAGAGTCATTGAGAATAAATTTTCTCTACCAAAAGATTCGTGATTTTGTTGTTTTTTTTTTTCAATATAAGTCAATATAAGTACGACTTACTAATTAATCGGTCGTACTCGTGACGTTAATTAAAAACGTAGATTGAATAAATCTTTTGTTGGGGAAAAAAACACTCGCGGCGATAACGCACGAGCGCCCGCAATCATTTTAATACGTCTTGTAATAATACTTTTTACACCGACCTACAGATATATATATTTTTTTTTTTTTCATACTTGTATTTATTATTGTTTTAATTGCACTAGTTTCGCTGTTCTGTGTACCGTGTTAACGCAATCTTTGTAGATGGAAATGGTTTTTTTCCCCCTCGTGCGATAAATAAAATGCATAATAGTATTATTATACCTAACACGTTTTGTCAGCGCCGCCGGCTGTTTCGACGTCACTGATAACAATGCACAGTAGCGATTCGGCGTTTTGCTATCAACAAACTCGTGATAGCGATATCATAACATCATGACAGCCGGCGAGCACTATTGTATTGTATTTATCGAGGAAACGCTTATATTAAGGGGATTGGATATTGTCTTGCGTTGTGTAAAGCCAGTCTCACACGACTCGTGTACTCGTCAATAGTGATGCTCTACGAGTCGCGTAGGAGCAACATAATCATCAAATCAAAATACTCGACGAACATACGCAATTACAGTGCTTGCCGAGTACACGAGTCGTGTGGGGCTGGTTTAACACATAATTATTACCTATACTATGCGCAACGTGAAGCGTGCGCGAGAATGTCGGTCAATGGTCGAATAATTATTTTAATCATTAATTTCCAACAATTTGATTTGAAGATTTTCAAATGTACAAAAAAAAAAAAACTAAAAAATTTAATTGAAAAAGTGACGATGTGTACACTTCGCCATTTTTTTGTGGTGTGTAAAATCAAAAGTAGATATTGGTTTTATCCCCAAAAATAAGGGTGACAAAAATTAACATAAATATAAAATTTTAGAGCCGCTTATATCTTGAATATTCTAGAAAACAGATTCCAAAACAAAATTAATACTTACCGAGATAATGAGTGTACCACTTAAATGAATCACCCGGTATAAATTAGGTTGGTCGAAATTGTAAATTTTGACTCGATAACTTACCCCCTTGCCGTGTCGAATAAAGGTCAAATTATAAAACCCGTCTGAACAATAAAAAAGCTGTAATCAAACTATTATCCGTTTAAAATAGTGTAGCTAAGTACGTTGCCAGTCGATCATATGTCAATTGGACATTTTTGCCGTGTTGTGCCGTACAAGTGTGAATCGGGATTTTATACCGATATTAGTCGATATTTATGCTTATCAAAATTTGAAGACAAATATGTAGAAGGGAGGGTATCGAAAATCCAAAGTGCATACTTGTTTTAAAATAAATATAAATACTGAGTATATACTTAGTTAAGTATAAAGAGTAAGGGTAAGAATTGAAAATATTGTTAAAATAAAGCTTAGGTACACGATTTCATAATCGTTAAAGAAAAAAGAAACCAGACATCAAATCTATTAAAAATCCTTCGATAAAATCGCTGGTTCGTCGTAATAAGTCGATCACACCCCATATACCAAGATAGCCATCTATATATGTACAAAAACGTACATTAATGACGTCCGTCCATTACGTTACACGTCGCCGTCAACGAATGTACCCGCAAAAATCGAAAGTGGTCTCTGAGAACGTTGTCGTAGCAGCAATATAATTATTACGTTACCCGAGGTATAAGTAAGTAAATAGGTATTATAAGTATCTATTTTTTCGTTCCAGTTTGACCGACAGCAGTGGGGAATCTGTTTACTAAGTACCGACCGTTAATACTGTTAATAGTTAGCTATGCCGCTTTTGTTGAACGTAAAACGCAATTAATACGGTTCTTAGCGGTTATTTAGCAATGAGAACACGCGAATGGTCACGTGCTGGCCACATGCATCGACTTACAGTATCTAAACAGTAGTCGACTGCCTACTTTATCGATATAATGCGTATTTTCAATGTTAAATCTGGAAACTATATACGTAGAATAATCTTTGGTATAATATTATTATTATTATTATTACGTATTACGAATTACAATACATTTGTATATAATACAATTCATATAGTAAGAAAAACGAGCCCCACCCCATGTGGACCTATCTACCTACCAATGTTCCCCTCGTTTCTCTTGATTGATTACAATGTTCAAACTGCATCAGACTTCTATTACATCAATATAATATTATTGTTCGTACATTTCCACGAGAATGAGTTGCAATGAGTTACAACGAGACTAATATATTATTGCGTATTAGACTGCATTTGTTAAGCATTGTTATGGCGGTTTTGGCTGACCAGCACGTCGATAAGTATTCCGAAATAAAAGACGAGTACCGTCCAAAAAATATTAATCTAGGCGTTTTTAACGCGTAGATAACACGCCGTAGTAATGCCCGCGTGTGTTGTCTCCGTCTTGCAAACTTGCATTCAGCACAGGCGACTTCGTGCTGTTAATTTTAATATTAAAGTGAATTGACCTATATTATAATACTTTAAGGCAAGAGCATTAACTGTGCAACCACGTAGGTATGTCTCGATATGTTAATTTTTAATCGGCATTTTTATATTGTGACGATTCGCATACTTTCGCTCCGACTATTCGGTGTAAGCCAACCCGTCTTAAATTTCTACTTGACCCGATCTCCCGCATAATCTTCCCATAACCCGACCATAAACTCGTATCATTTTCAATCGCATCCAAGCGATTATTTTATTATTGTAACTTGTAAGGCGGTGACAGCAGTTTATGCGGATATCACGTCCTCTTAATCCGGATCTCAACCGGGCCTACACCTATATTACCTGTGGGACTACTGTTCGGTATCTGCACTGCATGTTATTTACTTACTGTTTTCGGAGTTTCGGATCATGCCTATGGTACCGCCCGTGTAAATAACCAACACTTTAGATTCGTTCTGGTCACCGTCATCGGCCGCGGGTATCGAGTCGCATCGTTTCCGGAACGGCTCCTGGAGTAGCTGCTTGTTCGCGTTATTATTATTATTGGTCAAAGGCGACTCTTTCCGGTCGGAAAACTCGTCGTTGTTTCTGTCGACGTTCGATTTTGCATTGTGATTATGGCTGCTGTCGCCGTTGGTTTGCTGAAAGCCGTTTGTGGCTGCAGTAGTGTTATCCGGTGCTTTGTTCGTGCCGACGCCGTTTGCGTCCGAATCTCCTTCCTGCGGCACTTCCGGTTGACGGTCCATACTATATTATTGTTTATCGTACAAGCAGATAGGTACGTAATATAATTGCATGTATAGCCGTATTCTTGCGATACAGATGAACGGCGAACACTCGACCCGTGAAAATCGCCCGCAGTGTCTGTAAAAATGTAAAAAGTAAAGATATAAAAGATAATATTGTATAGAACGTTATAGACCGTATATGCTCGATTGTCGCGAAAAAAGGCGGCCGATCGGTAAAAGTTGCGTAAACAATAAACTTATAAGCTTTACTAAAAGTTATAAACCCCTAGCGTAATCTCTTAGTAATATTTTATGCTTCGAGCGATGACTCGACAAACTTTTTCCGAACCGTATAGCGTTTTATGCCCCCTCTCCCACTATTGATTTAAATATACAACAACTATACGCGTATTTACTTGGAAATTTAATATATATGTAAAGTATATAGTTCAGCCAAGTTACTATACGAAAAGCCGAATTTATCGAATACAAACTGCAGGCTCTTTTAGATTCTGGTTTTTAATCACCATTGTCGGGTTATGAATATGCCAATAGACGGAAACTCTGGGATTTATTTACTTTTATTGTTCACAACTTGCCTTCCCGTCATTAAACGTTTTTTTCGGCCATATGTTAGGATAAATATATTATAGTTATTGGTTTTATAATTGTATTTGAGCACGAAAAAGCTATGCCATACAATTACAGGTACCTATACATACCTAGTAAACTTGAAAATATATGAATCTTACAGAGTTTATTGATAAATATTGAAAATATTGTTTTTTTTCTTCTGCACTTGATGCAGTTGACCTATACGTCCTATGATTCCAATATTGTTATTGTCTACTGAATTTTGTTTAGAACATCATTTTAATAATAATAATTAAATTTAAATAAAATAATGACACTTTATCGTCTATAATACTATCACTAGGAATAATTAATGAAACTGTGTACCGTCGGCTATTCAGCAAAACCTCGTACACGTAGACTTAAACAGATTTGACGAGACTGTGGCATGAAAACTGTTGTTAAGAAAATTACAAAGAAAATAATCACCTCAATGCACTAACTAGATCACAAAGGCTACAAGAAAGTTTCCGTAATGTTTTCGATTGAAACGAGTCTTCTGATAAAAAAGTTTTTTTAGAGATGCGAAAAACAAAAAGAAAAAACGATTTACGAAGTTTTTATTGCGTAGCCGACGATACTTCAAAGCGGAAATATTCGCATTATTATAAAAAATAATAAAAATAATATAGGTGTAATATTATTATAGGAAATTTCTAGGGTTGTTTTAAACTATTTTAAGTATTACTATATTATTTGAACTGTAAGCTGGGCAAGTCAATCAATATTTTTAACTAGTTTAAGTTATTTTCGAATAATATTCTATTTTATTTTTTACTTTATATAGGTACTGACTTTTAAAACCTACTGTATCGACTGTAAAACCTAATCGAATTCATATTCATTATTTGTTTATTGTATTGTATTTAGTATACATGATGAACGTTTTTCTGTTGATCGCGAGAATATTAATCACAATAAACCCGGGTTAAACGGTTGATATCTGTATGGAAAAAAAAAAACGATAACCTTACACGGACACCGCACAAATGCTATTAAATGCTGGTCTACTACAAAAGAAGTATTTCTCAATCTCTATATTATAATCTCTTTTTGAAATACTGTTCGATAATCGTTTTATACATATTTTGTCCGATTGTGGAGATAATTAAAAAGTACATAATTCCACATTGAAAAAATACAAAAAATCTAATCGATAATTTTATTGGTAGGTATACCTAGTTATACGATATGCGTATATACGATTACCATTGAAATATTTTTTTTTTTTTTTAAAATAACCGACAGTTTTACAAAATATATATATAAAAGACCCGTATCACACCGATATTTACTGTTTAACTGTTATTATAGGTAATGTATTATTTAACGTTCGAAAACGGTCGTACAATTTACGAAAACTCCAATCGTAAAGGTATATTGCCCTAGCTCCTTGAGAAATAGCGATTTTTTTTTTTCATAACTTGTTCGTCTTTGTTAAGCAATAATATTTACTTTTTTCTGCTTTTGTGTATGAATGGCACGCGTGTTTATATTATTTTATCGTGCAATACGTTGCACTGAATATAAAATTGCTTTCGAGCTATGCATTTGTTCGCGGGCAAAAAAGGCACGAGCCGTCGATTTTGTACGATTTTTAATTTCATATTTTATTATGTTACATAGCGATTTATCCGCCGTTTAGCCGTTGTTTAGAAATTCTCGAAAATTAATTAGCTCGTATTACAAACATACAAAATCGACTCGAGCCTTTGTTTCCCAGATACCAAAGACATTTTAATAATGTCATAATACTACGATTCGAGAATCGGGCGTGGATTCGATTGAATACAAGTTCAATAATATTTTGTACGTCAGCTATATAATATATTTGTGTATTAATATACTCTCAAATGGGAAACCTGTGTACTTTCGCTCGTGTCGCTGTACAAAAACCGTAATTATTATAGTATGTAGTGAACGATGTTTTTTTCCTACATTTTTATTTCAGCTGTTCGCAAATTCGAATAAATGTTTTTTGTTTTATTTTTGGTTTGTAATGGTCTCTTTTTTTAAAATTTTAATTTCCAAAGTGTCCGGGCTGTTTTAATCGTATTTTTCCGCAATCCATTGTTACGACGTTTCCCCGTGCGAACGGCGTGGACCGTATAAGAAATTACGGCTCCGCACAGTGGCGTGCAGAACATTATTCATACTCGAGGCGAAACAATAAACGATTAGTAGCCGCCCGATCGAAACACGGATTTTTACCCACGTCCCACGAATAATTATAGCAAAAACATTATTTAGCTGTACAACGACTGCGTAATAATATGGGCTGTCGTATTCGTAAATATCTAGGTACCTATATATATATATATATATATATATATATATCGACGTTTACAGTCGACGGTATGGTATTCAACACAATATTATTGTATTCGGTCGGCCGGCCGGCCGTTTAAGTCGCGATGCGATCGCCTCAAAAAAAAAAAAAAAAAAAAAAAAAAAAAAACAGAAACTGAGTATACGTGACATTTTCGCACTGACCTGAATGTATTCCGTGTTGTTATTACGGCTGATCGCCGCCGTTGTCCCGGAGAAACTCGACGCGGGAACGTGGACCGAACGGATAATGCCGACGGACGGGGACGCGAACTGGCAAAACCGACTGGCCGGTGTTGACGACGTCGCAGTCAACGCGCGAGTGACCGCGGTGGTCCGTTGCGCGCGTCCGGCGTCTCAGGCACGTTAGGCATACCCCGTACAGAGATTTACAATTACACGCGGCCACTGCGGCTAAAGTAACAACAACAATAGCGACGATAACGGTGCACCGGTGTTTGATAATATTTTAGGCGATCGAATGCCAGTACAGTCGGCCTCGGGGCATCATAAAATTCGAGGAGCGCGATAACATTCGCGCCCGCGCGCGTCCGCTGGTCCAATTATACGTTTTTTTGTCTGTTAAACGTTTGCGCGTTCTACAGACGCGTAGAAGCGAACGCGAAAAAACGACAAAAAAAAACATTTTGTAAACGCGTGTTTTGCGCACGAATCCGGAATATTGTATTTTTGTATACGAAATAGCTGTCCCGCGCCCGGCGTTGCCCGTGCCAATTTTTCGTTGATTTTTTTTTTTTTTTTTTATTCCCGTCACGCTTTGCCCGTATCGGTATATTGTGAACGAAAGTAAAAAGATAAGCAGACATATTTCGCGCGCGGGCGGGCCGCGGTTGTGGGTGAAAAGTTGGGAAGATGGTATAGGGGGGAAATTTAATGTACATCTGCAGTATACGCGACGATTAACCGTAGATAACGAAAAGACGATTCTGAACGGAGTTCGGTCGATAGTTGTACTAATAAAACAATTTTAAAAAAACGTCCTAGGATAATGGGGACGGGTGCAGCCACTGTTGTAGGTAATTTAATGTATACCTGTAAGCAACGATGAACCATTGATTATGGAAAAACGATTCTGAGCGGAGTTCAGTTGATAGTGCTGTTTTTTCAACAATATATACATGCCGTATTATGGTGAAATTTCAATTATTACGATTCCAGAATTAAAATTGATCCCGTTTTTTGTCGGTTTTTTTTTCGGTTTTTCACATTTGTTGAAAAAACTCCGGAGAAAATCGAAAAACGACCTTTTGAAAGTACCTCCCCAGTGAAATTTCCTTTTAGAAGTATTGCTATCATTGTAAATTGGAGTAAAATTGCTGGTAGAAAAGTTGTCACAGAAAAAAAATAAACATATTTGTAAAACCATAAGGTTCTTCGTTCCACTGAAAATCTAAAATAAGGAAAAAAAGAAAGAACCAGAAACATAATATAAGTAAGGTTGGGGCAGTTTTCGGTAATGCAAAAAATGAATAATTGTTTAAAATATATCTTGAGTTTAGCATACTAATTATACTATTACCTCTCTTCTGATGTTTGGAGGGATTCGGAGTTGTAAATCCAAGAATATTGACGCAATGACAGGTTAGGTTGAAGATTTTCGAAAAAAGTTGGTGACTTGTATTTGTTGTGTACGGGGTTCTCGGCAAAGGAATCGTCTAGAAGTTATTTTCTCACGCGGGTGAGACATCAAAAAAGACCGTTATTTTTTTAATTTAAGAGACTTACGCGTCGGTGCCAATGAATAGTGACCCCTTAATCATGAAATTACAATGAGACCTTTTTTTTAGTAATAATTTTGTTTATATTACAGCGGCGGTGATGTCGCAGACTCGCCGACCGCCGTGTGAATTTTATTTTTTTAACTATATTATCGTGTTTTGACTACGATCGTGAAATTATGTATTTCTCTCTCGCATAACGAGTGCTCCTTGTATTTTTTATACCGACACATTTTTTCACTAAACACCAATTACTCGGCCGTATCCAAATGTTTTGATCACATTTTTATAAATATAAATAATTGTATTCTCGTTGTGAGAGCGTAACATTACCATACATTGTGTTGCTTTGTCAACAATATAATATATGTCGTAATGCTATGGTAAAATGCATTATAAATTTTCTTTAACAATATTTGTTTGATATTGTGCCTATATATGTTCCGTTTTCCTACGGTTTTTCCCGGATTTTCCCATTATGAAAACACCCGGAAAAATCGAAAAATTACCTCCCTAAAGTACCTCCCCAGTCAGATTTAATTTTTTTAAAAATGTGCTATTATTGTAAATCGTAGCAAAATTGCCGGTAGAAAAGTTTTTCACGTGAAAAAAAGGCCGTAATTTTTTTGTACTAATACCTACATTTTGTAAATTTTCCCGTTTTTCCCCATTTATTGGGAAAAATCCTGGGAAAAGCGAAGAATGACCACCAGGAAAAAAAAATACTAATATCATTGTAAAACCAATACATTCCTCGCTCCACTCAAAATTTAATAGCCCGAAAGTGTTCTAGCGTATTCCATATATTTTTTCATTCGTGTTCCTACAGATAACCGCGCAGCACAGGAATTAAACTAGAATACTTGCGATACAATACATACATAGAACTTATAAACAACGCAATGTCAACTATCGGAATAAAAACTATCCCGTCTCCATCAGGTTGGACCAAACAATACGCATTTACTAAACATCATAAAAATCGATTTAGCGGTTTCGGAGATAACCGCGAACCAACACGAGATTTTTATACATAAAGATTATATCTGCACTATACGAAAATATAGCGTTTGCCAAAAACGATAGAACTAATACATTTCCCACTAAGGCTCGCAGAATTAGAAAGCAAACGTCTCGTGAAGTCTTTTTGGGCAACGCCAATAAGCCCGCGTTTACAAATTACATTAATTGTTTATTATTATTATTATTATTATTAAAACGAGTTAAACGACCCAATTGCACAATGTACAAGAGAGAGAGAGAGAGAGAGAGAGAGAAATATTATAGTTTACAATGTTACACACAGTAACAGATTAGACAATGCATAACGTGTAGAAAACAACACAAAATATGGAACAAGTCAAACATTTAACTTGCAAGTTTTTTTTTTTCTGAATGTATTAGTTATCAACTACACGGTTATTATCCGGCAGACAATAATAAATTATAGTTCAATGAATCGTATTAATCTTAATTGTTTTATGCTATAATTATTGTTGTTCGTCTTATTATTTAGATGCGATTCGCGGTCGTCTACTGTATATAAATATAAGGAACGCAATAATATTCAAGTACCTGGTGAACTAGTTCACCAGTTCGATTATATTATAGCAATTTAATAACTGTCTACGCTTATACAATAATATCGGCTGCACAAATGTACAGAGCACGCGATAATATTGCATTTAGTTAATTGATAATTACAAATAAGCACATGCGACAATCGGCGATAATATTGTGATTGTCGACAAATTATTATAAATCAATAACAATTACGGCGGGCGGTGGCAAAAGTCACGACCGAACAATCGTGTAGTGTGTAAAAGACGATAACACAATAATTATAATAATTGTTATCACCGGGAACCCGGTTCGAGTCTATAAAATAATTGTGTTCTATATTGACAAACAAAAAAAAAAAAAAAAAAACCAGAAAAATTCGTTTCAGACACCGCCGCGAATAGTAAGGAGAATTTTTCTTCCGAAAGTCGTTAATTAATCGTAACAATAATAATATGTTTGCATATAAAATATAATAATATGCCATTATTATTATTATGTCATTTAACGCGCGTCGATTGATCATGCAACGGCTCAAATTCATTAACGGGTATTATTTTTAATTATTATTGCGCGGAGCGGATTTGTCGCGCACGGGGTTCTACACGCAGTGAACCGTGTCTGGGGGATTTCTCGACCGGACGAGAGATTCGACGCAGAAAAAAAAAATAAAAACGGTTATATTTTATTCGTTGTTTTGGGAGGCGGACGGTCGCGAATTAATAGCAGTGCGTTATATTGATTCGAATTTCGTGTATAGAAATTACGAGGGCTGAAAGATATATAGTATCGTAAATCGTATTATTTTTTTTTTCTGACTCGTATGGAAATGTTTCGGCTGTAAGTAAACATAATGGGATATCCCGAACAATGAATGAAAACACCGTTATGGAAATCAGAATACTCTTAGCAACGACTATGCCGCGGGGCGCGGCGGTGTTCTCGAATGGCTGACAGATGTCGTACATTTATATATTATTTTATTTGACCTATTTAAAAATTTTTTGTTTGTGAGAAATTTATGTACGACCCTCTCCAACAACCAATGCTCCGTTGTGTTTATTGAACGACTAACCTTTTTCTTGAACAGACAATACCAAATACTCAGCCGCATTTAGAGTTTTTTTTGTCGTCACACTGTTGAAAATATAAATAGATGGTTCCGAATATGTTGTGTAAGCATAACATTACACATTTAAGTCCACAGTCCGAATAGTCTTTTGCCCGCTTGAAACGGATTTTTGTAAACATTTTTGTTGAATTCATAAATACACTAAGAAAACTTATGATAATGACACGTGACAACCTGAAATGTATTTTAAAGTGAATTTTGAATACTTTCGAGTTGATAAAATTTAATTTAATTTTACTAAAATTTTCGATAAAATTACACGTACGCAACCCCTTAAAACTAGATGTAAAACTTGGTGCTACGTCTAGTAGCACAAAGTTATTATAAAGCAGCAAATCGCACAGCTTAATCTACAAATGGCTATTTACCGTCACATCACAATCTAATTTTTAATGCTAATCAGCAGTGCTCAAACTTGGGGGGGGGAATGTGGAGAACTAATTACTCATACTATTTTTTCAGAAATATTAGCGTACGCCATTTTACCATGTATGGATTAGGTCGAGTTCAATCATTGACGCTAATTTTGTTTAAGTCCCATAATGTCCCCTCCTCTTGTTTTATACTTCCAACTCGAGCACTTATGTGGAATAGCTAGAATAGTTTAAGTATAATAAAATAATTCTTTAGTTTAATGCAATAATTGCATTCTAATTAATTGTATACAATTTTTTATAAACCAATAGTCATATTATATATAATACTATTATAGTATTATCACCAGTAAATAAATAATTGTTTTCAAATGGGACAACGATAATACATTAATTTAAATTATAATAATATGTATTTCTTTGTGTTTTTATCTGGTTCGTATATTATTGTAAATATTATTAAAATAACGATAAACGATATGATGAAAAGTAAAGTAGTACAGATTATAAACATTTCATTCCAGCCGAAATAACTCGCGTCAAAGTTGCCACGCCAAAGTGTATTAGGCCAATTATTATGTTAGGGCGCCCCCTTACATCCGGAGATCGGAAATGAGCAGACAAATAAAAATACTGTATTCTGTGTGACCCAATTTGTACAACATATTAAGAGGGGAAATCGTTTCTTTTCCTACCTATATTTGTTTGTAATTCATGATAATATTATCATCTATATATAATAATAATTATTTATTTATTTCTCAAAAAACAAGAATACTGGGCCCCACTGAGACTCTCGTGTGGGGGCCCAGGAGTCTAATCTAAA